GAGGCAGAGGCTGAATTTTCCTTGTCGATAAAATGCTTTCGATTACTTTTTACCAAAAATCGGTCATTCTTCCTCGATAGTTCTTCGGAGAGACGATCGTCTGATCGCGCAACGATTTCTTCCGAGCTTTGCGAACTATTTAAATGATCAGAAACACCTTTGTCATTCTTTTCTACGAAACTTTTCCTCTTGCTTATTAATCCACGATTTGTTCCACCCTTCAAAGATACATCATCATGGTTAAAGTTATCAACGCGTTCAGTGTCCGACGTTGCATTTTTCCTTTGAATTTCAGATCGTTCGCTGTCCACATTTGCAGACTCGTTGATATCTTCAATCGTAATCGCCGTTTCCTTGAAACATTTATTTTCATAGCTCGACGAATCTCGAAGGCTTTGGCTATCGAACGTGGAAAGCTCCAGTTCCTCTACACTGTGAATCATTTTGATTTTCGGATTGTCTCGGTTATAATCAGTCTCGATCGTGAGAATTTCCTCCGAGTCGAACGCCTCGTTGTCAAGTCCTGATAACGTCCTCTTCGGAGAGGGCTTTTCTGAACGTTGATGAATGAACTTCGAAGATGCACTTTCTGGCGATATAATTGTCCAAGAACTGCTTCTCGCCTCCGGTAGTCGAATTACAGTGTTATCTTTTGACCATCTTTTCCTCGTTGGTTTCCTTACTTCTTCTATTTCATCTTTCGATTTGAACCATTGTTTTCTGCCGCATGACTTTCCCTCAACAGACAATCGACTAATATTCTTTTTGCTTGATTTGTTACTTGTCGCTGACTGAATCTTTTTTTCATTTTCTCTTTCGATCAGAGGTTCTCGAAATTCTTCGATCAAATCCAACGAATCTACGACTTTTATATCATCGTCGTCTCTCGGGAAATTTTGATGTTTCGAATTGACCTTTGATCTGTCAATTTTTCTCTCGTGAATAGTGTTCGTTTTCGAAAATGCTTTCACATTTCTGCATTCCGTTAGAAATGAGTTTTTCTTATTCGACGACTCGTCTTGCTCAACATCGTCGCTGTGTAATTTTTCTTTTTCACACTCTTGATGAATGTCGACAACAACATCCATCGATTTCGATGTAAATTCCGAAGAATTCATAGAGTCTGTGTTAACAAATAATTTGGACTTATTATCTGTATTGAATGTTGGAAAAAATTCCTCCGTATCTTTCGTGATATTTGCGTTATTGGAGAACGAACGTTCATTATCACTATCCTGAAAATTAGTTTCGTAGTTATCTTTGTTTATACGTGATCGTAGATTTGTTTCATTTTGATTCTGTTTCTTCTGCTTCCTTTTCGTTAACATAGTTTGCAATTCCATGTTATCGATTTTATCCTTCATTCAATTTGCAAGTCCAGTTAGAACTTTATAATTGTAAAATCTCTTCCACCGTAGTTTTTGTTTCTAAAATTATTAAGATTTCCTATCTTTAAGAAATGCTTGATAAAAATACGTGAGAAAATTTTAGCTTACATTCTATGTATTAATGTTTTCTGTCAAGTAAAACACAATAAGCGTATTGTGTTGAGCAAAAATGTGGGGTAAAGCAAATAAAATACACATTTTTGAAAGTACTTCATTTGGAAAATAAATGAAACTTTCATTTTCTGAATTTTTGTGCTTCGGTATTCTACAATTAAATAAATTATGCAATATGCAAATTAATCCTACGTCGTCTCTTTTGTTACTTCTTACTCAAAAACATATTTTATTTTATCTTCCTTAACCGTTCGTCCAAGTAGAATTTCTCAGAGGTTATGTCAACCTCCATTTTCATCTATGATTCTTAAGATTCATTCAGTTGATATGTAAATTGTCATTATTGACTAACAAAATGCATTAAATTGTTTAAATGCTCGATTTTTAAATACAATACAAGTATACCACATTTTTTATATTATTTCTATGAAAATGATTCTATTGAGTTACAATAAATTCTTTTCATTATGTTACAACACAATATGCATACTATGAATGAAATTTGAAACTATTTAAAAATAAATACTTAGAAAAGAAGCATGCACATATATGATTCTCAGTAACTTTCACGCGACAGGTTTAAAATTTATCGGAAACTTCAGTTATGTTGCGATACAGATGTATAGTGTACAATAATCAATATAATAAAACCTAATTTTGATTTTTAAATACTTTACACAATTATAATATTAATTAATATTAATGTCTCTACATTTTTAATAAATAAAAATTTATAATAAGTTATATGAATAAAAAAAAATTATCGTAAAATAATTTTTCAAACGATTATGTATCATTGTAAAATAAAATTGTAATTAAATTAAAAATATATAAAATGTACATAAAAGTTTAATATATAGGAATATAACAATTTATTCAATTATATTTACATATAATAAAAATTTATTACTTTACTCATCACATATTTATTACGCTGTTCCATTACTTATTCCTTCTTCTTTTAGTAATTCCTAGTAAAGTGTAATTAAAATAAAAAATTGAATTTTATATATATATATTTACTTTCAAACTTACTGCTTTTATAGCGTTGTCATAATCTTCTTCACAATGTATTAACACCGCATTATTAGTATTAGAATTAAGACACTTTGGATTATCCTCATAATTTTTTGTATTTCCTGTAGCACATTCAGTTTCAAAATTGGTATTTCGAAGGGACTTCATTTTTAGTTTCTGTTCTCTGTTTTTAGCTTCTTTTACCTTTTCCCTGCGTGTTTCTCTATCAAGAAGCTATTAATTTCAAAATATAATAAAATTATATTTGATAAAAAAATTGCAAACATTTTAATATCAATAAAACTTACTGCTGTAAATAAAAGTTTATCATTTTTTTGATTAATGGTTAATGCGTCTGAAAACTCAAGTAAAAATGTTGTCCCTTTCTTATTAGTAATTGCTGCTAATTGCCCTTGTTCGTGTGGTTTTATATATGTTAATACTTCGTCACAAACCTAGTATATGTTATTTTAATTTTTAAATATAAATAATATATCAAATTAAACATACTTTCACACTAAGAACTGGAGAATCTTGCTGTATCAACAAGTCCCATACATCCAGTGTTCCATCCATTTTTATCAAAAAAAATACGGAAAATCGTGTTATGCTCCATGCTCCACCCATCAAAAAATCTCTATGACCACTGATTTTAATAATTGGAATTTTAATAATTTGTATTAATGTTAATGTAAATTAAATAACTGTTAATATATTTACGGCGTCCAAGCAATGCAAGATTCTCTACAATCTTCAGACCATATTCTTGTTGTCCAATCACCAACTGTTAAAAAATTTTTAACAAACGTTGGGTTTCTTTCTAAACTTATTACAGGTCCATATTGTGCTTTAAATCGTGTTGCAATTTTCTCACTTGCAGTTTTCCCTTTACGATTTCCTGATATTACTATACCTAAAAATAAATAATTATGTCAGAATATAAATAAAAATATACAATATAAATATAAAATTTTAATATTAATATAATATAAAAATATTAATATAAATATAAAATTTTCATTTACCATTTTCAAGACCACACATGAAACGTGTACCCATAGATGGTTCAAATTGTAATGCTGAAATTCCAATTGCTTTATTAACATTTTGATCATCAGTTTTACACAAATCTATTACTAATGTTTCTGTAGGCATTTGTAATTTTCTAATATCCCACCACATTATCTGTAATTAATTTACTTATTACATTTATATATTATGTTTCAGTTCATTTTACATTTTGTTATACTTGTCCGTCTTTAGAAGCACTGAAGAATTCTGTGCCAGTTTTAGAATTTATCCACAAAACCTCATTGCATAAATCTCTGTGACTAAATTTCACTAAACTCGTTTCAACTGGTTCTGATCCTTTTCTAATATCCCAGCAAGCCACTTGACCAGTCATTAAGCCACTAGTCAGTATATTACTATCCTTAGGATTATATTCCAATGTTAAAATTGGACAAAATGGTTTTAAGATCATACAAGGCATATTTGGATTTTCTACAAATTTGGATCATAAATTTTTTTCATATATTTTGGAGTTTTCTGATTTATCTTACCTACATCCCAAATATATGACTGAGGATTGTCATTTATTATATTTTTAAAGTCAGTATTGCAATAACTAGCCGCAAACCGATTTCCTTGATCTGGTGACCAAGAAAGATGTGTTATTTGTCTTTTTATTGGTAAAATATCACGATATACATTCACCGTACGTGAATATACACGTTGTATTAAAGAAACTGGCTCCATGTAACTAAAATATTGTTCATAAATATTACAAGCATTGTTCTGTAAAATACATTGCTCCATTGGCTAAAAATAATTAAAATACACATTGATAAAATCATTTATAGTAAACAAGTTGAAACAAGCTGAAATATTATTACAGGTAGCAATTGAAGCATTGTATGAATATATAGTTCATCTTTTTCTATTTTGCGTTTATATCTTACTGTCTGTTCTACATCTTTTGCATTTAAATCTTTTGGCCAACCACCCTCAGAATGATATATACTACTATCTCGAAATGTTGCAGTGTTTGTATTTACCTAGAAAAAAATAATAATACAAATAATGATATACATACATATATAATTTTGAACGTGAATTTATACCTCATGAACAGAATATATCTTGCTACACTGAGTTCCTTGAGTTACAGGATCTATTTGAATATAGTGATTCGTGTACCCTGCATTTGGTTTAATATCAGCTTCTACTTTACAATAATTTGTAAAATTACATTGTCTCCCAAATTGTAATCTTTTTTTTGTATAAGTGTATTGCATATTGTTGTTGTTCATGTTCTAAATTTTCATTTTCAAGATAAAATATAATCTACTTAATAAACTACGAAGATATATACATATATATATAAAATTTGTCTTTAAGAGTTCATCAAAGCATATTATTTAAATATACCTTTAAATAATTAAGATAATAATTATTATCACTTACAAATTAATCCTTACGTTTATTTTATTAACATTAAAAAATATTTTACATATCTTAAATTACATTATGCATTACATTAAAATTATGCACTGTATATCACATCAATACATTTGTGTTTTGTAGTTTCTATAGTAACATAAATGATAAATGTATCAATGCTCAATTTCTGAATTAATCATTTATTATTTAATATCTTTATTTATCAGTTCTTACTAAAATAGGAATTTTTGGATTTAAACCTTGATAAAGAATAGAAATCATTTTATATATTTTTACATATTCTGATTGTGTATAATTAAGAAAGGCGTTCGCGTTAGGAAGTATATCTTCTGCAATAATCTTTATTAAATCATTATAGTACTGTATATGTTGAAATTGTTGCATTATATCAGAGAACAATAACAACTGCTCTTTGCTTGTATAACGTATACAACATATTTTTGACATCCCTAGAAAACAACATAGGATAAATTAACATATTAATTGTGACAAAAATACAACTATACCTTCAAGATTTTTATTATAAAAAGAGTTCCAAATTCCATTTGACATGTATCCTTTCATATTAGATGTAGTATGTGGTATTCTGTATGTATCATTTCTCAAAATTTGTTTATTTTTAAATTCTTTTAATTCATACATTTTCCATGGAGAACTTAATTCTGTGTACAATGATCTAATATCTTCAAAATGAATTTTCATGGTTTTAGAAAAAAGATATTGAAATAAAGATACAAATTTAAAGAGTGCATTCATGATATAATTTTTGTGTACAAATTCTTTTTGAACAATTTCATTCTGCAATATATATATATATATATACACATTATTTATTATACTTTTTTTATCAAATCTAATTATTTTTATTAAATTTATATCCACTTACCATTTTATTAAATTCTACCAAAAACGTATGTAATTCTTTTTCTTGTTTTTCATTGAATGATTTTTCTGTATATTCAATATTCAAATATTTATGATAAACTTTTAGTGATTTAATTATTTCTTCTGGAATATCTGTTGTATTTAAACAATCTACGAAAGTCTTAATTGTTAAATTCTGCTCACAGGTATATTGTGAAATTTTATTTTCATGTAATGGACATTTATTAGAAAGTGTACAGTCATCAGATTTAATTGTCATTTTTTGTATTAAATTTTTTAATTCACTTGTTGATGCCGCAGAATTTCTTTCATCAAATTTAATACATTTTGACTGCACAAAAGCAAAATTATATTAAACAGTAACTAATTAAATATAAAATAATTAAATTTCAAAATATTCATATAACAAAAAAATTGATGTTTATAAATTATATCATATATAAACTACAATAATGACATCATATATTATAATAATAAAACTTATTCATATTTTATATTCAAATATTTGGTATGAAATATGTACCACATTTATATAAATACAAGTTTTTGTACAAATAGATGAGTTAATAAAAATTACAATATACATTTCAAATTTTAAAAGTGGATCAATATAAGTAGATGAAATACCTTTGTTATGGAGGTATTAGATTTAACATTATTTCTCAATTTGTCTTTAACTTCTTTTATATTTTTAATATTCCTTTTATTTATTGCAAGAAAGTTCTTGCTTCCTGATAATTTTGGTTGTGTTACTAATTGTTCGTTATTATTCTTTGCTTTTTTAAGTTGATCTCTCTGTGCTATCTTATTTTGTCCTTTATCAATATTTTTCTTCTGAATATTTGGTTTTTTACCATGAAGGTTTTGTTCCAAATATATATTTTTACAGTTTATATTTAAATTTTTTACATGTTTCTGTGTTTTACTTCCTACAATTAAGAATACATGTAATAACTAAATAAACTAAAGATATTACTTTTTCAATTAATTTTAAAAATTTCTTTAAATATTTACCAGTTGCTTGAGAACATTCATACATAATGTAGCATTTTGAACTTCTTTCAGTTACATTGGAAGATAATGTTTCTCGTAATTGCTGTGTTTGTATTAATGCTCTACTAATATCTGCAGCAATTTCTTCAACTTCGGTTTTGGTCTTTTAAATAGAAAAAAGGAATTAAATATAATCTTGATGTAAACAATTATACAAAATACTTATATCATAATGGCCTTACTTTGACACACGTACAAACAACTTTATTATCTTCCTGTTGAGGATAAATTTCTGTATACAATGGTTTTAAACAATACATAGCTTCATCACAATTTGATTTTAATACATTCTTTGCTTCTTCTGTAAATACCAAGGTCTGATGTAAAAAGTTAGTTAATTTTGAAAAATTAAATGAGTCTTCCATTGCTATTCTCAAATCTTGCTGTTTCTAACAAACAAAGATAAAAATCAGAAAATAAGAATTTGATAAGTAACATAAAAAAATTAGAGTAGAAATTAAGAATAGTATAGAAAAAATATATAGAAATAATATATCGCTCAAAGTGTTAACTATTTCTCTTATGCACTGAAATATTATGTAAATACAATATATTTATGATATATTTCACAATTCTTTCTGATACATGTGCTATCTTCTTTAACATATTATTAAGTAAATGATTTAAGTAACGATTTATTGGATTTATTTATTTATGGAAATAAAAGTAAATATATATATTTATATATATATATATTTTTTTATATAATTCATTTTATAAAATTTTTACTTAACTAAATTAAAAAAAACATATTAAAATCGTTTTTATTTTAAATGTTCCTAAAACCGTTAGTTTTATAAATGCCATAAATGGAAATGTATTTATCAACGATAAATTTTAATAATATGATCTTTTAAAATAACTATCCTACTATATTAAATAGAACATTTTTTAAAATGTGTTTATTGTACGAGCACGTATGTGTATTTACTTAATAAAAAACAAAGTTTTTTTTATAAAAATAAAATACGATTTACGATTTTGCAGAAACCTTAGCTTAATGATTTTTCACGAGTTACACCTTTATACATCAACATCACAAGATAAAGGTATTGTACCTAAACATTATAATTCTTAGAGGGCAAAGTTTCAAAAAAATGTAAGAACGATACGACAGACGCATTTGCCCTATTTGTGAAGATTGTTTTGATATACAGGTCATTTTCATATCAGACATTCAGATAAAATACATTTTAATTCTAAAATATATAAAACAAATTGTTTTAGCTTCATGTGCAATTTATCACATAAAAACTCAGTCATATGGAGTATATATTGCAACCGTAATATGCCAATCATAGATATATATTTTTATATACATACACATATGTATATGTATATATAAACCTATATAAAACTATAAATAAATTTTAATCGTACAATTTGATTCATAAATCTAAGTAGAAATGAATGATTAAGAAGTCTTCTATAAATTAATATCATTTAAGCAGAATTACAAAATTTATAAACGATATGAGAAGTTATTGAATTTGATGATATAATATCTATAATTCATCTTTTCTTGGCACATCATCATCTTCATCTTCTTCCTGAGCCTGTAAAGATAATATAAAATAAGTTATATTGTTACAATATAATTAATATCAGTTAAAAATTTTTACGAACTTCTTCTGCAGCTTGACCATAAGCACCATCAGACTCAATGAACTTAGAAAGTCCTTCAAGTGTCCTGTCATCATTGTATTCTACAGCCTAAAATTTATTTGATTTAAAATAAATTTATATGTTACTGAATAAATATTAAAGTTTTAATACATGTAAAATTCTTACTTCATTTGTTTCTTTCTTATAGAGAGTAATTGTGGGATAATTAATAATTTTTACATCTTCTAATTCATTTGCAGTAGCATCCATTTTTGCTATAACTAAATCTTCACGGTCTTTGTATTTTTCTCCAAGCTGAAAATGTACACATTATATATATATTTCTTAAAAGTTTCTAAAATTGCAAAAATGGGAAATAGATAAAAGAAACGTACTGCTTCATATATAGGAGCTAATTTTTGACAATGTCCACACCATGGAGCATAAAATTCAACTAAAACGTTTTTCTTCTTATCATATGCAACTTCATGGAAGTTAGCACCAACAAGAACTTTCACAGGATTCTTATCCCAGTCTTCGGGTAAATCCTGTGTAAACAAATGTCTTTTCAATTTGCCTTCGGTAAATGCAGTTACAAATTCCAAAACGTTTTCACTAGATAATTCTGGATTTTCTGGTTTGTATTTAGCCATATCCTGTTCAAGTTCTATAATACGCATAGCAGGTGCATCNACCTCTTCACGGAATTTCTTTGCTGGTTCTTTAATCTTCTCTACATATTCTTCAAAGTGACCAGCTTCTTTACTAAGGAAGACAAGCAGGTGACTTTTAATATCACCACTAAATATCTTTTGTGCGGTATCATGATTGAAATCAACAACTAATGGCAGTGCATGTACAGAGATAAATTTTTGCAATTTTTTCACATCAAGTTCGTCATTAAATTCATTTCTGCCTTCATCAAACTACAATAAATATTAAATGAAATGCAGGACATTACTAACACATTTATCAAAAATTTATTAGAATAAATTAAAATTCACGAACCTTTTTAAACAAAATAACTTTACCATCACTTGTTCCATATTCATTGAAAACTTCGTCGTTGCTACTTATACCAAATACATGATTATCATTTAAAGCATTACCAACCTCTAAAAATACTTTTGCCCCATCTGATTCCGCATCCTAATTAGTATAATTAAATATGTATGTACATTTTTCTTTTTAAAGTTTCACAATATCAATATTAAAAAAAAACAATAAAATTCTGGCAGATACATTTTAACTGAAAAGTAATGATACCTTAAAGAATCCAACGATGGCAACATTTTGTGCTTCAATAAATGACTTAGCTTCTTCAACTGTTGTCAAAACTTTAGCTGCTGGACCAGTCTTTTTGATTACCCAGTTTACAATATCATCTGCTTGACGACCACCGCCATAATCAATAGCTGATCCTTTACGGTAGAATTTAAGAGTAGGATATCCACGAACTCCATGTTTCTCAGCTAATTCTGTTTCAACAGTTGCATCAACTTTGGCTAATTTCACAGGGAAACCACCCTCCTCTAACTTTTTGGCTGCTTTAGCATATTCGGGAGCTAAAGCTTTACAATGTCCACACCATGGTGCATCTAAATGTTAAAATTATTGACATGAACAAAATATGTCTCTGTAATAATAAATTATGTGATTAAGTATATGGTCCTATAAAAATAATCACTACGTTATTCTATGAATTATAATGAAAAATCTAAAATGACATGTCTAAAATATTAAATAAATTTTCATGTATTTTCTTGTAGTCGATATGTTGTCTCTGTTTAAACGAGCTGAACATGTGTAATAAACGTGTGTATTTTACTACGAAATTGCAAATATAATTCTAAAAATATTTATGCATGGTATAAAATCAAGGTTTAATTCTATCGCATATAAAATATTAAAGTGAAATCATGTCAACAAGTGCAATCAATCTTAAGAACCGGCATCTAAATTGATGACGTGTAAAAGGCAAACATCTGGATCAGCTTCAATCACGCTTGAAACGCACGAGGGTGCAAGCGAAATGAATACTGTATTCAGACTTTCGTTACAATTAAAAGATCTATTCAAAAAGAATTAACAATTACTCACAAAATTCAACGAGCACGTAATCGTTTTGTTCGATAGCTTCTGCAATATTATCCTTCGTGAGAACTAAAACCGAGTCTTCGATCTCGATTTTCGCAAGAGTGGAGGCGAAGCAACAAATTACTGCGAACGTTAATGCAAAAAATTTCATCTTTGAACGAAGGCGATTCTATTCCTCGAGAAGTTGCGTCGCGACACGTACGAAAACCTTGTCGACCTACGCGAAATGCAGCGACCCTACCGTTACAATACCAAGATTACAGTCACCGACACTGTCCGCCGAAGAATACGAACAAAGTGATCAAATACAATGATGCAGAGAACTATACAGTTGGTAGATTGTGGTTAATGCGTGGCCTCACATTCATCGTGGGAGCTGCTGATTGGTCAACGCAGTATTTAAGAATCCGGTAGAATGTTAACTGCAAGATTACTATACAAGGATTAGAATATCATATTTTGTAATGATAGAGTTTTACCATTTCACAGTAAATATGAATATATGCCGCATTTTACTTTAATGTGAACATAAAATCTTAATCGGTTTTATTCAATCGCTATACACATAATGAATTTATCATGTTAAACGTAAAAAAAAACAATCGCTATATTTATGTGTTTCCGTCATCTCAGACATCGTTTTCATTTCTAGCAAGAAATAACGCAGTCTACAAAACTAATAATGTAATGCATATTTGCGTAAAAATATGTAATAAAGAATACTTAGCTAATAAAAAATATTTTAAACATTCAATATGTAGTTTTATTACGAAAATTGTCGGAATAATACCATATATATATGTGGAGTATCTTTACGAAGTACCTTTACGAATCAAATTTGTATGTACGTTTCAAGAAAATATTTTTCAATTAAATTTAATTTTTCATTTAATTTTTATATGGTTTTTTTATGTGTTATTGTTACGTTTATTCAAATTTGGAAAATATTTAAATATTAATTTCTGTACGAAATTGTTTTTGAATTAGAGTAACGTAACAACCAAAATTCAAATCGTATTGCCACGTAATTAATTTTTATTTTAATTATTTTCATATATATAAAAAAAACGAACATTTCAATATATTTATTTTCAGTAAAATATTTAAATAAAGAAAAATTAAAATATTTATAATGCTTTTTGTGTAACCTTTGTACGTACACGTAACTTTAACAGATAAAACACTTCACAGTTGTACAGTTCAACTATAAAATTGAACTTCCTAATCTGTTTTTAATTTCTTATCTTTAATTAGCGCTTAATTAACGAGAAATATCTAATTTATTTATATGGCATTACATTGCAATATATTTTTCGCAATTTACTATATTTGAAAATTTTCTAAAAATGATAAAAAATATATATGTATTTCAGATATAGAAATTACATTTATATGCATATGGCATATTACATAAGCGCAATTATAATTATAACTTGTCTATGACAATGTCTTACTTTAATCATGTATTTGTTGTGAAATATTGTACTAATATAGTGTTTGTTATAAAAAATATAATTACAATATTTCAAACAAACAGGTATGACTAAAAAGTAATTATATTTGATAATATTTAAATAAAAAACAATGTATATATATGTATATATTTATTAATAAATTATTATTTATAGATTATTTGTATATATTATGTATTAACGTTCTTTTGATTAAAAAATTCAATGATAGACCTGCAGTACTATAAACTGCACAATTAAAATCATTTTTACACATTAATAGCCTTTTATTAACAAACATGACATTGTATACAGTAACATCAGAAATATTTACAGAAAGTGAGAATTCTTATATAAAATGTAAAAATGACAGTAAGTTCATTACTTTCTAGTTTCTGCTATGTTGTGTATTTATTACATGATAATTGTAACAAGATATATAATTATATGTTTTTAGCTGCAATATCCAAGTTTATTTTTAAGTATCCATCTTATATGATTAAATCAAAATGTCTTAATGATCTGATTTATGATAATGACGACGATATAGATATAGATAGGCAACAAGAAGGAAAATTATTAATAGGTATCAAATTTATGTATAGAATTAATTAGATATTGAAAAAAATTGCTTGTAATAAATTATAATGTTTTTAGAACACCATATATCTACAGAGTTACAACACGTTGGATTGCAAGTGTGGCGAGGTGCATTATTGCTGGCTGATTATATTTTATCCAATCCTAATTTATTCAAAAATAAAGTAATTCTAGAATTAGGTGCTGGAGTTGGCTTAACTAGCATAGTTGCTAGTTTTTCAGCAGAAGAAGTAATTTGTACAGGTAATAAAGTTTATATTATAACACTATTACACTAAATATTATTCACATATATTTAATGCAAATGAATTTCTTACTTTTTAGACATTGATGTAAAAGGAATATTAAAATTAATAGATAGAAATTTTATACGAAACAAAGCTTACATTAAGTCTAAAATTTATGTTAAAGAATTAAATTTTCTAAATTTAAAATGGTCTACATTTTATAAAAAAAGAATAAATGAAGCAACTATTATTTTAGCCGCTGATGGTAAGTTATAAATTTACATCTTTAAAATAAAAATAACATAAATATGTTTGGTAATTTCTTATGTTTATAGTAATCTATGACGAAACTATAACAAAAGGATTTGTTCAAACATTAGCAGAACTTTTAAATTCAGATGTACAGAAAGTTGTCTATATTGCTTTGGAGAAAAGATATGTTTTTACTACAGCCAAAATGGAAACTATTGCTCCAATGTATGAAGAATTTTTGAATCTTATTGAAGCAAAGCACCTTAACTGGCATATTGAATATATTAAAATAGACTTTCCACAATATTTTAAATATAATAGAGTAAAGCAGATGGTTCTGATAAAAATAGAAAACAAGTTAAGTAAATAATGTAATTTAACATATAACATCTAGTATATATTAATATATAGTAATATATTAATAAGAGAAATTTCAAACAATATTAAATTAACAAATTGTTCATATATATTATAATAGTACAAATTAAATTTAAAACAATTTGATGAAAATAAACACAAATAAAAGCAAAATTTTTCTATCCTTATTCATTTTTTTTTAATTATGAAAACGTACATATCATAATTCGCTTTATCATAAAAAGACGTATTTTTCTAAAATAATATCTTTAGCTGTCTATGTGTATGTGTGTATATATATCACATGTCATAATTATCCAAAAGAAGGATTATTTTTTGGGAATAATATAATTACCACTAAAATATATTATTATCCTAGAAAAAGAAAAAAAGACAACAAAAACATAAGATAATTTGAATAATTTCCATTAAAATCACTGAACACTTTAAATTATAATGCTTCTATGTTTATTGTATTTTTTTATTTACAACCTAGCATAAGTAGTAATATTAATGGACAGTGATCAAAGTCGTTCGAAGAGAACAGATATCCTAGAAATCAGTACTTGTTAAAAAATTAAACAAGATTTTATTTAATTATATTATAAAGAAACGTCACGTACGGGAATGTAAACGTTTCTTCGAACGATCATCGGCAGTAAAATTGTGTATATTACACAGAGTAACTTACTAAAGTTCATTCATAAGTTTATCTGAGAGAACGACAATCGGCAAAAATTTTGCTAAATAAAAAACATACTGAATATTTATTTAACACATTATTCACAAATACTCAATGCAAAAGTTATATATTGGCGACAGTCACTCTCATATTCAGATTCTCTCACTTTACAAAGGCACTTTTTATAACAGTTTATTCTTTACTTTGGGGTAAAACTTAATTTACAGCCTCAGTTTATCAAATTGAATTTACAAGAAATATCTGAAGTAATCATACCAAGGTCCCATCTTTTAAGAGATTATGTATTAATTTTTTCGTTTCGTATTTTCATCAAATATTAAATTTATCGATTAATCTATAAGATTATAATTTGAATTAATATTACACAGGAGGTACAACTCTTTTATCATATAAAAGAATAATCTACTATTTGTGATTATGAATATGTAAGATTTATCCAGTGACCTTGATTTCCTCCAAAATGGTAAATTTAATATACATTATGTTTAATAACTTTAATTTTTTATTTTTTCTCAATTTTGATAATAAAGTATTGCGTTCTTAAAATTATGAAAATCATAAGTATACGAGTAATATGATTTTTATATATTACTAAACAAATAGAAAATTCAGAAAATTGGATACATAAAAAGCATCATTGACTAGACCAAGAAAGAGGGTACATATCATATTTTTTTATGAAATAAGATTTTCGGTCACGATATATTCAAAATACTTTTTTTTTATATTCAATTATGTTCAAAAATTTCAATTAGAGCTATACTCCAATTATTCACACTATATTTATCTGAAAGTTTGTCTTTTGCGTCGTTTTTACATTTAAAACTTTCAAATTCATAGAAAATTGATCTAGTAGCTAGAGTAATGATTATCAAGTATTAGCTATAATGTTAATTATTCTAATCGCAGTTATATTCTTTGCAACAAATACTGTACAAAAACGTACAATTAGCGGAGTAACGTATGCATAACAGTTATTAATAGCTATTTCCATTTTGGGGTGGTTTTTGGTTAGTATTACCATTATTCGGTATTGTATCTAAAATCAATTTTCTTCTATGATATTCAGTAGTTACATTTTCACTGGCCATTGATTTTCGGCGTAAAGGTGTTGTATTTTCTGAAACTTGAACTATCGAATTTGTACTCTTACGCCGTGTTGGTAAATCATTCACTTGTCTTTGTCCTATTTCATTCTGATTAGATAACCCATTGGATATTGAAACCATTGTAGAAGTCTTACTATTAGTACAGTTTGTTACACAAACTGTAAAAGCAGTTTTATTTGCATTGTTTTGTACAGACGCAAATGTTGCAGTATTTTTGTTCATAGAATTTTGAATTGTACTATTATGATTTACAGTCTTATTTGATGATGTAGTCATCATATTTGCATATTTACTAACATTATTGTGGATGGATGCTGTCGTTTTTACAGATTGTGAAGTTGGTGAATTAAGCGGTAAAGAAGTTTTTCGTCTCGCATTAGAATTTGAACCATCGTTATTAAAATTTATTTTAGCACTTATACTATTTTGTTTATTAGCATCTAAAGATGCATGACAGCCTGAGCTAAGCCATTTTTCAACTTGAGCTTCATGGGACTTTTGTAAAACTTTTCGAATATCACTATCTTCACCTCCTTCTTTCATAATTTCTTGCAATTTTTGAATAGTTTGATATAAAACCACAGGACTAATTAGACCAAAATCAAACAAACTACACATATGTAAAACAAAATTACGATACAAATTTTTCATGAGCAATTCCTTTCCTTTAGTTTCTAGAAACATTTGGCAAGCCAGTGGTATTTGGCAGTCTCCTACATAACCATACTTCATGACATGTAAATTCCACATTTTCATAAGTTCTTTTTCTCCTTCATTTACATCTGTAAAATCATCAATCATCATCATTGTTTTTGTTTGTAACCATTTTGGATCATTTTCCCCTTCAGAATCAATATCCATTTCTTTTGGATATATAGGTAAACATGTAACAGTATGATGATACAATCTACAAAAATTTTCATAAACCATATATCCTAGTAAGCAATAAATAATAAAATTATTTTAATTTGATTATTGTACCTATTGTGTCCTGTAATGTAAGGTCTTTGGCTTTCATATTCATTCTCATCAAGTTCTAAAAATTCAGAGAGACTTGGCTTAGTTCTTTTTGGACGACATACTAAAATATTTGTTACGCTTGTACGTCTCGTCGGTCCTGTCCTTGAAAATGCTACACTAGATGGCTGTGAGATTAATTCGTGAGGACTACCAGCATAAGAACCATCATAACATTCGTTTATTGCTACATCTATACGAGCACCTTGTGGAATTGGCTATCGAAATAAACATAATTTATTTTATAGTATTTTTATATAATAGATCTATAATATATCTGTAATACATATATTTAAATACTTACCACATACGTAAATGTAAAACGCGAATGACACAATTTTAAATGTTTCAAAAGTGAATAAAGTTTTCCACAGTCTAATGAGCACCATGGGCAATGTAAATCTTCACAAGCTTCTGTTTGTTGACGACTATTATTATTATACAGGAATTGATAAACTATTTGTTGCGTACCCATAATAGTATCCGTTTTTTCACTAGGTGTTGTCATTCTTGAAGAATTAAGAGGACTAGGTGTTGGCAGTGTTGAATTATTGTTGTTATTATTACTGTTGTTATTGTTATTGTTGGTACTATTATTATTATTTGTGGAAGAACGTTCTAAACCAGCTGAAATTATTGTAAATAAAATAATTATTGTTAATAAAATTTTTATTTTTTATTCTGCTTATATATATTTTTCTGTAGAAAAAGTTACTTTTCAGTAGGAAAGAAAGAATAGATATCTTACTGTTTCCTGATCTATTTTCTTTATTATCACCATTTGGTACTGGGTGAATTGGAGTTGGTCTATCAACTAAACCATTACTTGGTTCAATCGTCCAATTAAGCCTAAATTTTAATGTTGGTCCTTTGCTAAATACTTCAAAAGGACCACATTCCTTAATGTCAGGTACAGACTCCCAAGAGCTGTGCTTCTTTGGGCTAGATCGAATATTGGTTTGTACTTCTTGTAAACCTAATTCATAATCACCATCAGTCAATAAACATCGATTATGTTTATCATACACTATGAGTTCAGAACCATACAACTTTATTTCTTCTCCTCCAGTTTTGATTGAACCCGTAGAAGATTTACGACGCTTTTGAGCCGGTTCTGAAGGGAAAGAGGAAAGAAAAAAAATAAATAATATGAAAGTATACTTCCTACAATAATTTGTGACGAGTATTTTTACTAACCATCTAAATCACAGTTATGCATAAGGCAGCCAGTATTGGACGTACAATATACTCTAAGTAAAAGCATGTAAGTTTTAGCTACATGACCATTATTTAAACTGAAAGATTCATTAGGTATAGATATAGTAGGTGCTTTTGGAGGGGGTTGATTTTCACAAGGATTGATTGGAACTTCACTTGTACCAACAGAAACCTAAAGTAAAACAAAAGAAAAAAATTACATAATTATTTATATTATTTATTTATTTCATTTTAGCTAATTGCACAATTGAAAAAATCATACTTGCCTGCATAATTGGTGAACTCACATCTTTTCTTTTTTTGTGACATATTTTCAACAATAATGTTTCTACTTTTACAGGATCCTGAGGTGTTTCAACTGCAACATTAATACCATTATAAAAAGAAGAATTGTATTCAATAAATTAAATAATATCATCTTTAAAGTGAGCTTATGTGTCAGAAAGCGTTTTGTGATTACCTTTTTTATCATAAAAACCTAGAAAAGTAAGAGTCATGTATCCACGAACACTTGGATTATCTTCTTGATTATTTTTTGACATTAGTTTTTCTAATATTGTGTCAATTTTAAACCCTCGTCGAGATTTATGGCTTCTGGACATACGTTGCCTCATGTAAGTTAAATTTCTATATAGAAATATTGGCTAAAAAAGAATTACATAAAATGCTTTATATAATCATATTTTTACTAATTTGCATAAATAAAATTATATACAAAATATAACATTTAATTTAATTCTTTTAAAAATAAACTATAGTTTTGTAAGATAAAAAATTCATATACCTACCGTTTTTTTTTACAAAAAACAAATATAAAAAGTTTCAAGTTTTAATTATATTGCAGAAATGTTCACAAGCACTCTACTGTAGAATTTAATTTTTATTTTATTACAACCCAAGAAAAATTCACTACACTTTTAGTACAAAAATGTTGTACCAAATACATTTTCATTCACTTTTATTTGTCTCTCTATAAACATTTACTGTTTCACATTCATCTAATGTTTTATACATTTTTAATACTAATAAATATTGAAATATTCAGTTAACACTTTGAGGAGAAATTAAACTACAAACAATTAATAATTAAAATAAAATATGAAGTAAATGTGCAAATTTATTTTATTTATTACTCACTGAAATTTGGTTCCTTGTGCGTAAAAATCGGTAAATCTGGGTTGGCTCTGAAAAGATAATAAATAAATTTATTGTAAGAATAAAAAGATATATATTGTAACATTTTTTAATTCATTAAATTCATCATTATTTAATATATTTTTTAATTCAAATATATTAAGAAAAATATAGTTCAATTAAACCCCTACAGAGGGCTCAGACGTTAACATTTTTCTCACAAGTGATATGATCTTTTTAGGGATTTAAAAACATAAATTTCAAAAATTGTGTATGATTCTTCTGTAAGGAAATGTGGGAAATGATGAATAGGTTATGCTCATCTTTAATATGAGAAGCCTGCGTTTATTATACTTGTTACGCTTCAAGCAGGTTAAACCTCTCTGATCCCCATTTCTAACAACCTTAAATAAAACTGAATTTTCAATTTCAATATTTGGATAGTAAAGGTTTTTAGTTTATTATTTATAAACAAAAATGTCTTGAAACCGATAACACTGATTTGTTTACAACCAAATTTAGTTATTATCTATAAGACTTTCGCAAAAATTCTTCTCCAAACAAATATTAGAGCAAAACAGTACAGTAATTAAATAAAATGTTAACGTTAATAGTTTAAGTACATGTTTCTGTACAAAGTTACATTTATTAATAAAAAAAAAAAAACAAAAAACGAAATATTACATAAAACAAAATCGCAAAATTTACTCAAAACTAATTTAAGTTTTGGTAATATGTACATTATTTATCTAATTAGTTAAACATTAGCAATTAAACGTTAAACATTAATAAGAATGACAGGTGTCCACAAATTGCGGCAAAGGAGGGAATACGAAGTGTAACGACGCGCGTTTCGGCGCTCGGTACGTTCGCAGCAAATAGGGTTATGTACGTTCGCTTGTAACATTTATGATAAATATTGAAAAACAGATGATCAGCGACTATCGAGTTATTGCGAGTCCCAATATTAAGTAGTTTTGAAGTCAAGAAATATATAAAAAAAGAAAAAAACGGTAACAGAAAGTCCTTACTTTCGAAGGCCTGTAGGAATAGCTCATGGTCTGCTTGTATTTGATCCATTCGAGGGCCTTTTTGTCCGTCCACTTCTTTCTCCCGCTTTTTCGGCGGCATTTTCATACGATTCGTTGTCAAGTTTCTTACGAAAATCCACTTTCGTCACGTGAAAATCTAATGACAACACCCGCCCCGCGCGAAATCTGCGGCGCTTGGCCTGCAACTAAAGCGCGCTCTTGCATCGTTATTATTAACTAAGAGAACCAATCATTCGTTACCAATACACATCGCGCGTAATTTAAATAATTTGCTCTATAATTCCATAATTCTACAATAATATCCATACGAACATATGAATATATCAAGAGAAAATGTATTAAAATTATAAATGATTTCCTTCTGATAATATATTGTATTACTCTATAACAATATTTTAAACTTATAATGGCAATAGATGTAATAAAATATATATAATTTACATGATTATTAAATTGGGTATTAAAATATATTGCAAATTATTGCATTATCCATTTCTTCAGAATGAGTGTAGAATAATTGTTATGTTATGAATATGATTACATGTTAGCCTAATATGAAAAATTATTTATTTGAAAAAAGAAAGGAAAAATTTTCAATTGTTAGTAAACTATATAGTAAACTACAACTATAAAGTAAAATAGTAGAATATAAAATTAAAATATAACTGTTGTATAGTAAACTACAACTATAAAGTAAAATAGTAGAATATAAAATTAAAATATAACTATTGATATAAAATAAATTTATTATTATAAATTTACTTTACATTACAATATGGTTATAATAAATATAAACATTAAATAAAACTACTTGCATATTTTTCGGGAAAATTTTATAAGGTTGGTCAAACATGAAATATTTTACTAGAGATAAGAATGCCTATGTACATATGAACACATTCCAAACGTGTGTAAAACTAAGTGAATGGATAATGCAATGAATTATAAGATATTAATAACTTGTTCCATTATAAAAATCCGTTCTAAAAATTGGTGATAAAAAGTGAATTTAAAAACAAAACTTGTGATTACTTGTGATATACGTTTATATAATCGTAATTTATATTTCTGTAGCATGATATAAAATAGTATAACTTGCACAATAATATTCAATGAAATTTAAATTAAAATATTAATACAATCAAGTTTGAAATATGATGAAGTATAATATATTCCGTATTACAAATGTTCAATTTATGCAGAAACGATATTTCAAAAAAGTACAAGCAAGAGTGAGATTTGCACCTAGTCCAACTGGTATAAATTTTTTTATAAAATATAATCAATATATACAGTAATATAATATAAAGCTAAAATTATAATATAAAGTTAATAGCATTTCAGTTATTTTATTATTTAATGTAGTATAAAACATAATTTAATGCATGTAAAATTTATTATAGGTTTGCTGCATCTGGGAAGTTTAAGAACTGCGTTATACAATTATTTATTTGCTCGTGCTAATAATGGTGCTTTTATTTTACGAATTGAAGATACTGACCAATCTAGATGTATACCTGATGCAATAGAAAAAATTCAAAGCGATCTGTTATGGTGTGGAATCATACCTGACGAAGATCCAATAAGAGGTGGACCTGCTGGGCCTTACATACAATCAAAACGACTTGAAATATACAAGTATATACAAAACTTTTCTATTTAAATAGATATTTCAATCATTATTGTGTTGTAGTTATATATATGTTCATATTCATAGATATCTGCAAATATTTATTTATTATTCTCTAAAATTTTAGAGCTTATTAAGATCTGTTCAAGTCTATTAAAATATACATGTAACAAAATATTTAATTCCAAATAATACGTTTTTAATTATTATAATGCATATAATTTCTATTTATTAATAATTTAATTATATACAGGTATTTTAGTATATATGGTTAGACTTTTTTTGCTTCTTTTAATAAATATTGTATATTTTCAAAGTTTGTAGTCATTTTTTTCATTAACAGAAATATCTATTTTTATGTTAATCAATATAAAAGATTTAAAATAATATTATTTAATTTAAAAAAATCAAATTTAACTTTGTCTTATAGAAAGATAAGATTTTTTAAGACAAACTAAGATAAAGATAAAGATAACTCAGAAACTTTCTTGAAAGTGAAATTAAATTTGATTTATTATTTTAATGAAGATACTAAAAATTTATTAATATTTATTAAATTTTCTTAAATTTCGTAGACTTAAATATTTATTAAATTAATTTATTAAATTACAGGGAACAAGTGCTTAAACTTATAGATAATCAATCTGCATATTACTGTTTCTGTTCAGACCACAGATTGGATTTATTGCGAAGAGAAGCAGTAAAATCTAGACAAGTGCCTAAATATGATAATAAATGTAGACATTTAAGCAGTGATGAAGTAAAAGCAAAGCTTAATAAGGGAGATCCTTTTTGTATTAGATTTAAAGTATGGGAAAATAGTATTATACAATGTTAGTTATATTTGTATACATATATTTATTTACATTTTTGTAGTTATCTGTTGGAATAGAAAGTTTCAATGATTTAATATATGGCAAAATGAAACATGATATCGCACAAAGGGAAGGAGATCCAATTATTATCAAAACAGATGGTTTCCCAACTTATCATTTTGCAAATGTTGTTGATGATCATCTTATGGAAATATCTCACGTATTAAGAGGAATTGAGTGGCAAGTATCTACACCTAAACACATAATGATGTATAAGTAAGTACTAAAAGATATAATAAAATTTGTAAATATTTTAATATTTGTTAGTGCTTACACTATCTTTTAAATTTTATGTACTTATAAGATATTTTTAAAAATAGAATATTTATATGGAATTCAAATTTTATGTAGTAATTTTACAAAAATATTCTTATTATTAATTACTTGTATTGTGTAAACTATATAATGAGTAATAAAATATTTTTGAAGTTAGAATGTGTTATATTTTTGAATACAAATACTGTGTACTAATTGCATGTAGTATTTAATATAATGAACAGTTAACTCAGTATAAGAATAAAAAAATTATTTTTATTTTATTAGATTTTATTAGATTATTATGGTTTCATTATATATAATAGAATGTTAATGATAATTTTTTTTAATACTTATGTAGAATATTACAAAAAAGAGTTATATACATTTACACGTATTTTATATGTATTTTATGAACATAATATACTTACATATCCTTTACCAAATATCGAAATAATTATATATTATTTATTAACAATCATTTCTAAAATTTTTAAGATTTATTAAAAACAAAATTATATTAATTGGATTAACCTGAATAAACATAATTATAATTATTGCAGAGCATTTAATTGGACTCCACCTTTATATGGACATTTACCTTTAATATTAAATTCTGACGGATCTAAATTATCAAAAAGACAAAACGACATAAACATAGAGTCTTTTAGAAAAGATGGAGTTTTTCCATTAGCAGTTTTAAACTATGTTATTCATGCCGGAGGCGGTTTTGATAATAAAGGCGGTGCTCATTATATTCATAGTTATGAAGAATTAATCAAACAAGTACTTATATTTCTATATTATATCCTTTTTATAAAATATTGGTAATCAATGTAAATTATATTACACGAGCTTTTTTCTAATACTTATTTTAATTTCATTTTAATTGTTTCAGTTTGATATCTCTAAAATAAAAGTAAGTTCTAATAAACTTTCACCTCCAAAATTATTAGAATTTAATAGGATAGAAATAGCAAAATTATTAGCGAATGAAAAAAATAATAAATTTTTAGTTGAAAGAATAATAAAACTAGTCACAGAAGCATTCCCAAATAGGTATGTATGGCTTGTCTAGTATCAGTCTTATCTTATATATATATTCAGAGATTGTTACTTTTAGGGAAACCAATGGAAGTTTACATTTAGACGAGAACCATATTATCTCTGTGTTAAAATGGGCACAGAACAGAATATCAAAATTAAGTGATCTAGTATCTTCAAAATTACATTTTTTATGGATTATGCCAACTACAGCACTAAATGATACTCATTTAGAATATTTAGGTATAATTTTTACTTTCAATTTCATGTGATACATTTATTAACTTTTTATATGATTATAACCATTCCTCCTTACAGATACGCTTAAGATAATCAGTACAAAATTGGATGAAACTGAAATTCAAAATTTTAACAAAGTATGGATAAATAATTACCTAAAAGAATTTGCTAAGGAACATGGAATTTCATATTCGACATTGATGAAAGTCTTACGTTTTGTACTTAGTGATTTGAAGGTAAATGTAGAATATAATTTTTCTTTATACATCTAAAATTGATGTGTGCAATGTTTACATTTTTAGGACGGTCCACCAGTTGCAGAAATGATAGAAATCTTGGGAAAAGATTCTACATTATTAAGAATAAAACGCTGTATTTCTTACAAATAAAAATATGGCTATACATATTTCTAAGTTTATAATTAATTACATCTTGCAATTAATACTTTCTATTAATAATAGAATAAAAATAATTTTACATAGTGTATAAATTTTATACACCCAATTATTATTTATGAAGTACTATAAGAAATATACTAGAATCAATTTCATATATAACGGATCATATAAGAAGCTATTCTTTTTACCTTTAATGTATGAATGTTTTTATTTTCATTTATATATATTAAAGTATAAAAACATACATATAAAGATTAAAAAAATTTACATAATATCACACAGAGGAATTATTCTACGAAAAAATTTCTAAATAATACATCAAATATGTTGATATTTTTTATTTAAAAAATTTATAACCACATTTTAGTCATCAACTGGCTATATAACTGGCATCGACTATAGGGAGAAAACTAAAGGCCTAATTTTGATAACACAATTGCAAAAGTTTACAAATTAATTTCCTGAAATAGCTTTTCTTACAATTGAAAATCTTTATCAATATTCATATTGACATAATACATATATCTAAAAAATCCTACTTTGAACCTCATCAAAATACTAATTCAGCTTTTTAGGATACATTAACATGGACATTCAACGATTCATTTATCTAGCTCTTTGACATGTTTAGCTCCATTCCTCTACACTGGAAGAAGGCACAGCAAAACTTTCCCATCTGCCTCTAGATGCAATGATACTATCATCTTCCAGAAATAATGCATCTTCTGGGAAGCTGAGTGAAGTGACTACCATTGACGATACCTGAAGATTTCTTGTACCGGGATCCATTTGCCAATCGAATTTTAGTATTTACAAAATAATCACAAATGAAACAAAATAATTTTATATTTAATAATTTTTTCTAGCATCAGCTACTCCATAGTTATTATAGTGTACAAAATCTATATTGTATATCAAAATATCAAATACTATATCTATTTAACCAAGCTGGAATTTTAGTATTTGTTTATTAATAGAATAATACACATTATCATAGAATATTACTTACTGTAATTCAAAAAATTGTTAGGATGAAAATAAATTATCAACTAATGTAACATTATAGACTAGACTATTTTTGTTTTACTACGTAAAACAAACTATTACTAGTTTAAAGGATAGTGTTTAAGGATTTATTTAATTTGCAAAGTACATAAGTAAGGAGTTAAAAAAGATATGTATTTTAATTAATATTGATAAATATAATAATTTTTATACAGTTGTATAACACCCTTTATGGTTTTTTTTTACATATTTCTTACATATTATTTATTCATTGAATACTAGATTCACAAAATATAATAATACTCTGAACAATGTATAGAGAATATTTAATATACACAGATGGAATTAAAAAGCTTTTTTCAGTTACAATAAAATATAATTTCTTTCTTTCTTTCTTAAATTTTAAGAAGGAATGCCAGATAAAATTTTATTACATTACTATTATTTAAGGGTGGAGTTTCAGTAATAGTCAAAGATGTATAATAATGTATTTTGAAATTTTCTGTATTTCTCACTACATGAAAACATTTTCTAAGATAGAAACATATTTATATTTATATCTTTTCCATGTGTGTTGATAATATAAACATAAATAGTAATATTTGGATGAACTAAATAAATAAAACAATTAAGGAAATATATATGAAATAGTTTTTATATACAGATTAAAATATATATTTCTTTATTTTATGATAGTTATTAATAATAAAATAGTTTAAAACAATATGTAAGATAACAATAATTTTTTTTATTTAAAATTATATGTAATTCAAACATAACATTATTTAAGTTATAGAGCTACAAAACTATTTTACTAACAGGAAGTTTCTACATTGTACTGAATTTCCTTCATTAAATAAAACTTCAAAATTACTTATATTCTTTAAAATTATTTCTCCTTAAATTTTCTCCTCGTAATATTCATCATGTAATATATGTGTCGTAATTGTTAATTTACCCTTACTAAATATTTTCAGAAATATGAAGTATACAAATATGAAATTACAACTGAATGTTGTATAATACTATCATAATATTATCACCTAAATACAAGTTATAACTTTTATCATAATATTAAACAAGTATCACATGCAAATTATTTTTATAATTCAGTGTTTCTAATATTAAATGTAAAGTCTGGAATGCATAATACAATTTTGAAATTAATATGTTATAATATAATGCCAGTTAAGTACATATCGTTTATATATTTTGAGATTAGAAAATCTAAGATAGGCACTTCTGACCTTGCAGATTTATTATATTGGAATGCAAATTCATATATATGAGAGAATAAAATTTCGTGGTATAGATTGAGCGTATTTGAAAGGGCAAATAATAAATAAAATATTTCATTAATTTATACACTTTTGTAAAGTTTGACAACTACATTATAACAACATTATTCTAATATTTATGTTTTCTAAAAAGATGATTATAATATTGAGAAACAGTTTAACTGATCTCTTTTTACATATTGAGTCAATAGGTTCTGAAACATGTAATATTTCTGTATTTTTATATATTGTTAAAAATAAAATTGGAATTATTGAAAAAATTGTTTTTCCATTTATCATATATTTATAATACATTGAAGTAATATATTGTATATTGTCAATAAAAAATTCACCATTTATAAAAATTAATTTAACATGTGGATATACATTTATCTTTTAAAATTTGTTGTAAGTATCTTTTTTTTTATTCATGGATCAAAAACATTTATAGATGAAAGTTTAACATATTCATCCGTTTGTTTTAGAACACATAAAAATAATAACTTTAATTAATAAATTGCTGATTTTTATGCATTTATGAAATTATTATTTATATTCATGCAATTATTTTATAATTTGTGCAAATTAAAGGTTCAAAAATGCATAGAATACATAGTACATAAAATATTCAAAATACAATATTTATCATAATTTTTATTGGAAATCTCTATTTAGACTCTCATTATTTATATTTATAAAAACATAAAATTACATAAAAATCTGCAATCTGTTTATTATTATTATTAATCTAGGTAAAATTGTTGAGATTAAATTTACAATATTTTTTAAAAAAGACTTAATTATTATGCAATTGCAATTTTTCAGTTAAAACTATGTAGACACATCTGCTTTTGTATATATACTTTCTACATGTCATTACAATATATTTAATGGATTATATTTATACCAAACATATATGTATGAGTACGAAGAAATGAGAAAAAGCTGCGTTAATCGCAACGTGACGATTAGATAAAAAAAAGAAGCATCCTGCGATACGAAGATATACAAAATAATAAATAGATATCATAAATGCACAAATATCAAATTTTTAGGGAAATAAAAATAATTGGTGCAGCATAATAAATCTTATTTTTAATTTTTTATCGCATTTGTTTTCTACAAGATTTTTTAAACTATATCATAGTCTGTTTAATTGCATATCATTCCATGTTTAATACTTATATTCCCTGTCTCAATCTTGAATCATACAATTTGGAATATTAGAGAAAAAATGGGATATGTTTTCTACAACATTCATAGTATTGAAATTAATTTTAGGCCACTAGATCAGAAATATTACTATTAAAATTTGGCCTGGCAAATCAAGTAAAACTTTTAACATTATCTTATAGTCAAACGACTTCTTAATCCTGCTCTAGTGGAAAAATCAAATAGAAATTTTCCAAAGCATTTTTAGTTTCACTCTACTCTTATGTTAAGGAGAAGTGAAAATTGATGTAGGGGAAAAACAATGGAGTACTAAAAATGAATATTACGGAGTTGAAGATGAATGATATAATCATAGATTTAGAGAGGAACACACGACGGTGTTGTCTTCATCACCACTGACAAGTTTCTCTTAAGAAGAAATAAATGAAGACAAAAGATATGTCACCATATCTTGTGCCTCTATATATACTTTGTAATGTAATTATCTTCTTACAAGAAAACTGTATTATTTGCAATATTTTTATGATGAATAAATAACAGAAATTTAAGGTATTTTTGAAATGGTTGTCTCGCAGATGTAAATACATAGTTTATTAATGTAATATTTTCGCACTAACAAAAAGACTATGAAAAGTAGATAAAAGGAAATATATGAATATTGAGATCAATAAGATATGTATACAAATGATATCAACAAAATAATCTGGCATTAAAAAAAATTTTCTAAAATTAATAATAGTGTAATATTATAAAACATAATGATAGAATATTATAATATAATAAGTGTTGTGATTATGAATAAACGTATACATGTGTATAAAGGGCATTTAATAGGCACGTACATCACAAAATTGAACGTAGTGAGATTTGGTGGAAGAATAAATACAAACATGCACATTTGACAATAAAAGTATAATATGCATTGCATTCATATATCTTAAAATATTTCTTAAAGAAATTAGTATATAAAAATTTAAAAATATTTATTCATATTTAAATAAAAATGTAAAACTACAGATATTTTGCTGACACAAAATTGAACATAGCGAAATTTTTAAATTACGCGGATCTATATACGTTGAATAGTGATGTTATTAAAGGGGAAAATTCCGCGAAATGTTTTTAAATATGCGATGCTGAGAAATGAAAAACGAATTGTTAATTATTGTCTAATATATGTCTAACAATTAAACATTAGTAGCAAGATGTGTGACAAAAGAAAAGAAATTATAATACGAAAACATATCATAAAGTTATACATATAAGATATAAATACGAGGATATAATTCGTAATTTGGCCAAGCAAAAAAAGAAAAAAATTATTATGAAAATTACACGAAGAAAACAATATTTCGCTATTTTTTATCCAAATTATGTCATCAAAATACATATAGCATCACATTTTCACTAAAATATAAATAAATATTTTATATTATTTTTAAATTTTGTTACTAATTACCTCTTAAACCATATGAATACAAAATATATTACGACAAATACAAATGTATATTTCCCATTAAATGTAATTAATTTAATTACTATCAATGTAAGTGTACAATTTTGTGATTAACTGGACATAACATAAATACACACCTCACATACGTGCAATTAAACACGTATTTATATACTTAAATTATTGTATATATATTTTTAACTGAATATAATACAACATACGTACATACATACATATGTACATATATCAATAAAACAAGCAAGTGCACGTGTGAGGATATCAGGATATTAATATATCGTGTATTTGCTGTGAATTATAAAACAAATAAGTTCAAAATCAGGAATTAATACCCGAGTAATATAGTTTGAAGTATTCATAAGATTCATTAGTATTCACAAAGATAAAAAAGAACAGAATATGACCAAACATGATATAACAAAGAGGTATTAAAACCTCTGAATAATTCAGCCACAGGCAGTTCCGAAAGATAGCGATTGTTTTTTTTTTGGCATTTGTAAATTTAAAATTATTAGTAATAGTAATAGTGGTAGCAATAGTCAATAATAACTACATTATTAGTTTTTAAGCTTATTTATAAGAAATTATTTCAAATTGAGTTAATCCCTATTTAATAAATATTTAAGTAATCCCTATTAATAATATTTAAGTAAATCTTACATATTTGTGTAATTTAATTGTCAATCGCGTGCTACACGAATTATTTTCTTCTTCTTTTTCTGTTTTTTCTTTTTTTTTTGTTACAGCAACATAGCAACATTGAAATTATGATACATTTAAAAAACTTATTTTCTCAGTTTTTCAATAAATTTGTACATGATATTTTTATTGCCACTGGCAGGTGATTCACACGCATTTCATTACCAGCATTATCATTAACATTTTAATTATTATTTATTTCAAGATTCTTATAATAAGATCATAGAAATTAAATTTCACTTTCATTTATAATCATATTGCATTGTATTAAAAATGCTTTCTTAAATATCTTTTAATTTCATTAGAAATTTAAATGTAATAAAAAAAGTACAGAGCACTTTATGTATACAGTGTGTTATTTTGGTACACACATGTAATAGTTTGATTGTGCATATGTGCATGTATATGTGTATGTATATATACTATATATAGTGTATAATAATAGATAAACTATATGGATAAGAATTTACAGTGCATATAGTAAAATACAAATTCAATACAACTTCAAGTATAAATAATATAAATATAAACATATTATTTTGAACTATTATATTTTATCATAATGCAAAAGTAAATATCCAATTATTGCAAATTTTATCATTCACAGCATTGTATAAATCTTACATTATTTTTTACAGTTGATACATGTTGACACATAATATAACATGTTTGTTCTTTATTTCATTCAATATATAACTTCTATCAATTTTTCGTATACTTATTATTTTAAAACTATTTAACTTAAAAATTTATAAATTGTTTTTTTAAATATTCGTAATTTTAATATTTAAATTTCAACATTTAAAAATTTTAAAAGTAAAATATTTTATAAACCACACGTTAAAAAAACTAAGAAATTTTATACAAATATAAACAGTCTTAAGAATATTATAAGATAGTACTATAGTAAGATTATATGTCAAAAATATATGAAAAATTATTTTTTCACGTTAATAAATGTATGTGTATTAACTGCAAAAAATAATTTTGTAATCGGTATTGTAATTTTTATAATTAAATTAGCGTAATTTTTTAGCAATATTTTTTATCTTTGTTTTTATCTGCAATCAATACATTTTTTCATATTCATCAGTGTTAATATATATATTAAGAATTATATTTACTAAGTTATTGTACTACAGAAGTTTCATGTCTATTAATAGTTTTGTAAATACATATTGCTTAATATAAGTATGTTTTAATTTCAAGATTGAATAGTATAAGAAATATTTTCTATGTGCTATATATGAAAATATTAAACTATATCAGTTTCTGTCACCAGTTTCATTTAAAAAATTATGAATTTAAAACATCACAGAACCTATTTTGTAATATAGTTTTTTCTTAAACATATTTGTATATATACATACATACACATTTTACTTTTTTGCACAAGAAATCAAAATCAGAGTAAATAATACAAATTGTAATGTAATATACATTATGTAAATTATATAATTGACAATATTTATTTCATATTTAAATTTAGAATGTAATTTTCAAATATATTAATACTGTTGCAAGTAAATTTAGTTGAAATTCTAAATTGTAATATATATCAAATATAAAAAACAACAAATAATGATATAATATATATCTTCAAACTTATAATTTACATTAATATATGATTGAAGTCTTTAATTTTTATACAATATACAAAGGAACAAATATAACTTAAATTAATGAATTAAAATTTTTTTTGTTTAATAAATGCATTATTGATGCTAGGCTCATGTCTAATAATATTTTATAATAGGAATTGCATTAAAATATATCTCATTAGACATGACTATAACATATTTGTATTTTTAAAGGATAAAAAGTTTTTCTTATAATTCCTATATAATCATTTGTCTTTTGACATAGAACCGGTTCAACAGTTTGGCACAAATAATATTATTTTATCATATACAGCAGTGTAGAAAATAATTTTCTCATAACACTGCTGTGTCACACTAAGTGCCCTTTTTATTAGAATATTTATGTTATGCTTGTGTTACATAAAATTTTTAATTATAATATAAGGATTCGATCCTTGTCCTACTTTTTAAATGATCTATATATTCAAAACCTACATTTTACAATATCCGAATAATTATTAACTGGCATAACAGATTATTTTATTGATTGTATATTTTATACTTTTAAATATTTAAATTAGTTATAACTAATTATTTAGATCATTGATAGCTTGTAAGATTCGTTTAACATGTCCTACTTTAGTAATACCAAGTTCCTTGAGATCTCTACGTGCTAATGATAATAATTCCCTACCTCGTATATCATGGGAAACAAATTTATCGGTATATTCACCTAATTGTAAATTCTCCAACCAGGAACACACTTCTTGCACACCCCACGTAGTAACTTGATCTCGAATGGGATTTGTTCCAGAATTAACTCCTGATCGTCGAAACTTTAACCAGAATAAACCTCTATGACGATTCTTTTTATCTCCCTATACAAATGTAATTTTATGAAACTTCTATTTCATTTCATTCATTACATAAATTATGTTTATATGTATAAGATGAAACAACAAATTAATGTGATCACTTAAAGTGTTTTCATTAATCAACGATTTTATTGATGAATTGTTGAATCAATTTTTTGTCATAAAGAATAGTCATAAAGCTAAACAAAAAACTTGAAAATAATTTTGAAAACTAATTTAAGAGGAGAACAGAAAAGTTCTGATTGCAACATTTTGAATATTACTAGAAAGTGTATATCTTTATCATTTATGATGATAATTTTTTGATCAGATCTAATTAAAAAGTAACTATATCAAATAATTCATATTGTATAACAGTTTCAAAATCCTTAGAAAAGACTAAGATATTACAAATTAAAAATTATAAGTGAAAAATTATACCTGTTCATCTGATGGCAAGTTTTGTAAATATACTAATCCTGTGCCTCCTTCATCAAATGTAAATTTTTTTAATTCTTGTTCCATACTGGCCAAAGAAAATGATAACTTACTTTCTAAATCTTCTCGTAATTTCTAGATTATATATAAATTTTATTATTAAAAAATTATCATTAAAATATCAGAAAAGATTAACCCTTCTACTACTAACTCTTTAATAGCCGATTGTCATACGCTGCATGTTAAACGAATGTTTCGGCATGCTTGGTTAAACATTTTTTAAGAAATATTGGCTCCATTTAGCTTCATTCTTTATAGTGATAATTGGCTCCATTTAGTTTCATTTTTTATAGTGATAGAAGGGTTAATAATGTATAAAATGTATATTACTCACTAGATTATGTGCTTTATCTCTAAGTAATTCACACGAATCTTCATAAAGTTGTCGTGCACTTGACACCAACTCGGTTACTACTGGTCTTAAATTAATCTGTTAAATAGAAATGACTTATTAGAAATGAATATAGTTTCAAAAATATCTAATAATATCGATCATATATAATATCATATGATCAATAATATCGACATAATACAATTAAGTAAATAATTAACAAATAATAACTATTTAAATAACTTGCTTAAAGAATATACTTTAATAAATTAATTATATTATAGGAAAAATATAAAAATGTTCACATTATTCATGTTCAAGAAAAATTATATGTAAAATATATGTGAATTATAATAATATGAAATGATATATTACTAACTCCTTGTAAAATTTTCCCATCTGGGTGAACTTGTTCAAGAGCTTGCGCTGTTCGTGCTGCAACTTGGTACAAATCTGGTTCCAAACTTGGATGTGATATAATGAGAAGTTTGACCCATTTGACTAAAGTTGTAACCACCTCAATGAATCCCAGCAGAATATACATTTCATCATCATTTAAATATGACGGTTTATTATGTACTTGTAAAGATTTAGGTTGTGATTGCAATGGTGTATTGCTTAAAGTAGATGCTGACTGAGATATTGCGTTGAGTGTATTGCGTTGTTTTTCCTCCCATGTTTTTAAAGATGTTTCAAGTGCCTATATTCAAAAAATAGATTATAATGTATTTCTATTTATTTTCACACATGTATATTATATTCTAATACCAAATTATTTACCCTATTTCTGTAAAGCATTTGCATACGATTTTTATGTATAATACGTATAATACCAGGAGGTTGAATCCAAGCTTCACCATCAACTTGTATGGGTACTCCCTCATCACCCAAAATATTAATTTGAACTGTCTGACATTGCGCAATTCTATGGTGTTGTAAATTAATTAATCGTGATGCAGCCATTTGAACAGAACCAAACACAGCTACAACTTCTAATATACGATCATCAAATGAAGGTGCCAAAAACAAATCTCCTTCTTTTGTGCCTCCCCAAAAATTTGTACCACCCATAAAACTGAAAAATACACAGAATATTGATAACATTTTATACATATTTTACTTTTATATATATATATAAAAGTAAATAGTATATATATATATATATATACCTTGGAATGTTTAATACAACAATTCCTTGCAACGAAGGTAATGGTATTCGTTGACCATCACATTCTAACTGTACTCTTTGTTCTAGATTTTTATATGTTTTTTGTAACCATTGCTTAGATCCTAATACACCATACCACATGTAATTTTTTGCTCGTGATCGACATTTTTCAGGATGTTCTTCTCTCTTATGATGAAAATCAAGACTAATTTTTGCATCTATGCCAATTCCAAAATAATTATTCATGACACAACGTTCAAAATAACCTTCCCTATAAAGTTTAAAAAAAAAACCTATTTTAGTTTATCTTGTATTCTGTTTTAATTTCTTATTTATATAATAATTCACTTGTTTCATTAATATATAATAATTATTATGATATTGATTATAAGTTAATTTTTAATATATATTTTTTGAAAATCTCATTATTAAAATTGATATTTGATTATTACATAAGTTGCTATATAATAAGAATATGATCAAAAATTATAGAATATTAATATTACTTATATTAGTCTATATTGCATAAAATCACAGCAAAGAATATATAACTTACATTAATGTTTCATCAGGATCCATTAATGGCGATACTGCAGCACAAAGTGCATCTGCATTTGCAAGTAATGCTTGACTAATAAGTCCTGTTCCACCACTAATATCTATGGAAACATAAATAAAATAATAAATTTCGATGTTTAAGTAATATACTTTTGATTGTTTTTTGATGTTTAAATAATATACTTTGACAAAAAATTATAAAATTAATATATAATCTTCATGTAATCCTAATAAGATTATTTAAAATATCTTTATGTCTTATTCATTTCCTATTAAAACACTACATTATTATAAATAACATTACAATTTTGTACTATTATTTTATGCTAGTTTAATTACAGTAAATTTTATCGAACATCATTATACAAATTACATATTATAATTATACATTATATACAAATATCATAATAAAATATTTACTCACTCGGCCACATAGGTGACAGAACTAATGGATTAATAATTGGAAGTTTTTTAACATCTTCTGTTTTGTCAACAGATTTTACTCTTTCATGACGTAAACTTACACTGGAACCACCAAATCTCGCAGCTGTAGCAGCCAAAGAAACAACCTCTGACGCTTTTAACAAACTTCCACTGCTAATTCGACGAGTTGCTTGAGGAGAAAAACCCGATTCTGGTAGCTCTACACTTACTAATCATTTACAAAAATAATAAAATAATTATTTTATATATATTACTATATTTGTATAAACAAGTTATGAAAAAAGTCATACAATTTTTTATATAATGAAATATTTACAATCGTAAAAATTTTTTGTTATTTGAAAAATTATTATTATATTTAATAACGCGCATAATGACTTAAATCTAAATCTATAAAACGTTAACTTACATCTTTCCATACTTTCACAAGTGTGTCGTCTTAAATAAGGATTCATTTTATATTCTACATCTGAATCGTGTTGACTTTCAATTGACATTGATGGACTGGGAGGATTAATGATAACACTTATTGTAGGTGGAAAGTTGTTATGTTTATCGTTTGTTGGAGTTGCATCCGAAGATACAGTAAAGCAACATACGGGACTTAGTAAATCAGATGCTTTGGCATCGTGAGAATCTTTAAACTTATTCATTTCGTTTACATTCTGTCCCGTTGATCCCATTTTGTATTTTATTTTATTCTAATAAAAATTAAATAGAAGATTTTTACCAATACATATATTAAATATCTATGTAAATTCAAGTATAAGTAATATAAATTTTTTCATAAAATTATATTTACTAAATATCAATTTTGTTACCTCTATTTCTATAACAGTAGAACTTTTTGTTGATCTTTTAAATGATCGTTTAGCAATTTCATTTGTAAGATCAGTATTTTCTAATTCATTTTCTAAATACTCTCTTACAGAATCATATTCTTCTCCATTCATTATACTAGTTAAATCTTGTCCCATTAAACTTTCAGAATTTTGTATTTCACTAGTGACCATTTCTGAATTATCAGGAGAATCAATATGCCTAATTTCAGAATCAAATGCATCACTACTTATATATCCTAAAACAAATACGTGAAACATATAAAAATGTTTGTGTGAACTTTGTTCTTAAATATTCATTAGAACACTTTAATCATAATATTTTATCATTCTGATTTGAAATTTGATTTATATCAATACAATTAAATAAATTATTAATAAAAAATATTTTAAATTAAAAATGGCATAAAATATATAAAAATATTAAAGTATTATAAATAAATTTAAAAAAGATAATAATTTAACATTAATTTAATATCATATTTACAATACATTAATTTAATAATTTTCTGATAAATCAAATAAAATAAAAGAAAATAAAAAATTTGTATTACTACAGATTGTGTAAAATAGAATTCAAAATAATTATAGTCTAATTTATAGTTATAGTCTAATTACCCAAATATTAGTAGTAGGTTATGTAAATATTAATAATATTATTATAATTACCTTTAATTGTTTCCATCTTAGCTTTATTTTCATGTATTGGTGATTGGATTGAATCTATTTCAGAAGAAATGTCTTGTGTAGTTCCATCTTCGGAAGGTGAACTTGTATCAAAAGTAGTTCTTGTAACACTAACTTGAAATTCTGAAGAAATTTCTACATTATTAGAATCAGATATTTGTTGATCATTAGATTCTGGTGTTTCTGCTTCTTGTTCATTGTCCATAGACATATGAAAGTTAAATGAACTGAAAATAAAATCGAATAATAATTTATTATTGTTTCTGCACTTTTTATAATATTTATTTAAATTAGAAGCTTTATTTTAACTTATAAAGTCTTCTGAATTCGTTTATTAATTCGTTATTAGTTTATATATATAAAGATAATAACAATATCATGTTTTTGAATTCTAAATATGCATAATATTATAATATAATATTATACAAAATATGATAATATTAGTATATGATTATATTATATTATTTAATTATATTATATTATATTATATAATTATATTATATTATTATTTCTATATTATATAATTTATATATTTTGTATTATATTCATTTGCATCAATAATTTATGTTATACAAAAAATCAAAATATATGGATACCTTTGCAAATTTTCACTGTTTCGTCTACTATCAGCAAAACCATCAGGTGCAGGTAATGTTAATAATTCTTCGGGTTGAGAATCTCTTCTAAGATCAGGTATTGGACTCAGAGATGCTACATTAGGCGTTGGACTAGTACACGTTGAATTATCTGTGCTTTTTACAGATTCTATTAATGGTCCTACAGATAAATTATCAACGTGGTCCACTCTTAAACCAGGAATATCCAGCTGCTGTCTTTTATCTGAAACATATTTTTTCATAATATTATAAACATTAATAATAAAATAAATAATGCATTACAAACTTTTTAATAAAAATTTAAGGTAATTATTACTATAAACTTACTTGATATTGAATTTATTATAGTATCGTCGTCTAGTGAACTATTTCCTACTTTAGTAGCATCTTTTGTATTAATCTGATCATCCGTAATCAATTGCGAATATTCCACAATTTTTCTTACAATTCTTTTTAAACTATTTGCTCTAAAATTCAATAGGAATATTATACATTTTTATTTATATTAGATAAATGCATGTTTAATGTTTATATGTATGTATGTTTAACACACCTTGACATTACTGTTTCTTTTTCTATGAGTTGTCTTTTTTTTTGAACTTTTTTCAAATTTGTTATATCTTTTTCCCGTTTCTCTAATACTCCTTTTTCACAAATATCAGGTGAAACAGAAATTTCAGTAGTTAAAGTAATGTTGTCTGCATCATCTAAATTCTCATTTAGATGTCCTTCTTCTTTACACAATATTTCTAAAAACAAATCAAGTTTTTGTTGAAGTATCTTACATTTTTCTTCCACATGTTGGTCCTCTGAGTTTATATTTTCCATTATATATGTTGCAAAATCTTTTACTGTGTCACATAAAATTCTGTAAATAAACATTTTATTAAAATAATTTTTGCCTCTTGATATGTATCATATTTTTCATATTACTTTTATCATATTAAATAATTTTATTTGCAGACTTTTAAATTAATTAATCAGTTTATTTTTAATAATTATTAGAGATTTACTTTAATATCACTATATTTTTTGCATGAAATACTTACTTAATACTAGATAAAACTACATTTTCTTGATCTGATTCCAAAATGTTTGTTATATGACTAATAACATTATCCTCATATTGATGGGTAATACTAGATTTTAATGTACTGTTAGACTGACTTAAAACACTTTTAGGACATGGCAAAGATATGCTACGTTCAAAAGTCATAATACTCCATCGATCAAGCATCTTTGTGCCCGCTTTTTCATATTTTTCTAACAATTGCGGTAAATGAGCATCATCATCACAAGAAGATCCCCAACCCAAAACACGAGCCAGATCATTTCCAGTTCCCAATGGTAGAACTCCAACTTGACACTGCTTCTATTTTAAATTTTTATGCAAAGAATGATTTTGTTAGAGTTCTTAAAAATACGAGTATTTAAAAATAATTAATACTTATAAAAAAGTTTTAAAATCTCGAAGTCTATAATCATACACTATTACTATTTAATCAATTATTTTGTACATAAACATAATAGAATAATTACATAAATATTGAGGTATGAGTTGCACTATAAAATGAATAATTTTTTATCTATTACACAACATACATCGCAAATAAGCAAAGCAATAGTTAAACATTCAGAAAAAAGAAGTTTGTTTCTTATAATAAAAATACAAATTTTCAATATTAAATTTATTATAAAATATTTAATATTAGTCTACTGTGCAAATAGTATTCTATTTCCTAAATTTCTTATTATAGAACCTTAATGTTCCTAGAAAAGTTTTGTTGCAGATGTGGATATAAATTGTAGTAAGAATATTACTATCAATTGTAAAGCCATTTCTGTCAGTTTCTTACGACTTAAAATTTATCTTGAACAACAATATTAAATTATCGCTTAATTTTCCTTCTTTTATTCTATAAATTTTTTTCTATCTTCAATCATTGTATTAGGTATGATACATAATTATAGTATTATTATTATATATATGCATTATATATTATAATATTAGACATAATCTTTTCATATCTTTTCATAAATTTTGTTTCGTCTAAACAAATTAATAATTAAAATTCAAATTATAACATGTACTATAAAATGTCTATATTTTAGAAATATATGAAATACATAAAAAAATAATTGTTTTTTTAATCAATTATATCAGTTTACGAACTATAATTGCATAAAGATTGTTTAAAAACACAAAGTAAACTGAATTTTTAATCTAATTGGATTTCAATAAATTTTAACTAATGTCATCCAAGCATTTGGCTACTCAATATCTGAAACTACTAATTTAACAGTAAAATCATAACCAACACTTACTTAAAAATAAATGTGCAAAAGTTTCTAAACATTACTTATGAAAGAATGCACTATTCTAACAACTCAAACAATTATTAAGAAGAAAAAATGAAATAAACATGTACTAACTTAAATTTTATCATTGAATATCTTATAAAACCTTTTAATAATATGAATAAAAATATATACAACCTATAAGCCTATCATAAGTCTGTAACAATTGTAATATTTGATTTAAAGAAATTTTAAAACTCCTACATTCTTTGTACTATTAAGATTTATGAAACTGATTCTCAATACTATCATTTGTAATTATACCTTATATTACCACTATTGCTGCAATCTACAAATATATGGAACATTATACAGATCAATCACACACCTTTTGAATCGTCTGGTGTAGAATTCCACTATAAATCCAAATCCAGAGGAACTAATTCCATTGTTATAATCATAGGAAGAATAGTTTTGTACTTTAATCCAAATTCCATTGGTTCCAATCTGCTCCAGTCTCTCATAATTACACTGAATTATGTAACAAGATAAGTGAAACATAAGAAACAAACTTTCGGAAATTTCTCTCAAAACTTTCCTCTTAAAGCGAAAAGTATCTAATAAAAATATTCTCTAAATTTTATTTAAGCATTTTCTTTTTCTAAATATTTATTTTATACCGATTTATTTATTTACTTTTCTATGTGTTTTCAGTATTTATCTGTAAATAATTTACTAAAAAACTTTATATTACCTAGTAAAATAACTTTATTGACTCACTTTACTTTTAAATTTGTTTTACTGTTGTAATTTAATTAATTGTGTTTGCTACAATTATCATGTGTAATAACTGGGTTTTAAAATTAGATTAAAATTAATAATTAACAATCATAATGCGAATATATATTTTATTAAATGAAATAATATCATTTTCCTACACAATTTTTGCACTTGATAATTCATGATTTATATGAATTATATCTTTCTTAAATTTTATATCTTACAGGCTTTTGTAATAAATCATATAACATAAAATTTTATAATGGACAACTTTTATAATAAAATAGGTTTTAATGCCAGTAACTACTTAAATTATAAATGTGCAATTATAATTACAATTATTATATTACAAAATTAGAAAGAATTACTACATGAAATTGTGAATAAATAATATGATACTTAAATATTTGTAATGTATAAATAACAACTAACAAGACATTCAAGAATTATCAAAAAGTGCGTGCTTAACTTACACTTACCATCTACAATAAATAAAGTTAATGAAGCTTCACGTATATAAAGAATCCTAATGCATAAACACCAGTATCATCTGAAATAAAATTATAAAAGAGACACGCCATGCTGTGTAAAATATTAAAGCTTTTCATTATTATACACTTAATCTTTTGTAATATTTATAAATTTATTTTAGTAAGCTGGAATTTCAAAAATAATTTTAAATATTTATATTTTTAACTTGCATAAAATTTTAGTTTCAATTACTTAATCTTTTACTTTTCTTATATTATCTTACAACTATAAATATCTTGTTGTTATTTGAGAAAATATAAATTCTTTCCCAATGAATTTCTTCAACATTTTCCTTATATTTAATATATAATTTTTCATCTAATAGTTTTAGCTAATAATAAATTTGATATATATTTTGATTATTACAGAAAGATTAAGCAAATTATGGATATTGCTTTAAAATCACTGCTATTCACAAAAATCTTATGTAACTGTAAGACATAATATGGAGATAGAGTCTTCATATAGGAAAAAAATAAAGCAGACAAGAAAATCAATTTTGATGCATTTTTTATGTTAATTATTAAACTGATTTTATTGAGCTATCATTTATTTATACTGGTTTTGAGTATAAAAATACTTAACTCCAGAGATGTTTGATATTTTTTATCACTATAATAGTAAATACAGTGCTTTGTTAAATATTTCATGTTTTTCAACAATTTTTTTCATAGGTTTATTATAATAGTTATAAGATTGTCGTTAAAGAGAAAATAAGAAAACAATTTATGTTATAAAAAGTAAATAAATATACTGCTTATTTATAAAGAAAATAGAAAAAATTTAGTAAAAAATTCACAAAAATGATGAATTTTATAACTTGATCTTTTTATATTCGTAATTTGCTATTTCGTTGAATTAGTTTATAATAAGTTGGATATTTTGTTTAAAAAGACAAAATTAATTTTCCAATCCCTTATATTTTTTATTTGAAATCACCATATCTATTACAAATTTTCTAAATTTGTTACTTAATAAAAACAACTATATTTGAGATAGACAGAATTAATGGGATATCTTATATATATGAATATTCTGGTATATTATATAGCAAGATATTATAACATTCCAATAAAATGCAAACATGCGAATGACAAAAAGAGTAAATTTTTTTTGTTACTTTCATTTCAAACATGTTTCTGATTAAAATAATTTTGTAATTTCTAAATCGTACAATAATATTTGTATATAGTTTATATTCATGCATATTAATACTCTACAGAGCATTACAGCTTCTGCATAACAAACATTTTCAAAGTGAATTTATATATATTCTACGTAATAATATTTTAAAATCATGCAATTAGCAAATATTTACAAAATCAGAAGATTATATGAACTTTTGACTTACATGCATCCCAAGGCGATCAATTTCAGAAAGAACCCAACCAACAGAGCCATCTCCACTGCATACCAAAATACGAAATGGATCAAAGTGACGAAATAATCTTAACCTATTTATAAAAATATATTAATAAATTGTATTAACATTATTTAAAATTATATAAAATTTTATAAAACATCTTACCCTGGTCCTGGTCCTCCTTTTATAAGATCAAATACTTGTGCTGGATTTAATAATTGTTTAAATCTTCTAAGAAATTTAATACCTTGATTGTCACCAGATTTACTATTTACAAATACTAAAAGTGGGCTGCATCCAGTAGGTCTTGTAGCTTCCCAAGCTTCATCACTACCTATTAAATAATTATTGCATACTATGTAAAATACTGGATATATACCTATGTAATATCATTGTATTACAAGACTAAAAAATTTATTTTCTAAAATTATGCTGCATTTTATACATATAAAAGCTTAATAAACAGTATTTATCAAATATTGCAACTAAACTATAGAAAAAAAGTGAATTAAATATTAGATATGTTACCAAAAATTTACAAGTAATGTCACCTATACTATGCAGTGCTGTAGGAGGAACTACACTCAATTTAACTGGTCCTAATGGACACTTAACACTTATGGCAGGTCTACAAGCTGTATGTACTGTAGCTCTACACCATAAACATCTCCAATCTTGAAGCCTAAATAGTTGATATAAAAAAGTAAATACAAATTTCAAATATAAACTGGTTCATATTTTTCATAAATTAACATTATACCTGAGTACAGAGCCACAAGTTTTGTCACATACAGAACATTTTGAGGATACTGGTAAATTGCCTTCCATCCATTGATGAGGCATAGTAATGTTCTATATAAAAATAGTTTAAAAAATGAACTATAACAATTACAATTTGTTTTCCAATCAAAATAAAAGAATAACATTGATGTCTCATAACAAGTAGAAATCTTTCTTTTTTTTATTCAAATTTTTCTTTTATTTGAATTATTGTTTTTTTTTTTTAACACATACTAAAAAATATATTTTAACAGAAAAGCTATATATTAATCTTTCTACACAGCAAAAATAAAAAATAAATATATAATACAAATCTAGTAATTTTTAAAAAATTAATATCTTTACAAGGACAATTTTAATCAATTTTTTACACATACCCCATCTTGGTCCTCAATAATGTCCTTGCCAATAGATGCCAATGTGGTCCATTTGCAATTATTTATTGCTTTTATGCTACATCGTTTATGAACTTTATATTTACATATTTCACAACTTAAACCATGAGAAGTAACACCTATAATTTTATAATATAAATCAATGTACATATATTATATGTATAATTAATGCATATTAATTAATATGCATTATTTATGACATGTATTTATTATTTTACTTTTATAATATGCATTAATTATTTATAACAATTAATTAATTATAACATTCAATGTCATTACAACTTTTATACATTCATATCTAATAAAATATCGTTAGAAATACAAGAATTGATACATTTCTAAATACATTCATTGTTTTTTAATATTACATTTTAATAGTGCAAATATATTATGCAATTTGTTAATTTCTTATTGATATTTGTGGAATAAAATTTAATGATCATAAATTTTATTTACAGTATTAAACTAGGACAAAATTTCATATACTAATAATAGGAAATAAAATTCTATATATACTTTATTATTATAATAAATTGTATATAATTCATTATTATAATAAAATTATATAATAAAGTGTTTGTTTACCATAAAGAGCATCCCTGCAAACATTACAATATGTTGGTCTCGCATGGCTTGTTGCATACCAATGATGATTGCCACTAAGCATTTCTGCAATTCCAGAATCTGTCTGGATACGATTCTTTGTTACTGTTCTTAATGCATTCAACCAATCTTCCATTTCTTGCCTACTTTCACCACAGAGAACCAGTGATCGAAATGGAGTTATCACCTTAAAAAATACACATGACATTACATGTATGCATAATATTAAACAATAAAATCAATTGGATTCAATCCCTAAAACATTCCTTAAATGTTCTATGGAAGAAATAAGAATCTTATATATTATTTTATACAATATTTTGTATGTCTGTGAGAAATTTAAATTTATCAGTTTCTTTTTATTATTTTAAATTAATTTATGACAATACTTGATAACAACTATACTGCATACAATAAATATTGTTACAACGGTTATATTTATATTGAGAAATAAATTGTCATTTGATTTTGAAAGTAATAACCTTAGTGTGCATTCATGGCGTAAATCGAAAAATATTACCTTGAATCGAGAACGGGTTCTCTGTTGCTTTGGTGACATTTGAATTGCAATTTCAAGCACAACATTTGCACGTGTACGATTTGTACGTGTCTCAAAGAACAACAAATGTTATATTGGAACAACAGAGGATAGTTTTTGGACATGCGAAAAATACAGCAAAATTTATTGAGCATCGAAACGACCGAAGTGTATAGTAGTGTACACGCGATGTTCTTTTCTTCTTTAAGCCATTGCTATGTCCTATTTTCCGTGGCGCATGTCATGTCACCTCATTTATAAATAAATATCCGAATGAAAATGTAATGCGCTATTATACAATCTCATTGTGTACATAACTTATTTTATCAACGTGTTCTTCTTGTATTATTAAAATCTCTCTATCGTACGAAACGCTGAAAACGGAAAATACGAACGAATTGCAATTATTAAGCTTTTACTCAAAGATAACATCAACACATGTACATATATACTATATTTTCATATATTGATTATGTAGACAATTAGAAATTTGAAATTCAAAACCACGGAAAATCATAGACTATAGATTGGAAGCAGAATCGATTCGAATCAAATATAAATTATTTTGATTTATTAATTGCGATTGAATTGATAGCTCGTTCCATTAATATCTCGCTGCATTTTGAAAATAACAAGATAACACGATAATGAAAAATAAGCGATTATTATAATTGTCATTTATAATAAAATCTTGAGATGTTAAAAATTAAAAGCATTAAATGCTATTATAATCTTTAATAAGCAAACAAATGTATGCAAGTAAACTATATATCGTACGTAATACATGATTTTACAATATTTATATTTTTGTGAAAAAGTTAAATTCGTCGTTTTCTTTTTACTTTTTATTTTTTTAAGTGAAAGTTAGCGTCGCACTATTCTGAATTTGTTCTGAATTAATTTATGATATTGCTTGATAACAACTATATTACGTACAATAAAAATTACATATAAAAATAATTTCGCGTTAATTTACTATACAAAATTTAAACTGAAATTTGTTTTGATTCCGATTAAAAGTACAAAAAGTAGCTAGGAATTTTAACGTTTTATTGTAAAAAATGTATTATGAAAATAAAAGGACTTCTGATAATTAACGTAATATATCATAATTATTCAATATTAATAAAAAAATAAGAAATACTTACAACGTGCGTTTTTTGACAATTTCATTAAAATTTTTCTAACTAACGATTCGATGTGCTCTTTTAAAACATTTTTTTCCGAACCGATCTGCTATTCGCTTTTTCATCCGAAAAAATTCTGCGCTAAATCTACATACAATTTTTATTTTATAGAATAAAGATAAATAAATTTTTTACTTATTAAAACAAGTCAATAATTGTAGCATACATTTTGATAATAATAAGTATGATTACAATATATTTTAAATGTCAGTCACAGAGTGAGAGTCAAATTAAAAAATGACAAAAAAATCGCTTTTAATTTCTTGATTTTGATAACTAGATTTGATATCTTTTGACGAGATGTCAATCATAAATTAATTTATTTCTGAGATATAAGGCGCCTACATATCCATGCTTCAATGTGCAAACTTTTATATTGATCAGATAATTAATTTAAGAAATATCAGAAGTTTTATTGACTGCTAATGAAGCACAATGAATATGTACATATTATATTTATATTGCACTACATTTCTAAAAATTTAGAATCATTGTATTACTATGAAAAAGTAAAATAGAATATTGAAAATAAATATATAATGTAGTATGACTCGAATGTAGAATGAACTTGCAATAATATTAATAAGATATATATATAATAACTATCAATAAGATATATTTTTACGATTGGATATTGCCATTGTACAATGATCTGCTGCTGCTTCGTTTTACGCCATAAGCATTTGTGCAATTTATAAATAACTTTGCAATTTTGTTTCTTCAAACTAAAAACTATTATTCATTTAATCTCATTATTATTGAATATTTTATCATGATCAATTTATGTAATAAAATAATGTTAAAATCAGTAAAATCAGTAAAATCTCAAAAAATACTGAAAGAAATATGAACGTAAAATGAGTATGCTATCATTTTACTTTTCTCTATTTTGTACATTGATTTAATAGAATTCACTGAAACCATGCTAAGAGAGAATATGCATTCATGTTTGTACAAACTAGTATTTTTACATACCATACACCGTAATTTTCACGTTATCATAATTATGATGTAAGAAATTAAACATAAAACATACAAGCTATCTTTTCTATATATATATTCTAGATATATATTGATAGTGATATTTCTATATATATATATATATATATATATATATATATATATATATATATATATATATATGTAATACTTTGTGATATATATGCACTATAATTTTACTGTATCATTATTTAATTCTATTTACCGTGACAAAATGTATTATCACAAATAAACGTATTATTAATAAAATCGTGGAAGACCATATTGTACAGGTTATGTTTACACAGAAAAAAGTTGACACTGTTGCCAGTTTATTTTCACCACAGATTATATCTAACTGTGATATGTGATTACCAACTATAACAATATAATTTTGTTACAACAAAAACGTAACCAATTAAGTCGTGTAATATATCTCAAAGCATTCTTTTTAGTCCGTTTAATTAATTTTTGTTTTACGAGAAATTATTCTCTGCTCTAGGATGTATACACATTTCACGATCTCCTTTAACGATCCCTTTACATGCAACGATGACCGCCAGCGGACTGCTGAAAACGTTCCGAAATTTTTCAAATAAATAATTTGTAATACTTTGAAAAATGGGAGACAGACAATTGCAAAAATATATATATATATATATATATATATATATATATATTAAACTTACAAATGATAAATCTAAAGAATTTTTTTTGCAAGATTTCTACTAAACGTATATCGTAAAATTAAAATATTTGTTTAATTAATCAAGATTATCATTACAAAATTGTCATTTTATCAGTTTCAAATACTTTAAAACCCATTTTATTTAGAATTTGTTTTATTTTTTTCGTGAACTAACACTTCGATAGCCTCCCGTGGGACTAGTAACTTACTTGTAAACTAGTAGAACGCAGTCATTGATTGTCACGTTTCTTAAATATTTAGTTCGTAAAAATATTCGCTTCCACGTACGCGTATTTACGCGAAACGAAAGTAATCAGAAAATGAAAATTTCAGCATGTTCGATGGGAAACAACGTATAACCCGCGTATTGTCCGGTAGATCAATTGCTATTGGTAGCGGCACGGCGTAACGTTGGGTGTCCTGGCTATGTTAAACCTGCGATCACTCGGTTCAAGAGAAGAGATTAGAAATTAGTCAGAATCGTGTATATGGTTAAATTTCTCGGTAGAGGTAATTAGTAATTACCGTGTTGCAATATTGAAATTAATCAACACAAGACATAATAATGATCTTGTTGGAGATACACAATAGGATATTAGAAGAAACGTTGAGTAATAAAATAAAAAATGCTCTATCCGGGTAAGTGAAGCACTTCCTTTTTTTTAAGGTCAAGATGTTTTCCACATTTTTAAGATAAAGTCAGGGATTACAAATCGGGGCGGTGTCCGTTTCGAAAGTTAGCAATGTTTATTGGAACGAAATATTTAATATTTAATACATATCTATATACATGCATATTATAAATTTCTTTTTGAATACAAGACGTTCCTGCATTATGTCAAACGAGTATTTATTTAAAATGCGACATTCGTAATGTTTGATTTTCTGTTTAATCGTTTTCGCGCGATTATTTTAATGTTAATAATTGTACTGAGGCGTAAGTAAATTATGTATACAAATAATATGTAGATGGAATTATTAGCAAAATTATTTCACATAATTTTTACCTGTTCAATCAATTTGCAATCTTGTATCTTATGCTTTTAATTGAAATGTATTCTCTTCGTAGTCACAAGCCAGAGTCTACAGATGTTGTTATAGCAGATTTTGATGGAGTTCTGTTTCACATTTCTAACTTGAGTGGCGACAAGTCAAAAATTAGAGTAAGTTTCAAGAAGCTTTATTGCATTTGTACTTTCTGTTGCTTAATAAGTTTTGTATGTAATTTCATACTATAATAGTAATAGAATTTATTTGTTGTATTGAATTATAATGCTAGTATATTTTCGTTATTACTTGTTGCTCATTTCAAAGATTATATAATTAAATTTAATTTTATTATTTATTTTTATTTAATATTTTTTGTTTCATGTTTTTCTTTTTTTTATTAATATGCTTTATTTTGTTACAGATAAGTATTTTACTTAAATTTTATAAACAATTACAAGAACACGGGGCTGATGAATTACTTATACGTGAATATGGACCTTATCTTATAGCCCCTGAAAATGGTAAACAATTTAATTGAATCTAAATCTGAATCTATAACAACTCTTAAATTAACTAGAAATTACTAAACAAAATTCTGTAATAAATATTGGAATTCCGTTATTAGGTTACAATGTCTCTGTATTGATAGACCTGGAAAATTTGCCTGAAGATTGGGAATCATTAGTTAAAAAAGTTGCACTTTTAAAAAGACATTGTTTTGCCAGTGTTTTTGAAAAGTATTTCGATTTCCAAGAAGAATATTACGATTCACCAGGTACCCAATTGCAAAAAAGGGCTGTTATTCAATACAGAGACGAAGAAACAATGTAAGAACATACTTTCATTTTGCAGAGATAATGAAAATAAACAATATTTATTTAATTTATATATATTTTACGTGTAGGTACGTTGAAGCCAAAAGTGATAGAGTAACAGTGGTATTTAGCACAATATTTAAAGATGAAGATGATATGGTTATTGGAAAATTATTTTTACAAGAATTGAAAGAAGGCAGGCGTGCAAGTCATACAGCTCCACAAGTTTTATTTAATCATCGTGAACCACCATTAGAATTACAAGATTCTGAAGCAGCTGTTGGAGACTGCATTGGATACATTACATTTGGTAACTATTGATTTATTCAAATTTTCAAAAACACAAAATGCTGAAAATACTTGAAACTTTTATTGTATATTTTCTCTCCACAGTATTATTTCCAAGGCACACGAATAGAGAAGCTCGCGATAATACTATTGATTTAATACACATGTTTAGAAATTATTTACATTATCATATTAAATATAGCAAAGTTTATATTCATTCAAGGATGCGCACCAAAACAACAGACTTTTTAAAAATATTAAATAGAGCAAGATCTCAATCGAAAAATACTGAGAAGAAGACCATTACGTAAGTTCTTTGTAAAACAATATAGTTCTTTGTAATTGCAATAATAAATAAGAGAATGTTATATTTTACAGGGGTAGAACGTTCATCAGAAAGGAATGAGTGTAAACATAAAATTATATTCCTTATATTGTTTTAATAAAAGATAAATGACAAAGCTCTCATTTATCATAGATTTGCTAGAAATTTTTTGATCTTCTGGCAAGAAATATTGTTTGTAATGAAAGATTCTAATTCATCAAATTAATGGGTTAAAAGCTGTCAGTCTTTGAGTCTTACCACTCATTGTCTTTGAACAGTACAGTGTTCTTTAGAAAAGTTTATATTACTGTAAACATACTTAAAATGTATGTGCAGTAACAAAACGCATGATTAAAAAACCATTTTATATTGAAATTCTTAAAGTAATATTACAAGAGTGCATAAAGTCTTCGAAGAAATCAGGGAATACATAGTCTGTTTGTGAATAAAGTTAAAGAATATCCTGTTTTACTACTTCTACATGCAAAATGTGATCTTAATGCTATTGATTTTTATGATCAAAGATACAGAATCGCATGTTCTATTTTTTTAAACATTTTTTGTGTTTATTAATTTCATGAAAATTGTTACTTTCTATAAACTCCACGTATAACGATAATGTTTAAAATAACAAGGAATACGTGGATTTTATAAAGTAATACTGATGTATCATTTGTATGTTTAATAACGTAGTACCATCTTTTTTGATAAATTATTTTTATTAGTTATATTTTATTGTCTCTCTCATTAACGTATAATTGTAAGATAATAAAAGTATTAATTCTATAAGTGATGTAATTATCAAACCTTTGTTTGTATTAATCGAAAATATTGATCTAGTTACTATGAAAATTAGTACTATTGATTTGTAATCAGCAAATGGATGTTAGGGTTGGGAGACAAGCTGAAGGTGAAAACTAGGAGTGCCAAATACGGGTATTCATTAATAACCACACTTCTTTATTTAACACCGACACAAAAGCTACAGTATGTGCCTCTTAGAATTTCAGTTATGCCTGTTCTTTCATACAGTACGCCACATATTCTGTTTAAAACTTTTCATTGTATTAATTATTCTTACGATTAAATGAAAAAGTTTTCAATGTTAATATAGATTCTATTACATTTTTTTAAATATGTAAGTACATACAGTTAGAATGTATGCATATATACTATAATGTGATATTAATATAAAGTTTTAATTGAAATACTTTGTTGATAGTGTTTAGTAACAAACTTTATATTATTTTACACTATTTTTTTAATGTAAAAATCCGTTTAATTAAAGTTTAAATTTATAATTATACATGGTATAAAATATAATTATATGATTAATATTACAAAGAAGTGAAATGAAATAACCATACTGATATTTATTTTCCAGTAAAAAATTTTTTTACTTAAACTTTCAAGTGATTGAATCTTTTCAGTCATTAATTATGAAGGAATTGGATGAATCAACTATCACATCAATTTTATCTTCATCTTTTTCACCATGTTCACCTAATGAAATAGCGATACGACCTGGAGATTGTGTAGAGGGAGGAGTTGAAGAGTGGTTAGAAGATGAAGCATTACCAGGATTTCGCGTTTGGCAACTTGCTGGCATAATTCTTTCTATTTTACTTAGTGTACTGATTGGACTTTGTTGTTGCATCCGATTCAGAATACCGCGAACTAAACAAGAAATAGAAGCTGATTATATTCGAAAAAAAATAACGGAGAGTTTCAGACAAGAATTATCTAAAATCAGTAACACAGAAATGGATGATATGAATCTGAAGAAAGGTAAAAGAGTCCAAAGCAAGATTGTGACATAAAGCTTCCACTTAATAATGTTATAATAATTTATGAATAATTTGTTTATTTTATTACTCAAATTAGTTTTAATATGCTTCTTTTTATTAGCATTGAATAAAATCCAAAATAAATTTGATATGGAAATTCAAGAAGTACAAAAGGATCATCAAGAAACAACATATAAAAATGTGCAACACGGATTACGATCAAGATTCAATGCAATGTTTGGTGGAATTCATTTCTCTAAACAAGAATACCCAAGTGGTGACAGTATAATTTAGTGAATTTACAAATAAGTATATCATTATAAAATTAGCATTATTAAATAACATATTTACAATTATAGTTAATTTTTTAAAATAGTAATATTATTAGTATTATTACATTTTCATTTTTGAGTTTGTAATATTTATAATTATACATTCATTGTATAATAAGATATAAGAAATATAATACATCAAGCGGAATAAATTCTATACAGCATTAATTGACTAAATATAATCTTTATTTTATGAATATAATACAGAAATTAAGTTATCTTACATGCAACAATAATCTATAGCAAAAGATAATACATTTTAGAAAGCACTTAATAGGACTAATATACATTACCTAACACATGTTTTATTTACTTATATTATTAGATGGTTAGTATTATTAAAAGTGTAGATTTTTTATTGTTATTAAATAAAATAAATTGTTACAAATTATATGTAATGTAAATGAAAAATTATTCATAAAACAAGAAGCAATCACAGTACAAATTTTATATTTTCATGAATGATTACTATTATGTTTGTTTTTGAATGATTAAGTTAATAATGCTAGTATATTAAAAAAGTTAAATCATCTTATATGTATACGAAACAAAATTTTTATATGTAATTCTTATTGTCTCTCTCTCTTTCTCATTCTCTTCACTTTCATTCTCTCTCTCTTTCTCTCTCACTCTCTCCGTCTTTCTCTCTTGTCTTTAAAAACCGAAATTTTTCATCTTTTTACTATATATGTAGAATAATTATAAAATTATACATCATTTTTTAAATCATTTGTGGAAAATTTAACAAAATATACTATGTCTTAATATTAATTAATGTACGAAAAATTACTACTTTATATGTTTATTTATTATAGTGTTATGGAATCAATTATTTTTAAATATATTGGAAAAATTATTTTCATTAATAGAAACATAAATTGCATTTAATGCACATAGTTTTTTGTACAAGAAATAAATAATGAAGTTATAATAAATAGTGAAATTTGAAGTCACAAAACAATTTAGATAATAAACAAATTACATTAAATTTATATATAATTTTACATAACTCAGATATATACATTATACATAAAAAATAAAATTAATGTAACTTGTTCATTATCCGAATCTTTTTGCGATTTTAAATTATCATTATTTAGCTCATCACTTTTTACATTTTCGTTAATTACAATAATCGTTTTAATATTAAAAAATTCAAAAATAAATTATTATAAATAAATATACAAAGTAATAATCTTTTGAATACTGTAGTGTTTGAATATTAATAAGAGCCACTGCGAATATTCATAAAATCTATTTATTAGCTGATAAACAAAAAGTAAGTTATATAAGTGTAAAATTAAACAAATATAGATTTATAAATAAAGATTTACAACATTCATACAATATAGTTTTATAAATGAATGTTGATTTTACACAACAAAAGATAAGAAACAAGTAGAGGAAAAAAATAAATGTATATTCTTTTAATAAAAAGAATCTGAATATCTAAAAAAAAAAAAAAAGAATAAATTTGAAGAAAGTTAAATTTCAATCATCTTTTTAAAAATATGGATATAAACTTTATAGATATAAACATTTCTCATAGAGAAATAAAAATTTTAGAAGAAATATGACTTGTCATATATACAGACATCGCTCGCACATAATATACACTCGCGCATATAGGAATGATTTAATTAATCATAGTGTTTTAGCTATCCTAATGCTTCTTCCACAAGATGATCTAAATTAATTTAGTAAGGAAATTGAATTAATCTAGATTATCAACATTTTACAGCACCAACTGGTGTATTATTTTTCATATTTTTAATAATATCACATACAGTAGTTATTCACATGGAATATTTGTATTATACTCTGATGTAATACGACATTCAAATATCTAATACTTTTAGAAGCTTGTATGGATCAATAAATTTTGTTTTAAAAATAACATATTAAATTATAAAAAGAGCTGCTCATTTAACATTTATATTTTTATAAAAGAAATGTATTTAAGCAAATAATTTTTTTTTTTACATAGAAAATAGTTTTGACATAGATTTTATTCTTTAAATAGATATCTTTAATTTTCAAATAAAAATCATTTACAACAAAAATAAATTTAAAGAAACTATAACACTACTGACGCATCTCATTTGAAATTAGATCCATACTGTTGCATGATTCATATTCTTGATTTTTCTAAAATGAATTTTCTATAAGTAATATCGATATAAGTAGAGGAAGTTATAAGAGAATTTTTCACACGGAAGAATACTTGTTTTATTCTACTTATAAATTAATAAATTGTAGGAAAAACTTCATGGACTAGAGGATCCAATAGAAGCGTAATGTACAATATAGACAATATTTCTAAATTTCTAGGATTCGAAGTCGTTGTACATTGTGCAAAACGTTTCCATAGAGTGAAGGAACTACTTTTAAAATCTATTTGCATGCGTTCTTTCAGTATGATCCTATTTATAGTTACAAAGAGGTATAGGCTGACTGACATATACGTGTAACGATGACGGGATACCTCTAATTGATGAAGATTGGGAACTCACTACGAGGTAAGTGGTTTTCATAGAGTTTGTCCAAACAGCATTTAATTGTGCTATAAGACCACTAGCAACAATTGCGCTACAAAACCACCGGCAACAATTGTGCTAAATGGTACTTAAGCGTACCTTCACGAGATCTTATTTCTCCACCACGAAAATTTCATTTTTGGGCTTAAATATTGGAAGCTGATGACTGTTTGTGGAATCAACGATAAGATTGGTAAAAAATTTCCGCAGCTTCGACTTTTCGGTTCATCGTCTAGCGGTTCTGTTACAGTTTCGCTCATAATGTTATGGTGAGGCGTGGAATATGGATACGGTGTTGAAAGTGGGTTACAAGTAATATGCACCTCTTCCATATTCCATTTATCTTTTGTATCATTCGTATCATTTCCTTGAGTCAATTCCGAAAGACACGGAAAAGGTACCTTTTTATCTGTGGAGGTGATGGAACAATTAGAAATATTGATTATACGACCTTCTGATGTCAAATTACTTTTACGATGATTAAATACATTGTGATCTAACATAGAGTTTGATAAATTCAGCGATTTTAAAGACGTTTTTCTATAAACTTTTGATCGTGTGAGGGGTTTAATTGTTAACTGTGGTGACGATACTGATCGCACAGAATAGGAATTAGTACCTCTATTAAAATCCACGTGATTTTGTAGAGACTGACAATCATTACTCTTTGTATTTATATGTTTATCTTTTATAGAAACATTAGGATTAATGGATTGAGATATGGATATAATTGCTGGACTTGTAGGTGTTGTAACAGTTTTTTCCTGGATAATTATTGAATTTTGTATAGCGCACTCGTTAAGATTTGCTTCATTATTATGTTTTATATATTGAATAGGTACAAGATCATGTTTTTTGTAAATATTTTCAGGTTTTAATATACGTTTTATAGATTGATTATGTTTGTTTGTTTCATTTACGGAAAAAGAAAAGGAAGTTTGAGAAATGATAGAATTATTAATAAGCGCTTCATTAGTTCCTAATTGGTTAGGTCCGAATGAAGCGTCTATGAACCCTCAGCTTGGGAATCTTGAATAAAATGCACAAGTCAAATCATAATTCTTGAAGCGGCAATATTGCACATCTGTACGTAGCCAATCACCAGAATCTTTCAGATAATCAGTTTGCTCTAAGTCACGTGGGCAACTAGCAGCGATTGATTCTTTGTTAGCAAAGATGGTTACAACAAATTTTTTCGGCTTGAATGTGTTTAGTACACGTCGTATTACTTCCTCATACGAAGTTTCTGGAATGTTACTCTCAAATGAGACATACGAGAACTCTAGTTCTGGTGTAATATGAATAGTCATATAATTTCCCTGTAAAATATATATAATTATTTTTATGTTTTTTGTACAATGTAATCTTTTATTCTCTAGTAAGAATACTTACATTTTTAGATACTCCATTCATTGAATATCCACATGGTTCAAACAGAAAATCATCTATAATCATGTTTGGGATAAGTTTATCAATTCCCGATTTTTGAGTTGCTTCGTCAGCAGAAGAGCATACATCTCTAGTGAAAAGAGCCATTACTTCTGGATCTAAATGAGTCATTAGGATTTCTAAAGTTTGATCTGGTTCTGAGGGTTCATCTACAGACTTCTCTTTGTTCAAAGTGTATAAATACCAACAATCTGAATCTACAGAACCTAAGCAATAAGCTTCTCCATCTAGAAAAGAAATTGCAACCAATTTAATATCTTTTGTATAATATTATGAAATGCAAATGTTTAGAAATGTAGAAAATATTCTTACCAGAGAAGAATGTATCAAGTAAAGCAACTTCTTCTTCAAATGCTTGATGAGGAGATATTTGAAGCTCTGGCTTTTTGTAATTTTTTCTTGAATAAAATACATTCTGAAACAATCATTGTAATTTCGTATAGTCCATGTTTTAATAAAATTTTTGAATATTTTTTTATTTTTATAAAAAAATAAACAATTGTACATGGTAATAAAATAAAACCATGGAATATATATTTAAAAATGTTATAAAGATAAGAGGCATTAAATTAGCAATAATTTTGGACAAATTTTCATGTGCTATATCATGAGTAAGAGAGATCAATAAACCAAGAGGTAGAGATGCATCCTGTATACTAGAGGTTTCCTATATATAGACACATCACTTATCCATGCACTAGGTCAAGTTATATAGCCAAGTACTTTCAACTTCAATGTATTTGCAATGAATGATAATTATTATAAACAAAAATTATAGTATTATATTATACACCAACAAAAGATCATTACCCTTACAATGTAATGTACGTATGTTAAACACATAATTTTTAATTTTTTTTAATTAAAATATAAAATAATACTTAATAATAGTCTGTCTAGTTTAATTAATAATTCTCCTTGAATAATTATAAATTACTCTAATAAAACATGACTATTTTTTATATTATTAACAAAATTAATTAATGACAACAAATTTTGAAAAAATCACATACCTCTACTTCTTCGAAGCCAGTATATTCCTTCACAAGTTCCAAAAGAGGCTCCAAACATTGAAGGGGAGTAGTGGTACCACATGTTTTGAGAATAAGTCTACGCTTTGATAGGAACATGCTACTTTCACTGTAAAAAAAAATTACACTTATTTAATTTTGTACTTAATTCTGAATTAAAAATTGATCTGTTCTTTATATCATATGCTATTAATTTTATAATATAATTTCAGATAATGAAAACATATCTTTACTCATATCCTAGCATTGTTTATTTTCTAATCTTTTCTAATAGATTAAAATGTAAATAATACTATGTTATACTATACTATTTTATTGTTAAATTTCAATTGATATTAAAATAATATATTCTTAATCTTACATAATTATTTAAAGTGCATTTTTTCACATTTGCAGTTTCATATATTACAACTTAACTAATTTTCACATAATAGAAATATTTTGCAAAATGTTTATTTCAATCAAAAATTATAAAAATATTGTAATAATATATACATTTTTGTAATAAATATATAGAATATCTCATTAAGATTTGGGCAAATGCTTCAGACAAAGGTTATAGAATATCGGAAGAGATCATGCCAATAATTTGCTATTTTAACAGAATTTTTGAAAATCATCATAAAGTGAAATAAGTATCAATGTGATTCTTTTTGATATCCTATTCTCTTTAAACTGACAATGATATATATTTGTGAGATATATCTCTTATATTTTTCGAGAATTTATATAACTGTATGAATAATTATTTGTATAACTAAATTAAAATTATTATTTTAATATAGATCTATTAATATCTCAGAATGAAAAATGTAACGCTTTTTTCTTTTTATTTATCAATCTTTCAGTTCATTTTAGTCCACAAGGAAAGATTTAATTAGTGTTGATAAAATATAATAATTCATATAGATAATTACTACATGACTGTTTAAATATTTATTATTTGCCTATAACATGTTACTTTTACATAACATTACAAATTCAACTATAAAATTTACGTTATTACGTCTTTTCGTCTGACATCATCGTTAATCGATATTACAGAGGAGTAATGACGACAAAATGCACGTGTTTACTTACGATTAAAATTTCGAAACTAAGCATTTAGAATACGAAATAAAAATAAGAGAAATTTTTATTATTATTTTATTTTTATTCCTTTTTCAGAAAAGACAAGAAAAAATGAGGACTTCTTATAAAAATAATATACTCAAATTTTACCGAAATTATATTTTCTATCTGTTTCTGTGAAGAGCATTTTTGGCATAAATAATGAATTGAAGGTTATCAAAGAACGAAGGTTGTTGCAAGGCATTTAGTTGGCTTCCACCGTAATTTTATTTTTAGTTTCAAATCTAGATGGTATTAGGTGCAGATTAAGTGAGACAAAATATGCTTATGAACATTCAGTGAAATACTTAAAACTGTAACAATAATTAAGTATAGGTATATATTCCACAATACTATATATTAATATATGTTTACTATATATATTACGATAACATATTTAAAATAATTTTAATTTTGCTTTTTGATAATGTTTGAATAAATTGTATTTTCACTTCGATTACATTTGTAATTTTTGTATTAATGAATATAATTATAATCCCTTTTTTTTATTACAAAACATATAATATTATGATATGAATTTAGTATATATATATAATATTTGCAGGCTTTATTTAGAAGTTATCATCGGTTTGACATATGTAGACATTGGCTCTAGATTTTCTGAATATAAGTATGACTCTTAATCAAAACGAAAGTGATATCAAGATAAATGTGATATCAATGTAAATAAAGACAGAGACCATAGCTAAGTTAATTGCGATATCGATTCAAATACAAAAATAAATTAATTAAAAATGCAAAATTACGATTTGTATTATTTTTCATTAAATTTCTATAAGATTTCGAATCTATTTTTCAAGAAACTTTGATATTTTTTATTAGATTATTGCTAAATCTGAATTCTGAGATCTCAGATAATTGCTCAACTTTTATTATGAAAGAAAGATACTCTGAAAATGATGTTGCAATTAATTTCTGGTTTTGATCATTACAAACTTATAATTATACTAAATTATAATAAAAATATCTATATAAATATATTATTATTAATATATATATATATATATTATATTCTAATTATATATTTAAAAATACATTCCAATTATATATATAATAATATATTTTAATGCAATGATCAAATTCAATAGTACATTATATATATAAAAATATGTTGATTCGTCATTATCTATGTCAATATTATTGATTATTATCATTCGATATGTTAGATATAAAAATTCCTTGTAACATACGTTGGAATAATGTTTCATTGCAATGTGATAATCAAACAAATTCGTCGACGAATAAATAAATAAATAAATCATAGATTCATAATTTAGACAAAAAAAGAAAAAAAAAACAAAAATAGATTGAATAATTACAATGTGCATTATCAATTACAGAATTATTTAATCTACGGGCTTGTGGATTATATTTCTTCTGAAATAAGTGGTTTAATATTCAACTTCATTTTCATCTCTTTCCTGTTCATACATATAATACGTAAACTCGGCTCGTTCTTCATTCACGCGTATGCACATTGTGCACACGCGACGCAGATACAGGATAACGTGTATCACATTGTGCAATGCGGAAAGAAACGTAAAAAAAAAAGGTAAACAAGGATAGTTTTTAGTTTACGTAATGGTATATATATATATATTCCATAATATGTATTATATGTAATATGTATATATATAAAAAATACGTATTTTAACAAAGGAATATATGTAATCAAATTTTGCTATAAATTGAAAATACGACAACGAACAATGAAAATCTTATGAACAATAATCTTTCATCATTAATCAAAATATTTGTAGGTAATTGGTAAGATTACCCTAGAGCTTACGAGAATTAAGAAAATGTTCAGTCATAATAAGTAATACATACTAAATATATTAATAATATATGCATATATATGTAGGTACATGTATATTATATATATATGTAATTATGTATATATATATAAATAATTTATAGAAGTATGCAATGTATATATTATATTGCTGTTTGATTTAAATAAAGTTGCTAAAGTAAAGAAATTAGAAATGGAAGTTAAAAATTAGAAGAATTATTACTAGTAAAATTAGAAATAAATTGTATTATTTAAAATTGTATGTAGCATTTGCACGTATATATTGCGTGTACATTGTATATTAGACGTGTTTAGAGTAGTAAAGTGTGTAGATATTTATAAATAAAAAAGTAATAATAGAATGGATTGCCGACAAAACATTGATGACTAAGAGAGAGAAGTGCAAGTTCAAGTACAATTCCATTTAGCGACGTGATAATTTATATGTTCTTCTTTGTAATAAATGTCACTGACGAATCTACCGAAGAATAAGTAAAACCAGAAAAATCTGTAATTATATTTTACGCATTTATGGTATTTTAAATAATATGTAAATTGAATAATACTGAAGAAAGAGAAATTGAAACTCGTTTAATATCAAATTTACGCAAATAAAATTCTACAAGCTTTTAACGTCTAAATTTTCATATTAATATTATATAATATTAATAGCTCAATCAACATACAAAATACAATGCAAAAAAAGAACTAACTTTTCACTTTTTTCTATTTTAGTGAAGGTCACAAATTAATAACAACAGAAATAGTATCAACTTGAAACTTAATCAAAAGAACAAAATTCTGAACAGAAAAGTTCTTTACTTGACTAAGAAAACTAAGAACTGAGATAAAGAACATTCTAATGAATGTTTTTCATTCTTTCATCCAGTTTATTCAAATTATCCAATTAATAACATTTTGAATTCATGAAAAAATTAACGTACGAAATAAAAATAAAATAATTTGAAATGCAATTACATGGACGTCATTGTATTTCACATACATAATTCACTTGGAATGATTAGATTGGATAGTAAATATTTCAAACACTAATAAACACTAATTACTAATACACAACAAATCTCAAAAAAAAAGCACGTGAAATATTCTAATAATTACCTATTTTTGGTAATGATTCTTTTTAATTAAAATTTATTTTGTAAATTATTTGATTGTAAGGTAGAAAATAAATTTCATCAATAAGCGATATGATGTTTTCTTAAATTAATATGACATAACATTTAGAATTAATATAATTTGCATTTTAATATAATTTACAAATAAAAAAAAAGCTATCATAATATTAAAGAAATATTGCAAAAGTATTGCAATTTGATCACTTGAAGAAAGAAATATAAAAATATCAAATACAAAATCGAGAAACGCATTAAAACAAATGTAATATTTGTTTTTAAACATTAACAAAATGACAAAATAATAAATCTCAATGTATTAGAAAGTATGGCATAAATTTTCTTTATGAAAACATTCTGCCTCTAGAAAATCAATTTGTAATGTAAAATGATTAAGTTAAGAGCAAGAACTAAGAGTTAAGAGCAATAATCAACATTATCTTCATAGCTTAAAAGTCGCGTACATGCGTTTAAAGGGTCAGCAATTAAAAATTGTGATAACATTCGTTTACACAACGATTTCTTTGATTCAGCAATGTTATCAATAATTAATCCATTAAGAAACATTTCCTTGTAAATTTTCGCGTTTTGGTACATTTCAGCAGGTTTTTTGAATGGAACATAATTCTGATTGATTTATGATTTATTAATTGATCTAAAACGGCAAAATAAATAAGAAAGAACAATAAATAAAGATTGATAAAAAAAAAGAAAAAAAAAATTAAAAAAAATAAAACCAGAAAAGAAAGGTGACAGTGGATGAATACTTCTGTAAGTCAAAGAAAATAGAATTTGGAATTTTCCTAACGTAATGAATGCACAAATAAATATTGCACAAGTAAAGGTTGTCAATTGTCATACAAATTAGCGGTTGATCCTTCGTTCCTGTAACAGTTTATGCCTGAATTGTTATCGCTATGATACTGTCAATATACTTTTGCATTTTAGACAATGCCAAAAAGGCTTTTACTGCCAATACTTAGATGTTCAATATGGAAGATTGCGTGTGGAAGATTTGTTTTTCCTAACACGTACCTATTTGCGCGTTGCAGATAACAACATAAAGAGTAAATTTCTAACACGTTACAGATACAACTGACTAAGAAACAACGAACGAGTTGAAACAAATGCAATGTTACATCAAACGGAGACTCTGATTTAAATCATTAAGAGAAATAATTTATCGTAATACAATAAGTATTTTCATTTTTTGAAACCTCGTGTAATTATAGAATCTAAGTGGAGGGAAAAAATACGAATTTTTGGAATCTTTTTCCATAATTATAGAGTAAGGAACGGTGATACAGTAATTTCTAAAGCGGTTCTAAATTTTTTCTTAAAATAAACCAATAAGCTTGTGTGTCAAATAGTAGAACAAAATGAAAACGATTCAGTTGAATTTAACTGAACATTATGAAAATAAACCATTTTAGAAACTCGAATAAAAGTGAGAGTAATATGGCTCTAACAAAAATATCATAAAAAAAATTCTTTAGCAACATTGGAGATCAAAACTGAACAAATAAACTAAATTCTATTCTTTCTAAAATCTGCTTTTCACGTGTCTGTAATTTATAATAATTTAATTTATATATCAACATATTGGAAAACCTCCGTTGTAAATTATATATTTCAATGTCTAAAGTATCATAAAATAATTTTTAGGGATCATAAAGTGAGTTTATGGGGTTTTCAAGGACAGTATAATCCTTCATTATAAATGGTTATTATTGTGTTATAAATGGTTGTATATTCCTGACCATAGCTTTGAAAACTTCAAGTTTACATTTGAAAATATAAAAGATTAAATTAGTCTGCTTATAAATAGCGATACTGTGAGTCTTTTGTCAAATATATCCTAACTCTTGCAAGAACATCCTCCAAGAAATATTTCTTGAGGGGACTTTAAGATTTACATCTGCAATCTTGTGACAACTAACGAAATCTCTCCCTGTGTTTGCAGTCAGTAAAGTAAGATTGTAATACTAATACTTCAGGGATTTCTTGAAAAAACAAGTCCATAATTACGAATCCTCAGTAGTATACAAGGTATTTCGTAACTTGTGGGACTAATAATCGTAATACACGTCGTATAAGATTGTGTTTGAAATGATAATGGAGCGAATATTATGATTATTATTATTATTATTATTGTATTACGATTATTAGTAAGAACTGAACTGATTTAGAGAGTATTGCGAAATTTGCTGAATCTTCAAATAGTCACATGAAAGAAAATCTATTGTATAAGCAGCATCGATTCAATATGCTGAAATACTACGAAATAGAATAGGGCAAGGCTTCCGACAAATTCGAGAAACACCAAGAATGATAGAGAGAGTAACTATTGATCACTGACAAGACGCGTGCAGGCTTGTCTTCATGTGCAAGGTGGTCATTTCGAGCATCTTTTGTAAAAATAATTAAAACAGAAAATTCATCATCACCTCATAAACGAGGACAGACAGGACATACATTTATATGACTTTTTTTCATTATTTTTAGGCGTACAGTCAGCTCCCGAAGTGGGTCCTACAAGTTACGAAACACCATGTATATAGCAGGATCTAATCTAAAAATGAATTCACAATAAAAATTGGTTATCTTATCTATTATTAAACATTTAGCGTTTGGTAAATAAAATTTCGTCGATAAAACGAGATAGTTGAAACAAAAACAGATATACAAGAATTGATCTCTTAATCAATGAACGATATGCGTAATCTATAAGGAACAGTGATTAATTTGTTTAAACTTCCGAGGAAAATATATATTCTACGAGAGAATTATTGATTAATGAAATTGAAAGGACAGGGGAGATATACTGATCAAATAAATATACAGGTATATTTGAGACATTGAGAAAGACTTTCAAAATTATCACGTTATGTAATTTGTATATAAATGATAAGACCTCTAAAATAGCACGTATTTCAAGATTATCAAGCTATAGTTTTGGAATTTGCATAATGAAGGAAATGTAAAATTTCCCTAGAATTAAATTGAAAGAAACAATTCTGTAAAGCTTATTATTATGTATGTGATTAAGTTTACTCTAATTAACTGCATTATATGTATATAATAGTAATAATAATAAATAATAATTTGTGTATCGTAACATTATACTTAATGTAGGAATCCCGGCTTGAGACCCCAATTTGTAAGAATTTTGTTAAAGAATAGTTGTTTATTTCAGGTTAAATAAAAGAAAATTTGTTTAATGATGATCATCATAAAGTGACGTTTTACACTGTTTTCTTAATTTTCTTAATTTTCTTAGACTTGCAACTCTCAACTCACTGTCTTCTCTCTTTCTCTCGCTCATTGTCTTCCTTATCTGCACAAAAATTCGTCATTCGTCATTCATACATACATACACACAATCCCAAGTCCCAAGTCTAACTTTCTCTACAGTTTATGGTACACCATTTGGGACACCTGGTTGCAATTGGGCACTGGGGAAAATCCTTTCCCAGAATTTGTTCATCCCACATTAATGATTTACAGGATTTTCTCTCTTCCTAATCCAATTCTAGGAGAAAATCTCGTATTTGTCATACATATAAATTCCAAAAATACAGCATGATTAGAAGACACATTATTCGAAAAATCTCAAACAAAAAAAATTAACAAAAGCTTACAATTTATCTCATTGCTTGTAAATGTTTGATGACAAACATTGCTTCCGCTTTCCTTTGTTCTCTGTTTTATTTCTTCTTTCTCTTACATTTGAACGACTGAATTACTAGATTTTAATTGTACGCATATTATTTTCTGTCAGCATTAAATAATAAAGAAAAGGAGACACACAAATGACAGTTTTCCTCAACGCATTCAATAAACATAAAATGTTTAAAATTAAAAATAAAAGATTTGTTTATAGTTAGAGAGGTTTGTAACACTTCACTAATAGAAATAAAAAGATACTTAATCAACGTATATTCCAAAATCAACATTTTTAGCATAATCCACATATGTATGTAATATAATTCATATATGTATTATAAATTTCATTTTAATTGTTAGTTTAAATACAACTATTAAGATTAATTAATTTTATGATTATATGATTATATAATTTTGTCCGTTTTCTCATTAAGCTTGCCTTGATCAAAATAAAATAAAGAACCAAAATGAATATTTAAAAATACATGTATATGCAGATTCATAATTCATATACGTATTTTTAAATTTAAATTTAAAACACCTATGCCCGAATTCAAGAAAAAGTATTTTTTTGCAGAAAAGAAAAAATCCTACGCCTTACCATGACTTTTTTGTCGATATTAGTACATTCTAAATAACCTGAGTTATAAATTAAGATTGTCAATGAGTATTATAGGTCTTCCCTATAGCTATTTCTAAACACTTTTTTTTGAACTTTAACTATCTCAAATATCTCTAACACTTTAACTATCTCAAATATCTTTAAAAAAAAAAGAGCATGAAAGTTACAGAAAAATATTTCAGAAGGATATTTCCACAGTTGTGGAATATCAATGGAACAGCTCACGTTTATTTAATTCTCTACGACCTTGAACAAAGTTCACTTAAAATTTTGTTTTATTGGGAATCAATATTTTCTATTCGACATGTTTGTAAACGCTGAAACGTTTTGAAAACATCACTTACCTGTCTCATTTAAATGAACCATATTCGTAAGATAAGAACTTTCAAAGACTGCCGACACTCGCATTAGTCGATATGCAATTACGTGAAAAGCTTCTTATGTAGGATGTTGCAAGACACATCGTACAGTAAAATCAAAGTTTCAAGTTTCTTAACTAGCGAGACTAAGGTAATTCTTTCAACAGAAAAAAATTCATTCGACGCTCTTCACTTACATATTCTTGCTTATTCACTCCTGTCCAATACGAAATCTACTAAATTCAAGTACAATTGACAAAACTTTCAAACTTAGGTCGAAGCAGAGCTTTTAAACAGAGTCTCTTAAACCAAATATTGTTACTCTTTCTTTTTGGTTTGTTTATGCATGTCACACCATGAACTAAATTTATAACTATTTACAAATAGTTAATTCTAATTGTAGATTATTGATGACCAACAAAGTGCATCAATATGCAATATCTCAATACATTAATTTTCAAACAAAGTTGTAGAAAAGATATACAACTTACCTGAGGACATAAGCATCCACATGCTCTGTGTGACAAATGCTAATGATCTCGCAACGAACAATTTTTAGCAACGATTGCCACTTCCATCTGAAACAAAATTTTACCTTTGATCAATATGAATTTATACAAAAGAAAAAAAAAAACGAATCTTACTTTTTTTCTCAATCACTCGTCATTAAAATTCATGAAAATCGAGCGTCAACAATAATTCAATTTATCAGTTCGAATTAAATTATATTTGGATTATTTATATTTCGAGAGGTAGATCTTTCATTCGAAAAAAGACGATCCAGTTTGTTTTTGGTATTTGAGTATTTCACGAAGTTATCATGTCGCTCAATCAACACGTTCTTGCGGACGTTTAATTAAGAATTTCGTGACAAAAATTAGCGACGCGGAAAGAGAAGCCAAGTATAATGTTATATATGCGCCTGTAATTTTATAATATGCACGAAGTGTAAAATTATTCGCAATGACGTGAGCGTATTTGATTAATTCATTTACAATTCAATTACAGGCGATATAAAAATTATAATAATGATATTTACACTTGCAAAAAGACAGGAAGAGCTGCGCGATTCAGTCGAAATTTTTACAAGATTAATCGCTAATGCACGTTAGAAGAAAACCGCATAAGATCTCATTTTCATAAGAAGGAAAACGACGATTTCAACGAATTAGTGAATAACTTATATAAGCGAGCCAATGTAACTATGGGACTAGTAAACACTTTAATTTTTTAATAAATCATTTGAACGTTTTGATAGAACATTTTCAATGTATGTATGTATGTATGTACATATGTATGTATGTATGTACATCGTATCTACGATTAGTCGTACAAAATTTTGCAATTAGTAAACATTATCTCGTTTGATTTTCGACAAATCTCTCTGTTCTTCACTATAACTTAAAACAAAAAAATGTCAACAATATTTTGTAGAACGAAGCTTGAACAAATACGACACTAAATAATAACACGTAACAGAATTTTTCACTATAATAAAATGATCAATTTTTTCCAAGTTACTTGTTTCTCAATGTAACACAAACTAAGTGTAATTATTATTACGTATAGCTTACGTAATATTATTAAATATAGCTAAAAAAAAAAAAAAAAAATTGTGATACGAGAGAAAGTATTATTTTAAAACATCCATAGAAATATGAGATTTTTCAGAGACGAGATAAGTATAAAATATAAAGATAAAATTGAGAGACGAGAAGAAAACTATTTTATCACCCTTGACACGTGCACAGCACATGTATTTCAATAGTACTTATCATTTGCATGTCCATCGTCATATGAAATGTGAAATAAGAAATGTCTGAATAAGAAAATATTAAGGGCGAAATGAAACGGATAGAAAGATTGAATTAACTTCAAGAAACATAAAGTTACGTTGTAAGTTCAACATGCTATTTTAAATACCAATGTTCCATTGTATCATTTAATAATGTATCACTTTGAATTCAAAATCGAATCGAAATTTCAGCTTTCAAGTTCACTTTCAAATCAAGACTATGGTTAACATTGAAATTCTCTTTGTGTTGATCAAATAGATACAACACTCGAGTCAAAAATTTTCTTTGTGAATTCTAAAAAAAAAAAAACAAAGTAATATCCTTCATAATAAGTATAGTTCTAACAATAAGTATAAAATGATAGATCTCGTATACGGAACGAGAAACAAAAAAAGTTACTAAACCCTGACGATTATTTCTCGTTTATACTTTTCTATGCGCTTAGTTCGTCTAATTATGAACACTTGTACCAGCACTTAGTATTCTTACGCGTGCACTACCATACGAGATAAACGTATCACGTGCCCAATGAAATCCTGTGATTTTACACTAAAGTGTAAAATTATTAGAAAAATGTGTGATGTTAATAAATACGGTATTATATTCGTTGAAAAGTAATACGTTAAATAACGTGAATGGGAATATTAGAAAATAATAAGATAACAGTAAGTATAATAATAAATATTGGGAATATTAGAAAATAATAAGATAACAGTAAGTATAATAATAAATATTGGGAATATTAGAAAATAATAAGATAACAGTAAGTATAATAATAAATATTGGGAATATTAGAAAATAATAAGATAACAGTAAGTATAATAATAAATATTGGGAATATTAGAAAATAATAAGATAACAGTAAGTATAATAATAAATATTGGGAATATTAGAAAATAATAAGATAACAGTAAGTATAATAATAAATAATTAGATAAAATAATAAATGATTAAATTATCATACTCGCAAATCAATTCAAATTAAAGGATAAGTAAACGCATTCAAGAAAAATAAACTAATAAAATAAATTAGAAAAAGATGGTGAGGCAAACGACGAACCAGCTACGCATGATATTTCGATATACATACATATTTCAATGAGCACAAAGTCGTTCGCAAAACATAAAAATAGATTTTTAAACATATCAAAATTCAAGAAATTTAACGGATGTTACGTTCGTGTAATAGAACAATGAACGAATGTTAATTTCCACTTCGAAATTTATTCAAGAATTTAAACTTGATTGAAACTTAATTTTATGTCAGACTCTGAAATTTCATATTACATGACTAGTTTGATGTTCTCTTTGAGATTGAAACTAATAAAGCTTGTATAATCTTAATAAGTAATTCCTTACTTATTAGTAATTACAGTATAATTAGTGTCTTAATAAGTAAGCATTTCCTTGTAATAGTTTTGTAATTGTATAAATTTTGTAAAATTGTATAAGTTTTGTAATTGTATAAATAATAATTGTATAAATAATAATCATAAATTACGTAAATTTAAAAATAAATAACACTCATTATTTTTTTTGTTCTATCTGTAAACCATGGGTAATGTATATAATATCTTTTCATAGTATTTCCACTATTTTTCATAAAAACAATAGTTAACATTAATTTGAAATATTTTCCATAATTTGAGATATCTTTCATGCATCTATAGTAAATAATTTCTTTTAAGAATATACAAGGCAACAAGTCTTACTCAGATTCTTCGTACATAAATATAGAGCAACTATACATACATAAAATGACGTGAATAGTAAATGTGGCTATTAAATTTATATTTTCAACAAGAAAGTAATTTTCGTAAAGTCATATTGTAACACATTTATCAATTGTGTAACAGCGTCTGTGATCACGTTAAGTGATCTAAAAATGTAATTATTGTGTAAACCCCGAAGTAACGACAATTTGTATTTCGTGGAATTGCTGTCTATTTTTGTTCACATTTTTATCTGAAATATTCCGACTATCAGTTGGTGTGGTAGTTCTACGCAAAATTATGCAAATTATATAAATATACATTGAATAATTATATAGCGTGCGTTTCTAGAAAGTACTATGTAAATCAATAATGTATATAATTTTATTATATACATTTTTTAATAGAGTCAAATAAAATCGCGAGAGAACAATATAATCGGGATGAGAGATCATATTCTACGCATCCTCGTGTACATAATTTTATTTATTCTCCATCAAAATAATGTATAAAAAAATTCATCAATGGCCGTAGATACCGCCATTAATTCTAGTGTCAACGGTATCGTCGTTGTTTCAAGTTCACATATTCATTGAATTACTTGATTACCTAACACCACACAAATTATACCAAACTGTATCAGACGATGTAATTTTTCGTTTAGTTAAATTTCAATTGTACCTCGTAATTTCGTTCAATAGCACGACTTTATTTTCACTTTCATTTCATTCATTTCGTCAACGTGACACTTCATAAATGTTATTTGGCTATCGATACTAATTATTACATGACTCGTAGTACTGAAAGTTCGGAGAAAAGTATATGTCAAAACACGGTCGACATTAATTTATATGTTCAACTTGAACAATGTTTAGTGCGAAGAATTAAAATTTTTTTTTCAGACGATTTATCTTAAATGCCGGTGAGTTCTAGAAAAAAAAAAGAAAGAAAAAAGGAGGATCGCATAAGTGCTTATGTCTATATTTATATTGAATTTAAAGTAAGGAAGATAAAACGATGTATACATATCAGAGTCGCGTAGTCTCACTTTAAACGGTCGGTATTACTGGAACGAGAAGGTGGGCGCATCGATCTTCGCCCAAAAAACAACGACATATACACACTACTGTAAAATTCAATGTATTCAGTGTAGTGCGTCGAACATTCCTCCGACGACGTCATTTTCTCTTTTTTTCTTTTTTTTCTTTTTAAATCAAACGTTCGGCGCAATGTCCAATCAAACTGATTGAAACGATAAATCGACGAGGATCCACGCTGAATGTCGAAGATCAATTGGTATTTTTTTCCTCTTTTTCAAAATATTAACACACGTGAGACATTAACTCTGAAATGACTGTTAGGTTAAGCGTACTGGCCGATTATCAGAAACACTATATCGCGAGATACCGGCGGTATGGTCATGGTTGCCAGACCGGTTTTATTTTATCAAAACATTTGTTTAAATGAAATTACATTTGTCATCGGTCAATTTTCAACATTCACGACACCTCGTGCACTGGTCATTCGTAAACGAATCAGCGTTCGATGTGTAACTAAACTTTTTTATCAAACTACTGAAAAAAAAATCAAGAGTTGCGTAGAGTATAAAGTCGAGACGGGGTATTTTACGCGAATCGTGCGATTAATTTTCATCAACTAAAAGGAACAACTTTGATTTGAAAGAGACAGCGTGTTTCAACTTACTGAGGAATCTGCCTGAGATCGCCCTGCTTTCTGTTTATGCTGCTGCTGCTTGTGAACCAAATCTCAAGGAGTTTCTCCACTCCTTCGAAGAATTGCACACTGTCGGTGCTGTCGTCTTTGGTAGCCGCCATTCCTCGGAGGCACAAGATTTTTTACTCACAATTACGATATACGTGAAAACAAACAAAAATTTCTTTTCCCCTCGAGTTTGTGTTTCGCTCCAAAAATGTACGACAAACCAACTCTCTCGTCGAACTTTGCTTTACTACTGAGAACAAGTGATCGAGCAATCATATTGGCGGTGGTCTCTCTCTCTCCTCTCTCTCTCTCTCTCTCTCGTTTGCGTGCGCAACATGGTAGTCTCTATCTTTCTCCTACTCGTTTACTTGTCTCTGTTTCGAATGCATGTATCCGTCGTTCCACCAATCACAGACTATCTTTGGCGCATGCGCACTCTATCCGATACTATTTAAAATATACCGCTGTCCATTTTTCCAATGAATATAAAGTTAAAATTTATTAAATAATTAGTTATTTAATTATTGATTCATATATAAAGTGTAATATGTATATGTATATACATGTATATATACATATTACGTATATATACATATATATATTATATATATATAAGTATAAAGTATTATTATAAGTATTACATTCTAATGATAATAATTATACTCTAATCACACAATATATTAATAACTTCTAGTTTTATCAAAGAACGATATACTTTGATAACTAATTTGATATACAAATTATACATAATTATAAAATATAAAAATATTTATAAAACTCCATTTTTTATCATATTTTACTATTAACATTTTTTAATTTTATTTATTTGATATATATATATGTGTGTTTATGTATGTATACATATTTATTTAAATGATTAACAACCAATACTAGACAAAAAAGAAATATAAGATCATTATTATATACATTTTATAATACACATTTTGGAAACTAAAAAAAAATTTGAATATTTTTTATTAAAACATTCTTTTTAATAGTACATTTCCTAATTTATTTTATTGCTTGTTTATTTGTTTTTATTCGTTCTATCGTTTTTATTCGCTTTATCTTCTGCTTTTTATTTATTCTTTTGGGAATAAATTTTCGATTTTCTTTATCATTTTTTTTAACCAAAATGTCTTCATTCATTGGTTCAATAACCTTCCCCATATGTGTTTTAACAGAGGGTTCAATTAATTTTCTATGAGAATTTTCAGATACAAAATTTCTTCCAATTGGCATTCTAATGCTGGCTTCATAATCTTTAACGCTTGAAAATGGATATGGCAGCTCGTTAACCTGATGTTCCTTTATTTTGGGATTATCTTCTTCGAATATTATTACGTCACCCTTATTTTCGTCTCTTCGGGGTAAATCTTTAGGCATCTTTAAAATAAAACGTCTTTTCTTACGTTTTGAAACTTTAATATTTTTTCCACCCCAATTACCCCATCCAGGTAAAGTTAAATCGATATCCTTAGGTTGAGCCTTTTTCACCTATGCATAAATTTGATGTTACATTTGCCAAAATATTTTAAACAAGAATATGATACTGTATCATAATACTTAACTTACTTACCTCTTCCTCTTTTTCTTTTCTAAATTCTTCTACGACATCATCATCTGCAAATGCTTCGCTTACTACATTACGCCTTTTCTCCTCATCTTCACTGTCATCTAATACATCATCACCGCCAGTGATATCAATCGGAAGATCTGTATTTAAATGCTTAGGTTTTATGTTTATATATTTATTTGGATCTATTTCCACCTTAGCATTTGATCTATTATCTACAAATGAAGTGTTATGTTGCTTTATTTGTTTAATTTTTTCTAATTCGGTATTCACTTCCAAATTATTTTTGCAGGCACTTTCATTTAAACTTAAATCTAAAATAGGCTTTTGTTTTTTCGCTTGAATTTCAAGGCCATCAAAATTATCATCTTTAAATTTAATGTTTTTAGACTTTCTTTTTTTGTTAGTTTTTATTTCTTCGTAGTTCTGGGTAATACGTTCAAGTTTAAATTTAATTTGATCTTGAATCTTTTCTTCCATAAAATCAAATAGTTTATTTATTTTTTCGCTATTTGATACATTAGAATTTTTGAAATTTTCTGTATTAATATTTTCTATGGATTCTACCTTCCAACTGGAAGTAGCTGTAATGTTATTTATGGACTTATTCTTTACATTTTTAACATTAACTTTTGTCAAATATTCCTTGCGACTCTTAGTTTCAAGAGGTTGCCTATTATTTGTAGTATTATTATCTGAAAAAGAAATATTTATTAATATTATCTGTTAAAATGCGTACTATTTATGACATGGTCGTGCTTCAAAACTAATTAGCCGAATTAGAGATTTTTACACATTCTTCGCATTTCTTTGCATTTTGTGTGTAGAGAGTTTAAAGAATCTACAACCAGGTCCCCTATAAATTTCGAGTGAGAGGAGTTTTTTCAGCAATAGCAATTACCATTTATGTACCAGGCACTTGCCAGCTACGTACTAGAAGTACATGGATTTCCAGAAAATAATGGGATCGCTCCTCATACCTCACGCGAGTCAGTCTCGTAATAAACAATTTTGGAAACCTCCCTCGTACTTCCTGATTAGTCTTAACATCTCCCGTTTCACTTAATTCTCTTCAGAGCTCTTTAAAAGGACAGATGAAGGTTTCTTTGTAAGAGGACTCTGAGAAAAACAGAGATCCATAGTCAATCAAGTCAATGGTCAACTGGTCATTCTCAGTCAGTTAGTTAAGCGAATCAGTCGAAGTCAGCCGTCTTTAAGTTTAATCATTCACAAAGAATTAACTATCTGAATCAAGTAGAAGCAATCAGGCTTCTTGAGTCTATCATCAACAAGTCAAAGCAGAGTTATTCATTCCCACATCAGTGAGTGGTCCTTCGACACCGAATGACATAATTAAAGGACTGAATCGCATTCTTAACACTACTTAATAAATTTATATGTACAAACATACCTCTTGAACTAGAATCCATTAATGAAATTGTAGGCTTGTTCAAATTTTTAGCTTCTTGTATTTTTTCATTATTTTGGATTTCAAAAGAGTTTGTATTAACATGAGCATCTGTACCTATGCAATAAAATTTAATAAATTAATAATGAATTAAAAATAAATAAGATACAATCTTCTTATTAATAATTTATTATCACTTCTGTAAAACAAACATACCATTTAAAATACTAGGTTGCGTATCCTTTAATGGATTATTTATTTTTTTATTTTCAGTTGTAATTTTAGAATTTATATTTTGGCCTTCTAACTTTTTATTTTGATCATCCCAATATTTACGATAACTTTTGACAAATTGGTCAATTTCTGATTCAGTTTTGACATTCCCTATCCAAGGATTTTCTTTATCACTAGTTAAAAACTGCATAGGCGTATCATCGCCTACATCTTCTTCTTCACTATCATTCGATTTTTTAAATTTCTGAGTTAATTCTCGTCCAACTGATAATTGTTGTGCAAGTTCTTTTCGAGTCTAATAACATTAAGAGTAAATTATTAATGCAACGATTAATTTGAATAAAATAGAAATATTAGAACATTACATATATGAAAGATAATTTTCATAATTACTATTTATTATGCTTAATAAAAAATAATTATATCAAAATTATATTAAACTGACATTTGATATTTTATTTTTTATTCTAATTTTAACTAATTAATCTTTATAGTACATGTATGATATACTTACTTCTTTATCATATTTTGCTCTAATTTGTTTAGATTTGGCCCATCTTCCTGTATTTTTATGCCTTAATGTCATTCGCTCTTCAGCTCTGGTCTTATCTAATTGGTCAAGTTTCTCCAATGCAGCTTCTGGATTAGTTTTTTGTAATTCCTCAAACTCTTTCAATTGCAATTTTATTTTCTCTTTTCTTTGAACACGATGAAATTTTTTACTTTTAATTTTATTTTGACGATGAGCCTTTGCTTCTCTATAAGACTAAAAATAGACAATACATAACAAAACAGTAACAGCAAGATATTTTGATATTTGATATTTCACTACAAACCTGCTGTGCTCTGATTCTGGCAGCTTCTTTTCTTTTCATAATAATTTCCTTCAATGTTAAAGAGAATTCGTCGCTCTTTTCTTCAATATTATCTTTCTGTGGCTCTAGTGCAGCAAGTTCTTTCTCTAAATCTGATTGAAGTCTAAATCTTTTAACAAATTCTGTAGATGAATCCAATTTTATGGATGACTGTTTCAATGGAAAATGAAGTGATTCTGCTGTTCTGTTTTTTGTTATTATAGCATTCCATTTTTTTAATTCTTGTTTCGTGTTTTTAAAGCCAACTATTCTCTTTATCTAAATATAGTTAACAACATATTTAGACAATTATATTTTACAATATATTATTCATAATATCCATATAAAATCATACAAATTTTCTAATAAAATATTTCTTACTCTATCTGCTGCTGGTTTCTCCAAAGGTTTTGGTAAAACTTGAATCTTTCTTTTTATAGCTTGTAAATTTTTAGTAATTTCATGATGATGACTTTTCTGTCCCAATGTTTTGGCTAAATCATGTACATGAACTGCATCTCGATCACATATTCCACTTTTTACCAGATGAAACTCTGATACTTCCAATGTAGGTTCGCTTCGTTCTGCCTTTTTCACTCTGAAAATTAAATACATGGAATGTTATTACGTTATATTTGTATTAATAATAAAAATAATGTATAATATATAAAATATATATAAATATGAAAAATATAATATAGAAAATAATAAGAATTGTATATCATAGTTATACATTATATTTATTTACCTTTGACCTTTATCAAGCTGTGACACAGCTTCAAGAAGTTTCGAATGAGATTCTGATACATCTTTTTCTGTATCATCTAATTCTTCTAAATAATCTGTCGACATAACCATGGTTATTCGTACCACGTGCTTTGCGAGCAATAAAACATTATAGAATGTGTATGATCAATGATCATAAAGAAACAAAAATATATAGAAATAGCAAATATAAAAAGTAAGAGCAAGTACCAGTCGACATATCAATCTGTACCAACAAGAAGAAAATTAAAAACTTGCAGTCAATTCCCTAGTATAATTAAGCCAACCATCTATCATGTACATTTTCATGTTTAAGTTGACAGAAACAGTCGTATAATGCTCTAACCTTTAAAATCTCTTACACAAAAAGTTGAGTAGTAACTTCTTATATTTTAATTAATACCCGATGAAAAGATAATTGTGAAATATGAAATTGACCTCATTGAAAATATAAAATGAATTTATTCATAATATCGACTGTAAGTTGTCTTTTAGAATATATTTTTCCATCATTAATCAGATACGTAAGTATTTGAACGTTATTTATTAATTGCTTGTTTTTCGTTGATTTCCCTTAAAACGTTCCCTTAAAATTTGCCATTCGTTTTTGCAGATTACATCCCGTTTGTATACCTTGAACAAACATGACATGGAATTACGAAACGATTTGGTTCATCTGAAGCAAGAAATGACTGGAATCTCTATAGTAGATGAATTTTCCAAGTATGCGAAACTTCAGCGTAAATATAATAAATTAGAGAGTACATTAAAAGAAAAAGGTAAGATAAAAGATGAAGATAAATAGAAACAATTGATGACCTTAATGCATTTACTAAAAAGTAAATTGGACCCACTGTTTTATAATTTTTGCTGTTGTTTGGTAATTTAAATTAATAATTGAAAATTTTTCATTTATAACTCGATATATATACTATATATTCAAATGTAAAACAGTAAAAATAATCATGTTGTCATACATATTGTACAAGTTTTACGCTATTTATTTATTGTCGGATTTACTTTATAAAACATGATTAATTATGATATATTTCTAATTTAGTGAATGAAAGACTGTCTTCCAGAATGAAGATGCAAATATCTGTAACATATGGTTTTCGTATATTAAATGTGAGTGTCTGATTATTTTTATTATGCAATGTACCTAATTTATAATTTAATTTATGTTTTCAGGGTTTATTAATGTTTACCTTACTATATCTATACAGAAATAAACCTGTAATAATTTTGCCAAAAGGTATACTATGGCCAATACAAAATTTATTAAGTTGGCCCTGTTATCATGAAGATTCAATCTCTTTGATTATGTGGTTAATAATTGCAAGATTAGTTGTGGCTACTTGTAAAATATAATATTCTTTTGTAATACTATAAGAAATTCGATTTTATAAGCAGTAAAATAAAAATTTTTCAATACATAAATTACTATTAATGCATTCTCTTTGCATTCATGGCAAAATCTAGCTCTTAAGTTGTTAATATGTAGATAAGAATAACCTTGAAAATGTACACAGTTTTTTCTTCTTCCTTAATGTGCAAATAGTTATACAATGTTTGCTACATATATTATCTCTGTCAAAATATTTAAATAAATATTATATTTTGAAATATTTTGTTAAATCAATATAATATTTATTTAAATAAGGATAACAATAAATTTTACAAAAATAATAGCAAAAAAGTGACTGTATTTCGTAAAAGCTTAAGTAAAGTACATAATATGTAATAATGAAATATATCTGTATATAACTATTAATAAGTAATAATTCTTTGTTTTAACAAAATTTCTTTATATATGACAATTGATACATCTATATTCCATATAATGTAGCAACGTTTTATTCATATGTAGAGTATTCATGAAACATCTATTTTATAAAGCTTAAAAAAAGTATTAATTTTTGTTATTATTGGTAAAGATTTATCATTTAATTCTCAATAGTTTTATGATTTTAGGTTAGCTTTTGTGTGATATCAATTTGCATCTTTTTTAATAATTTTATGACTAATACATTGCGACATATATGATACCCAAGTATTACACATATAAATTTTAGGTGGAATTCTATAATGCAAAGACTGAATTTCTTTCTTTTTTTCTTTTTTCTTTTTTTTTCAACTAAAAAACTGAATCACATATCTTTTTATTTCATTATTGGACAAAGAATAAAAATGTCCATAATATATTTTTAATAACAAATTGAAGAATCTCACATTTTGAGCACCAATAATAATAATATAATTATGATCAATAAAATAATAATGTTCAAATTATGATAAAATATAGCACAAGATTGTTATGTTTAACTTTATCACATTTATATAAATATCAATTGAAAACATATTATACATGACATATGTTACAAATTTGTAAATTTTATGATTAAAAGGACAAAATATACTAATTTAATATTTAACTTAATACACATATATTTTCAAAAACTGATGTTATTAATACTTCAAGATAGAACAAATATTACATGCGTTAAATTGTTGCACGTTCGATAAATAAAATTATATTACTTATTTAGAAACTGAAAATATGCAATTAATGTTTGTAACATTCTTAACAGAATAAAATATTTAAAATATATTTAATAATAGTAATAATCTTTCCATTTTAAACATATAATATGATTGCATTTAAATGCAACAATGTCATGTAGATGTTACTGTCACGATATTAGTTTCGTCGATTTCAAACATAGCATAGCAATGTTTATAGTCACATTATGTGATTGTATACAAAATATTAAACCAATTATATTTTAAATATTATAAACTCAAATATTGTTTGGAAAAAAAGAATTTAAAAAATTTCCATTTTTCATCTTAATTATTCTTCTTTTTTCACTAATCATTTTTTTTAACCATAATTGCATATTTTTTTAAGGCATATTAATTTTAAATATATATTCGCTCTTCTAGTTCCATTACAAATATTAATCATACAAAATTATAGTTGTGCAACTTCAAGAAAATTATATTATTGTCTTATTATTATGCCATATAATCACGTTATAAAAGTTAACATTACAAAAAAAATATTAAAATTTAAATAAGTTATATAGTAAATACTACAGAAATATTTGTTTCTATTACCTAAGTACTTTAAATTAAAACATGATATTTCTCTCTATATTTTAAATAATACATTAGATTACTTATTATAATAATAATAAAGTACAAAAGAAATTAGAAGAGCGATTTTTTTAAAATTTTCATTTTGTTAGGCTATTTAAAGCAGCTCAGAATTTCATATGTGACTTTATTAATGTTTTTTTTTTTTTTATATAAATGCTATTTTGTATGTTTTAAGAAAGATTTAAGCGATTTGATACCAAGTTTAGAGCAATTTATAGATTACTTATTTTTATGAATATTTCGTAATTGATTTTTTCACATACTACGATCATAAAATGATTGAAATATTGAAAACGAAAACTCTTTTTACAATAACTTTCGAATATGTTATACAATCACATAGCAAAAATGCATCAACAAAAAAAGTACTTTATACGAATACACGATGAAATATTTGTTATTAGATGAAATCAACTGACTTATGTTTTAGTAATATCCATTGGTGATCCGCTAGTTGCATTTGTAGTTGTATTAGCGGCAATTGGTGGACCACTTGGACTTACAATAGTTGGTGGAATTGCAGGTTTAATAAATCTATCTGATGTGCGTCTATTGGACGATGTTACCATGTGGCCCTACGTAAATATTGTTAAATATTTATTTCAGATTAATGATTTATTTTTAAATATTATAATATTATATTATTTAATATTAATACTAAATTTAATATTAATATTACTGAACCTGTCTAAAATGTAACTTACACTGGAAGGTGGTGATGAACTTGCAAATGGAATTGTAGTAGGTTGACCACAAGCATAACATCGATTTGTGTTAAATCCCTCTCTGGTTGATGAACCTATTGATTAATAAAAAAAATATATATGTGTAAATCGTACGTGAAAAAATAATATTGAATCATAAAAATAAAAAATATTGGAAATATTAATTATAAAAGTAAAAAATTCATTTTTATATAAAACAAGGATATTATAATAATTACCTGGACTTAATGGTCTAGAGGAACTAGGTGAAGGATTGTACGGCACTGGGCTAGAAACAGTACGATTCCTTATATTTCCACCAGACATCACAATTTCATTGTAGTGCCGTTCTTCTTCCATTTCCAAACTAATAAATAAATAAAATTTACAATCAAACTATTTATATAATCTATATAATTATTTACCTGGATTCGGACTCTGAGAGATGTCTACATAAAGCTTCACGACGTTCTACTTCTAATTGCAATTTCCTTTGAAGTCTTAAATTTTCTTCACGAATTTGTTTTTCTTCATTTACATATCGTTGCATTTTTTCTGTATCTAATATGTATAAAGACAAGATTAAATAAGGTTAATTAATAAAAAATAGAAATGTAGTATTTGTAATTAATTCACAAATACTCATCAATATTATTACTAATTTAAAAGTTTTATATGTGACATCATCTAGTCTTGTTTCAAATATGCATATTTTCATAATTATTTTATATTATAAATTATTTCCAATTTTTACAATTTTTCTTTTTCATATTCTCTCAATTCAATTTTTCATTCATCAATTCGTAATTTTTTGCTTTAATATTTAAAAAATAATGAATTTTTAACAATTTATTATTATTATTCTAACATTAAAAACATTATTCTAAATGTGAAATTAATAACAAAATATAAATATCAATCGTTATTCCATTTCAGATCTTTTTTACTTTTCTTTCCATATTTCAAGTTATATATCTTTTTTATTTTTCTTTCTATATTCTAAGTTATATATTTCAGTTATGTATTTTTTTTTGTAGTTATATTTCTAGAAACATTAAAATATATTTATTACTACACAAATTTAATTACATGATAAAAGCTCTTACGTTCTTGTTGTGAGATGAACAATGTATGTCTAAGTCTGGCTACTTCACTTCTCAGAGTTTGAATATGTGCACTTAGACTAGTAGCAGTATCACCATTATTGATCTCTCTTGGCGAAGCAGGATCTGAGACAGGTTGATCTAATTTTATTTGTAACATTCGTTTTTCCGCCTCTAATTTATCCATTCTTTTCCATAATTTATTTACTAATGCTTCCTGTTCTTGTTCAAGTGTATTTTCCAATTCCACCTTTTCTCTACGCAACTGTTCTAGATTACTTTGTTTTGCAAGTGTTTCGGCCTCAAGTTTCTCTATCTTTCTCATTAACTTGTTCACAAGACATTCTTGCTCTTGTTCTAGAGTTTGTTCTAGCCGGCATTTTTCTTGGCGCAATTGATTTAATTTTCTGGACAAATCGTTCGTTAAACATTCTTCTTCTTGTTCGTAATGATGTGCCAATGTCTCCTTTTCTTTTTTAAGCGCTTGAATTTTTTTCAATAATGTATTACTTATAAATTCCTCTTCTTGCTCAGCTTTGGCTTGCTACAATATAAACCAAGAGAAAAAGCTAAAATGTTAATAAAGAATTTGCGTAATTAAAATAAAGAATTATCATCAACTATAAAGTTCGACGATTCAATAATTCATCTTAAATCGTTATCAACAAACAATATTACTTAAATATGTAAATTAAATTTTTTTGTACTAAATGAAATTCTATAAAACTGAAACCTTAATACATTAAATATACACACTAAAAACAAACAAATTAGGAGAAACTATACACGAACAAAGAATTAGAACGCAGTTAGATAAAATAAATATGTAAAAAACTTTAAATAGGATGTACATATAAAAAAAAATGACTTTATGTGAAAAACATTTCATATACAGTATCTCCGATTTAACCTAAAATTAAATATTTCGTGCATCAAGAAATAAAGTACACATCCATGAAATACGCCTGCACTAAGTAACGAATGTAATCGGCAAATGAGTGAATATATATCGTTTGCTTGGTAAAAACTATAAAAGAAACTTACTATAATGACAGAGGCTTGCCGAAGACCACGGTTCTCCTCCTGCAACGCTTTTACTCTCAATTTGTACGTCTCTAGCTCGACTTTAAGAACACGATTATGTTGTTGCAGCGACTCAATCCTTTTTTGAAGTTGTTCTCTAGTTACAGGTGACGGTGGCATCATTATCGGGCCTCCGTCGATCGAGCTTGAGTCGCTTTCGGATGCGCTATCACGGTCAGCCATTTTTCTCAAACAAAAATTTCCCTCAAAAACAACTTACAATTCCTTCCTTCTCATCGCACGGTCGAATAAACGCGAGTGATACGTCCCTTTTCGAGCGCGAGTATCCGGTTATTTTCGTTAAAACTTCATCGTCTCGCGCGAGAAATACTAAGTAATATTGCAACGTCCTACTACGACGACATGTGCTCCGCCGTAAAACGAATCAGCTGTTTGATTCTCCACGAATTACTTGCAAAGAAGATGTCAAATGTGTTTTCGGAAAGCAGCTCCCTAGAATTTGAGGAATTTCTTTGTTACGTCGCACGTACTAGTCTTTTCGAATGATGGGGGAATATTGAGTTCATCGATTATTATAATTCAAAGTGATTGAACGCTGGAAAACTGTAGATTTGGAATAAATACAAATTTTGGATAGTATATATATGTGTGTGTGTGAGTATATATATATACATATATGTATATATGTAAATATAAATATGTATTGCAAGGCATCTTGTAACCTGAAATTGTAACTATGTCAAACATCTAGTTTGAGAATAAGGGGGGAGCGTTTTATTGTTTGTCTTTTGTTATAGGTTAGTTACTTTATGTACTACGAAATTTACACAAGAAGATCTTGTGTACATTGTTAAAAAATCGTTAAAAATCGTTTTTCTTCGGATAAACAATGGATGCAAATTTTGGAGAACGGTCACATGACCCAGACGTTATTGAAAAACTGAAACAATTTCATGATGCAGCGACGAAAATCGAAGATAAAGTTAAACATGCTACTGATCCAACAGTATATGAAAAACTCTCCAATACAGATAAAATAGAGTATAATTTGTTGATGTCTTATTGTCTAAATAGTGTATTTTGGATGTATCTGCGTTCAGAAGGTAAAATATTAAAAAAATATTTATAGTTACACAGTAATTTTAAATTAAATAGAATATTGTATAATTTTTATTGTATTCATATTACGTTTATGTCTAACCAGGAATTGATCCATCGAAACACCGAATAAAGCAAGAAAATGATCGTTTAAAGAAGTCCATGGCACGTGCGAAGCAAATTAATGATAAGAAAACAATTATGCCTCACATAAATAAAGATGCAGCACAAAGGTTTGTTAGACATGGACTGTGGGAATTGAAGAACAAAAAGAAATGATATAAAAATAGCTATAATAATATATGTAAACCAAGTTTATAAACAAAAATATGTTTAATATAAAAATGTAACTTGGAATTTACTACACAATTAAAAATTTTTTTTAATAAATTGATTTAAGAGAATTGTATAAATAATACGTTTACAAAGATAGATAACTAAGTTCATATCTATACACTATATCCTTCAAAGAAAAAGAAATGACTTCATGAATCTGAAAGATGCACAGGTTTTATATTTCTTACTATTGTGACCTTATTCGTACTCTTGCAATCTAAATAGATGATATCATAAAAGAAACAGTATAACAAGATATAAAGTTGTCTTCTGTAATAAATAATTTTATAATTTTTATAAATAAAATATTAGAAAGAAATACATAGAAAATAACATAATGGAAAAAATGGTATTGAATACATTTTGTCCAGATGGAAAAAATGAAGACAAAAATACTTGTGCTTCAGTGTCATATATTTCAACTATGTTTGGTGATATGTTGTCTTCGAAAAATAAAAGCAAGTTACCAAAACAGTAAGTAACGTTTCAATTTACAGTATTTTATAATATAAATAATTATTTATATTCAATCATGAAAGTAAACTTCCATTGTATAAATTTCTTCTCGTGTTCTCTCTGCCAAGATGAATAAGTATTTCGAAAGATTAAGTATAGAACCTTATTTAAAACATAATGAGGAGAAAAATAAACATCTTGCAGGAGAAATCAAGGATATTATCAATACACTTTACATTCCGCTAGCGGTTCTTAAACCATGCTCTTTAAATACTCTTATATATTGAAACTTCCTTGATTTTAAAATACATAAATTTTTATAACAACAAATCAAGACACACACTGTTGGGTTACATAGACGATATTTTTGGATCTGTTGGAGAACCTATGTATTTTGTAAGTGTGAAGCTTAATCCAACAATAGATATACTTAATGCAAAAGTATATTATTTTCCTAATTATCCAAATACGTCACGCATGTACATAGAACATACAATAGATAAAATGTCTAACAAAAGAAGATACAACATTAAAATAGAAAACTTGTAATCATTATAGTGTAATTTATAATCTATATTTAATGTTATCTTATTTCAATAGTTTTTTACATGTGTAAAAAACATGTTTCTCACATTTAACTTTTATAAATTTGTAAGCATTTATTTCTGTAAGGACAACTAAATGTATAATAAATTACTGTTGATTGTTTATTTCTATTTATTCCATATTCTAGTCTGAACTAACAAAACTATAGACAATAATTGAATTACATTTCTGTACATTTATGGAAAATTTAAGGATATAATGCTTAATCTAGAAGATGTTAATGTAAATATATAAATATTCAAAATGTAATTCTGGTTGCAATATTTAATAAATAAAACGATTGTCTACCTAAGTTTTATTTCTTTAATTCATAAAAGTATAAATTTGTATAAATGTCCACAGCTCAGTAATAATTTTTATTAAATAAAATAAGGTACAAAGTTTTAGAAGTAAATTAATAAATGAGAAATGAATATGAAAGTTGATGTATAAGTTGATATGTTTACATGATATGGAAAAATATACACAGAAAAATTAAAATAATTAAATTTAAAAAATTTTTAAACAGTTGCTAAAATTATATACAGATTCAATGAAGTGATTAAAGTTTCTGCGTCTTTAAATTATACATTCATAAATTACAACTAAATCTTAAACAATTCCTTCAATATGTACAGATATATCAGAAAATACAAATGTAATTTTACCTCTGTCTAAAATTAATAAATATCGAAAGAATTTTCAAAAATATTTATACATTGTAAAGCATTGTCACATAACCTTACATATCTGTCAAACTTCACGAAATATCTCAAATAATGTCCCAAAAATATTATCATGTAACCTCACATTCTGTAAAGCTTCATGAAGCAAGTAATCTTGAAACGTTGCCTTTAGAATTTAGTAACAAACACGAATTACCCTTTACGTGTCACGTACGATTAAAAAGTAGCGCGTATTACGATTGTTAATTGACGCATCGTCTGTTGAAATTGAAGCGCTAGTATCTAAAACTGGTTTTATAATACCGTTACAGTGTGGTTCGTAGCCTCACTGAATGTGACATTGTCGCGTTATATATATTGTGTCTCTTATCGCAGTTTTAAATATTAATCGTATTAATGACGACTGTTCAGAGGCATACAATTTTTACAATACAATCAGGATTTGTTCTCTGACATATAAAGTATATTATTTTCGTGTTAGATATTTATTAAAAATTGTGTCCATCACTGTCAATTTGCCACGTATATATTAGTGTCAACACAAAAAATTAAAGGCATAAAAAAATTATGTCAAACGAAATTCCAAATAAGCGTATAATGACGGTACAGATAAACCAAAATATATTTTATGTTAATATTCTATGAACAATATAATTTAATTACAATTGTACAATTACATATATTAATAACATAATTTAATTATAGTAATGTGATTTGTTATAATCGTTAGTACATTTTTTAAAAGAGACAAATAGTTATTTAAAATAAATATATCAATTTCATTATCTGTTCATATCTGTTTTAATTTACAAGTTATAGGATATTTAAATTCAAATTTTGTCTTTAAAATATTCATTAAATGTTTTTTTACTTTGTTTTGATATTTCTTATTTTACGAGTAAAACTATTTGAATATTATTGTTGATATTTATAGTATGTTTTATACTTTTCTTCAGTTTTTTTTTTTAATGAAAAATCTATTACAGACAATTTTTTTTATTAGACTTGTAGTAATGTATCAGAGCAAGCACATCATGTTTCAAGAGCAAAACGTGGACAAGCAATAGGAAGTATAAGAGGTTTTCGAGGGTGTACGGTTTGGTTAACAGGCCTTTCTGGTGCAGGAAAAACTTCTATAGCTTTTCAAGTTGAAGCTATTTTAGTTAATCATGGAATTGCTGCTTATGGACTTGATGGAGATAATGTAAGGAGTGGTTTAAACTGCAACCTTGGTTTCAGCAAAGAAGATAGAAAAGAAAACATAAGAAGAGTCGCAGAAGTAGCTAAACTATTTGCTGACAGTGGACAAATTTGTTTATGCAGTTTTGTATCACCATTTGAAGAGGATAGACAAATGGCAAGACAGATCCATAAAATGTCGGATCTTCCATTTTTTGAGGTCTTTGTTGATACACCTCTTAATGTGTGTGAAGCTAGAGATACAAAAGGATTATATAAAAAGGCACGTCAGGGGACAATCAAAGGTTTTACTGGAATAGATCAAATGTATGAAAGGCCAGTAAATCCTGATTTAGTGGTAATCACTGAAAACTGTACTCCAGAAGAATCCGCTGCAACTGTTATTGATCTTCTGGAGAAACAGTGTATTATACCAGTGCTACAAAAACCATCTATGCCAATACGGGAGTTATTTATTCCAGAGTCACGAATATCTTCTGCCAAAACAGAAGCAGCCACGCTTCAGAGTTTAGAAATTAGCGAAATAGATGTGCAATGGCTCCAGATTTTAGCAGAAGGTTGGGCTGCACCTCTTACTGGTTTTATGAGAGAACATCAATATCTCCAGGTATATACAACATGATATATTGATAAAATATAAAATAATAATATAGAAATACTGTTACAAACTGAACTTGTTATTGGAAGCGTCAACTACTTCAAAAATATTTTTAGACTCAACATTTAAAATGTCTCCTTGAAGATGACAAGGAAGTTAATCAATCTATTCCAATAGTCCTTGCAATACATACAGAAGACAAGGAACGTTTGAACGGACTTTCGGCTTTTACATTGAAATACAAAAATAAAGCTCTTGCAATATTACGTAGGCCTGAATTTTATTTTCACAGAAAAGAAGAAAGATGTGGTTGGCAGTTTGGTACTAACAATTTAGGCCATCCATATGTAAAAATGATACATGAATCTGGAGACTGGTTAGTGGGCGGTGATATAGAAGTTATTGAAAGAATTAAGTGGCATGATGGTTTGGATAAATATAGATTTACGCCAAATGAAATTAGATCGAAGTGTAAAAAAATGAAGGCTGATGCTGTATTTGCATTTCAACTTAGAAATCCAATACATAACGGTCATGCTTTGTTAATGCAAGTATGTTCATTTATTATTTTATTATTTACAGTAAAATTTAAATAAAAGAGACACTTTATAGAGATACTTTATTTCTGCATTTATAGGATACTAAAAAACGTTTATTAGAAGAAAGAGGGTTTAAAAATCCTATTCTATTGTTGCATCCTTTGGGTGGTTGGACAAAAGATGATGATGTACCATTGCATACCAGAATTTTACAACATGAAGCTGTACTTAATGAGGGAGTTTTAGATGCAAATTCTACATTATTAGCAATTTTTCCAAGTCCAATGATGTATGCTGGACCAGTTGAAGTAAATTTTAATTATAAATATATTTTCATTTATTACATTACAACAAAAATGAAATATTAATCGTATTTATTTCATGTTCACTTTATATATTATTAGGTACAATGGCATGCAAAAGCTAGAATGAATGCTGGTGCTAATTTTTATATTGTTGGAAGAGATCCTGCTGGTATACCGCATCCTAATAAAAACGCAACACCTGATGGAAATCTTTATGATCCTACTCATGGAGCTCGAGTTCTCTCGATAGCTCGGGGTTTACAATCACTGGAAATTATACCATTTAAAGTTGCAGCATATGATAAAAAATATAAAAAAATGTCTTATCTTGATGAAAAACGAAAAGAAGATTTTGAATTTATATCAGGAACAAAAATGCGTTGTATGTATAATATGCTTTCAACTTTGTATTACATCTTTATAACATGAATATATGTTACATAATATCAAAACGAAAGATCTGTATTAAAGAAATAGAAGTTTAATGTTTGAAATATTTTTAATATTTTCTTATAGGTTTAGCAAAAGCAGGTGAGAATCCACCTGATGGTTTCATGTCACCTAAAGCATGGTTTATTCTTGCACAATATTATCAAAATCTAGAAAAATAAAAATTTATTAAAAAATCATTACAAATTCTTAACACTTTAAAATAAAGTATTCATAAAATAAAATTAATATTTTAAATGTTGGAAAAGATTAAGTAAAAATAATATTGAAACCTGATGTAATATTAATATTATACATTTATATATTTGTACAGTTTTCTTGTACAGCACAATTTCAATGTTTATCTGTTTTAGATAAGTTAATATCTATTTACATTTACTCTTAACGTTTATACGTTAATTTTATTTTATATAAATATAAAATTCAATTATATTTTTCATAAAAATTTTATAAAAATATATATAATATAAATATGGTTTGTTATTCTATTCATTTCATAAAGTGCATATTATCCTATCATAAAGAAATTTAAATGTAAATGTAAGTGTAATTTAAATGTAAATTTAATAATTATTTATATATAAGAAAAATATATAAATATTTGCAAGTATTTTATGTACAAAAGTATTTTGACACTCAAATTCTTTTATTACCACCACAAAATACAAGTGTAATTTACAAACAAAAGTTTAATATGATAATAATATAAGAAAAATAAATAAAAGTTAAAATTAAAAAAAAAAAAAAATTCGAGTACATAGCTTATTGTAATGCAATAAGTAAAAAATATCATAAAAATTCAAATAACTATGTGCAATATATTACGAATAGTTATAATGAATTATTTAATGAAATGTGTATAAAAGTTATAATTGTACGTAAATATAATAAATTTAACTATAACTTGATAATAATAAAAGAAAAGTTTAGGAATGAAAATGTCTAATTTACCATAGTACAAAAAAGTATTATTATAAAACAACACATTATGTCTATAAATTATATCTGAATTAACACTTGAGCATCAGTTGCAAAATTATATTAGAAATACATATTATATGAACATTGAAAAAAATCTTGCTATAAAGTTATGCAAAAATATGTCACTGAAAAATACATTTAATATTTTCTTAATTTATAACTTGAATTTGTAACTAAAAATTGCATGATTTCTTTAATGATTAAAATATTTTTTTGACAAATTAAGAAACAACGAATGCTTATAAAATAATGTTAATAAATAGAAAAAAAGTATTAATAATTAGGAAGCAAAAAAAAAATGATTTTGAATTATAAACCATTTACAAATATAGACACGTGGTTATGAACAATGTCAATTTTATTGATCTTGAAAGTTTGTATTATCAAGTAAAATACTTGTTCATCTTTTATAGATTTGTACAAAATATTTTATATATCGTACTATAGATATTTTTATTTATTATTTATAGTTAAACGAAAATTTTGTATTGAAAAGAAGTAAGAAGAGATAAATTTTTTATATTATTCTTTTTACAATCTTAAATTTGTTTTAATAGTATTTTCACACAGTAAATTAATTTTACAAAACTATTTCAATAATAAACTATTCTGATCTTTAGGTACATAATCTTCTAGCACAATAAAACCTATATATATTAAAAGGAAATATACATTTTAGAACATGCTGAAATTGGGTCTATAGGAATGTGATTTAGCCCCTACTTATTTATATCAAATAAACAGCTCCTTTAAATGTATAATTACCACAATAAAACTTTAAAAATCATTTTTTTATACAAAGCATATCGCGAATATAAAATGCGAAATTGAATTCAATTATTATACATAATAGATGCAGTAGCTAAATTGACCTCTGTATTTGCATCAGACAAATCAGGTAAAGATAACATCACTGGAATCACTTGTATTTTTCCTGAATCATCTTCTTGTTGTAAATGAACTACGGCACCTGATTGTAATATCTCATTTGTCATCATTTCATCTGCCATAATTTCCGTATGTTCAATATTATCTGTAGTTACTTCTTCTGTGTAAACAGTAGTATCTTCCATGTTCATTATAACTTCTGCTGCATCCGAAGCCTCTCTAGATGTCTCTTCATATTCCTGACAAAATGTATGCAAAATAAGAATTACATTTAGTTAAGAATAATACAGAATTATATACAATAACATACAATAACATTTACCTGTTCATATACTTGTTCATATTCTTCCGTTATTTCTTGTTCTTCAAACTTAACTATTTGTTCTTCTTCAAACTTCACTATTTGTTCTTCTTCAAATTTCACTATTTGCTCTTCCTCAAATTGTTGATCTGTCTGTTCTTGATATTCACTTTCAGGAATTTGAGATTCCGTATTATTTAAACTTTCTTGCTCATGTTCAGAACAAGAAGAATCTTCCTGTACTTTAGTAGCTTTGATGTTTCGACCAAGTACTATTCTTTTAAATCCAGATCCACCTAAACTTTCATGTCGTCTTTCATGTTTATTTTTATCACCTAAATATTTAAAACGTTGCCTACACACGCTACAAGAATATGGTCTTTCATTTGTATGAGTTCTTTCATGACATACAAGAGCGCTAACTTGTTTACATCTCCAAGGACAATATCTACACTGTAAAGGTCTTTCATCGCTATGCCTATTTTGATGATGCTTTATCAACTGTATTTTAGTTTTTAAATTAAATCCACAGATTTCACAAGTATATGGCCTTTCTTCAGAATGGGATATCATATGAGTTTTTAATCTGAGTTGATTCACAAACCTCTTTGGACAATGTGGACAAGGCAAAGTTCCTTCTAATCTATTGTGTGTGACCATCATATGATGTCTTAATCTAACTTCAGAAGTAAATGTTAATTCACAGTCTAAACACTTCATAGGATCTTTCTCCATATGTGTATTTTTAATATGTGTTCTCAAAATCATTTCTGTTTTGAATGTCTTATTACAATGATAACATGATGCTCTTTTCTTTTCTGGTGGTCCATCTATGTCTTCTTTTACACCAGGAAGTGATTCATTGTGTATATGAGACATATGCCACTCTAATGATCTAGTTGAAATCATTGATCTGTTACATATATGGCAAGTATATTGCCTACCATCTTTATGAACTCGGTTTCTATGTATGACAAGTGTTGAATGATTTGGAAACTTTTCACCACATACTTGACACGAACATTCTTTTAATCCTCTACTATCAGTTTTTTCATGCACTCTCATGTGTAACCTTAAGCCATCTCGTCTATTAAACCCAACACCACAAGTATCACATCGATATTGACGCTGGTCTTCATGAATTCTCACATGTTGTTTTAAAGTTGAACTATTTTTAAACATTTTGTCACAGTGTGGACACTGAATAGTATATGCTTTATGAGTATGCATGTGTTTAGAAAGGCTATAAAATGGTACTAATTTATGACATACTGGACATTCTCTTTTATTACCTACAGGTTGATGTTTACGTATTCTATGATGTCTCAGACTTGCAGGATTTTTAAAATCAGCTCCACAATCCTCGCATAAATAGGCCCTTAATGTTGTGTGTACAGATTTCAAATGAAAACTAAGTTTTTGTTTGAATGCAAACTTTTTAGGACACTTTGGACATTGATATATTTTCTCCCAACTCATGTGTTGTGTTTTTACATGTTGATCTAATGTTCCTTGATGTTTAAATTTTTCACCACATACATCACATAATTGTCCATACATACTATCACAATGTTTTTGTTCATGCTGACGCTTTTTTCCTTTTGAATCCAACATCATGTCACAATATTTACATAATAATTTTTTTATACAAATTACATTATGATTTCGTTTTGCTTTATTTGTTGGAAATTCTTCCATACAATCTTCGCAAAAATGCATAATTTTATAATCATGTGTTTTCAAATGTTCTTCAAGAACTTCTTTAGAAGCAAATGTCTCTGGACAATAATCACATTCTAAATAATGTTCTTCTGGAATATAATCTGCCGGTTGACTTTCATCTATTAAGTCAGGTAAATTGTTTTTAAGAACTGCATTATTTCTGTCTTCATAAAGAGAAATAATGTCTTCATCTTTTAATCTTGTAATTACAATTTTACGTTGTTTTAGATAATCTTGGAAATCTTGCAAGTTTTTTTCTTTTTCTCCTAAAATTCTTGTTAATTTCTCAATATTTCCTTCTGTATAAGATTCATCTAGTTCCTTTTGAAGTGACTCTTTTTTCTTTTTTGCTTCTTCCCATTTCAATTTAAGTTTTGCTAAATGTGACAAATATTCTTCAGTATTTACATATGTTTTTTCATTTGCGGACTTTTCTTTGGCTGATTCGGAAATTTCTGAAATATCATCTTCACTATTAGTAGTTGGATTCAATTCACCATCATCTTTATTAAACTCTACATTTTCAATAGAATCACTTTCTACAGCAAGAGATCTTTGATTATCTTGATTTTCATTACGTTTAAAACAACGAGATTCTTCAAGTTTTGGAAGTGCAACAATATTAGCATGTCCACCTAATACTTTTTCTCGCTTTTTCTTATATTCTTCTATTTGTTCTTCTATAATCTGTTCTCTTATTTCTGATTTTTTTGTTCGCTCTGGAAATAAATCTTTTTCTTTTGTAACTAATGTTTCATATCGTTTTAAAATTTTGTCCATTGGTTTAATATCAAAATTTTTTTTCGCTACAGATTTATCATCTTTTTTTTCTAATGATTTTTCCATTTTTTTAACTTTTACTAACAATATTTCATTCGGTTTAGATCCCTTTACAGTAACATACATAATCCCATCCTCTTGATTACTGTTTAAAGAATTGTTTACATCAAGTTTTTGTACTTTTAAATCCTTATGGCTTCCACATTTATCAGAAATATTTGACTGACAATTTTCATCGGTTTCTTCCGCAGATTCTTTTTTAGATTGTAATAACAACCTGCGTTTTAATATATTTGGTTGTTTTGAACATTCTTTTGTACTTTCAGTATTGTATATAGCAGTTTCAGAATTAATAATGCTGTGTAACTCAGTAGATTGATTATTACAATCCGTATCTTTTATTTTAACATATGTTTTTAGACAAGTATCATAATTATATGTTGTTTGCTTTATGTCAATATTTTTATTATCTGAGACTGAATTATTATCAGAAACAGAAGATGATTGTGAACATTGTTTCATACTTTCCTTCTGTTGAATACATCGTCTTTTTGCATTTGGTATTTCTACTTCATCATCAGATTCTGCTACATCAGAGCTGTCAGGTTGAAAAGGAGGATCGTCTGGATCAAATTCTTCTATAGACTCATTATCATCACTATTTTGTACAATAGATTCTTCAAAAATTTCAACTTCAACTTTACTTTCTGACTCTTTATGATTTACTTTCCGAACATTTTTTTCAAGTATTTTATCATCTTTTAATGAAAACATTGCAGATATTTTTGGAACAATATTTTCATTATTTTCTTTACTTGTGGATGGACTTTTGATATTACTTTCAGCAATATTTTCCACTTGTCTTTCAAGACTTGCTACAGGCTTTGTTTTATTCAATTCCATGTTTCTTGTTGCCGTATCAGTCAGAGTAATGTGAATGGATTTCAACTTAACTTCTGCCTTCTTAATTTGCATAAAAAACTTATAACTCATTTTCAAGTCACAAATACAATCCATGCACATTTGAGTCGATAAGCTGTCATACTGATTTATGTCTTCTAAATGTCTAATTTGTTGACTTAATCTCATTTGATTACCTTTTTCACTAAAAATATCAACTAATGGAAGTTTTAAGCCAGCACAAGTTCTGCAATACTTTTTCAACTCCTGTTTTGTTTGCTCCAATATCGATAATTTCTTTTGTGCAGATATTTTATTGTGCAAAGAAATTTTAGTTAATTCGTTTAAACTATTTGCATCATGAGTCAATAGTTTCACACGTGGAGTGATTTTCTTCAATTCATTAATATCTTTAATCTGACCAAATGTCTCTTTGTTTGATATTATACCAGATTTGTTTGATTTACATACTGTTTTAATATCATTGTCACATATATTTAGAATATTACTAGTAGCGTGCTGGAGATTACGTAATTTTACTTCACTATAATTATGATCCTTGTTTTTAATTTCAATGTGCTTCATCTTTAATCCGATCGTTTAAAGTTTTCCCATCATATTTTATATCTATATTTGCAAAATTCTTATAACCTAGGAGAAAAAACAATAAATTGATTATGTATACATACAAGTGAAAATTCATAAGAATAATACAAGTAAACATTCGACTTACGTTTTATGTAAAAATTAATCTTTTTTGTATAACACTACTTGTGCATGTTGCATCTATGATACTGACAATGTCTCTTGATTTTATACAAAACTATTATACAGAATGAAATCCCATCGTTGATTCGTAAAAAGTTAGTAAAAATTAGCTCAATTAATATATTATCGTTACTTGTAGAGCACTGTCGTTATTGATATTTTCAAGCTCTCAAGGTTCACGTTCCCTTTCGCAGAGCCGCAAGTACCTTCAATTCCCTCTTTCAAGAAAGATTTGCTTTCTCTGTTACCACAACGAGACAAATATAAAATTACATCCTCATAATCGCAGGTATTCATTTTTCATTCGAAGTTGAGGTTAAGTGAATACAATCACAAAGAGCGTACACTCTTACATTCAAATATAACATAACCGTGTACGGCGTGTGTTATATCAATCTTCAAATTTGTGAATTTTACCTTGCGATAGTCGTAATCAGGAGGAGTACTAACACAATTCAAAAGTTTTTCCAAACTTTGGCTAATAGAATTTCTTCGCGACTAATATCCAGATGGCGCGGCTTAATAGTGCCCGTGGCGTATATTATTTTCAGCCTACGCAACAGACATTCTACAATTCCGAAATTCATGACCAGTTTACAACAGCCATAATATTATTCGCACACATTACGCTGTAATCTATAATATTTTGAAGATCCGTCATAGATCACGATCCGACAGATGCAGGTTTCGTTGGAGAGAATCGACTGACGTACGCGCACTTTGAAACGAAAATTTATGCCACGTTCAACTGTCGTCTCCTGAAATTCCTTTACCGAAGCTATGACGTTGCCTGCGTTCGCAATGGCCGCAATTTCATCTTTCCTGTTAAAAGTATTAAATATGAAAAATTGGATTTATTAATTATACGTGTACGTGTATATCGAATATACGAAGATAAAAATCTAAAAAGAAAAACAAAAATTTATGTCATTTCGTTTTATTTCAGTGAAAATGTTTCTGTTGCATGCAAATAGTGCGCTGCGCGCTTGTTTAGCGCGAAACCGCGAAAAATTCAATTGACCGAATCAGGTATTTCTTTTCTTGGAAAGATTTCTCTTCTATAAATACTTACGATTTATTGCAAATTGTTAAATATTTTATCTTATTTTATTTTATACCATGAAATAATAATTTGTAACAGAGATAAAATTATAAACAAAAATACTTTTACAATTTTTTAGATTTGAGTTTTAAACTCTTCACAGTTATTTAAAGTTATCGTATTTTACTTATTTACGATTCTTTTTACTTTAATTCTATTTCATTCAGCTAAAGATAGAAACCTCAAAATCGTGAATATTCATTATTGAATAATCAAACATATTCTTTGTTTTGTATTGTAAGCATTGTTATTTTAAATAAAATAATATAGTAATTTCAATATCAAAAATTAAAAATAATAATCTAATTAAGAAAAATGATATAGGAAATGGTAATATAAATTTCGAACTTTAGCCACGTTCAAATAAAATTTCTTTTTTTAGATTTGATATTTTAATTATTGAAATTAATTTATTTAACTTAAAAATAATTAAAGAAATACATAAAATCAACAATTAAATATAGAAGAAATCGTTTGTATAGTTTTTTTCTATAAAAAACACACAAGTTCCTAGTCGTTTATATTAAAAAAAAAGAAAAATCGATACATTTCACGAAACTTGTCATATTAAATATTTACAATACGTGCGTATCGTATTGGGGAAATTTTCGAGATTTAAATTCACGAATTACTATATTTAAATTAGTAAACAAAATTACTGAAGAAAACAAGAAGAACAAATAAATATGAGAAATAAACTTCTAAAAATTAATAATTTAAAAAAAGGAATTACAGTAAATCTATGTAAACAGAAAAATTTTATTTATCCATAAATATATAAAATTGTCAATAAATCCAAAATGGTTTATAAAAATTTACTGATTAAAGATAAAAAGAAAATAATTAATATAGGATTTATTAAAAAGGACTTCAAAAAATTACTTACTTGGAACATCTTGGATAACTTAACTATGGACTCGGATATCTTGAATAAATTAAAAATAAATGAATTATAGGTATGTATCCTTTTTATGCCTATTTATTTTTAAATGCATCGTAACATATAAACAGATTATTAAACATATTATCAACGTTGCTTCTTCATTTATAAACAACATAATATATATCTGAGAACAATAAGGGTATTTTTACAGTGAAGAGTCATATTAACATTATTTCATCTTTTTTACATACTAGAAAAGAATACAATTTTTGGACAATAAGATTGAACTATATTAAACAAAGAGACAAAGATCGAACTAATTAAATTGCGATAAACAAAGATACGAAGAACTATGTAGCAAGTTACAGGATCTTTTCAGATTTTTTTTTTTCAAAATTTTATGTATAAAATTAGACTCCATCTTCGTTCGAAAATAATCCTTTTATTCAGAATAGTATTTGCTGCAAAAATATATTTTTAATTTGTCATATTTAAAAAATATATATATATCACATTTTTATATTGTAAAATGTTACGAAATCTAAAGTAAATATTTCCACGTATCAAACGTGATTTACAGATCTAGATAGATAGAACACCTCTACAATATTTGTTGTTACTCAACAATAATGATTATACTTCACATCTAATAGTACAAATTTTGTAACAAAGATTTGTGTGGATAAGACATAAAAGTTTTGTTCAAACATTAACAGATTTTATATTGTAAGCAGTACAGAATTCTGGAACATTTAATATTTTACTGTTTTCTTAAATTATTCTTTGATAATACTGTTCGTTCCTTTTTTTTTCTGTTTTGCAAATAATACCCTTACTTTGGAACATATAATATATCTTTCTTTTTAAATTCATACTTGGTTTTTGAAATCAACTTTGTGCTCAAGTAACATATTATTTTCGGGAGGCAATGCAAGGCAGGCTCTTAAAATATTTTCAATTGCTGCTCGTTGTCTGAATAATGCATTCACAACCGGTGTTCCTCGAGGCACTAACGGTGCTTTGCAAAGATATGAAAGTATGGAGAGCACACTGTGAAATCCAGTGAACTCATCTTTGGTATCAGCTAATTTGAAGGTGATACGTGAACAAATCTCTGCCAAGAGAACCAGATCCAAAATAATTGGGCTAGCCAATAGAGAATCTTCACATGTATTATGTATCACAATTGTATTATGTCCTCCAAGTAATATTTCTGATGTGTATTCATCCATTGCCCGTTTGCTATCACCTAGTAAGAATTAAATAAGTCTCGTATTCTCAAAATAATAAATAGTACGCAATATCTAATAAATACATACCAACATATGGAACATATTTAATAACAACACAATGATCTGGCTTTTCTCCAGGTTGGTAAAGAATTTTATTTGATTGCACCATATCATCCACAACATTACTTTTTGAAATCTAAAAATATCAATATATTAAAATATTAATGTTATAAATATACACTGACAATAATGCATCTCTTTTTTTCTAATGAATTACCTCTTTTGAACGAAATTGTTGTGGGGCAGACAAATTATATCCGTCGTTATTTCCAAGATGGTTGTAACTTACAATTGATACTGGTTTAATGCCAGCTGAGACTAGAAAGTCCACAAGTACAGATTTTAATTTCGTTTGCCCGGATTTAAAATCATCACCACCAATAAATGTTTTATGTTTCTCTGCTAATTCTATTGCTCCTGGTACGAAAGTATTTTGAGGAGATCCATTTATATATGTACACTGAAACAATAACATATACATAACATTAACAAATTTTACTAATACTAGTAATATAATAATGATTTTTATTTATTTATACTTTAAATATCTTACTTACTCCTTCCAAAGCAGCAGCAACAGCAAATACTGTACTTGGACTAATTTCTGAATGACTTTCTTTAATAGCATTTAATAAATTTTCTGCTGTATCATTTACACCCGGAATTATCTCTGAAAATCGTTCGGTATTGGCAGTCCATAATATAATTACTTGATCCAAATTCTTTGTAGCTTTAAATTCTGCAATATCTTTTCTAATTTGTTTTAATTGTTCAAACTTTGTACCAGAAATAATATTATTTGCTCTTTTTTCCTAAAAATAATATAGCAAGAATATTAAAGAATATTAGCATAAATTTCTTTTTACTCTTCCCATCAATATCAATAAAAAGATAAATAAATATATAAAGATATTTATGAAAATAAAACAAATACAAAAAAATTTAATTGAAAGCAATATTCACCTGATTGGCAGCAATGAAATCAGAATAATATATGCTTTTTCTTGGTTTCATGTGCATCAAATGTGGTATTAATTGCTTCTGTAAATTAATGTCCAAAACTTTTGCACGTTGCATAGCATCAGCTAAGTTCATATTTGAAATATCCCAGCCATCAATTTCAATATCATCTGGATTTACTATTGGGAGCATCCAAGACATGGGAACATACACATCTTCTTTGTTTCCTTTGCTCCTGCCTAATCTGACAGTAGATGCTTGAATCAAGGAACCGTACCTAAAATTTAAATGAAAGCTTTATATAAGTACACTATTTCATTGAAGACGAAGGATATAAAAATTCCTTGTATCATTATCAAATTATCGTACCTACCAATTTGCTTTCTGAATGCCATTCTTTGTTTCCCATGTCAACTTCAGTTTGTTTGCTATTAATGCTGCGGTAATAGTGGTACCATTATTTCCACCCCATCCTACCAACATTAATCCAAGTTTCGGAACTTTCAGTTGTGTTCTAATTAATAGGTTTGTTGTTACAGGTGTTACCTATTACAATAAATGCATGTTTATATTCTGTAATACATTACACTCAAGTGTTTAAAGCAAATAATATTACGCGCAGTAATTGTTAATATTTGTATCCAAGGTTTTTTCTGCTAGTACACAGTGGTGTACAATACAGGAACCTTTATTTTTTTCAAAAATTGAAAAATTCATTTCCAAAATTAAAATCATAGCGTTTGAGCAGCTGTTCATTTTTTTTTTAATTATTATATTTGTTCCTTTCCCCTAAAAAAGAATTTTTAAATACAAAATCTGTAAATTGAATGTTTATACAATTTTTCTAAAAAAAACCTTCCAACCTTAAATGCACTGATCAAATTAAAAATCAGCGCTGTTTTCCTGATAAAAAAATTCACACATAAGCTTATTTACAATTTGTTCAATAATTATTATTATTTCTTCTCACTACAATTTTTACAATTTATTCGTATGGTTTCTGTGCAAATTACAGTTAATTCGTAAGTCCATTTAAAATATAATAATCTAAATAATGTATAAAGTTCATTTGAAATATAAAAATAACAACATCAATGAAATCTTCGAAACGTGTACATGATATTTGCAGCAAAGAACTAAATATACTAAATAAATATACTAAAAGCGAGTATCTTCGAAGTTTTCGTTATTATTTTTATCATTTAATACGTGTTAAATCAAGTTAAACTACGATATTGTATTTAATTATACAGTTCTTATAGAAATGAATTTTCTTTAGCGGAAAGATGCTTTTATATAAATTTTTTTTTCTTTTTCTCTCTCTCGGTTTTTTCTTCCGGACGAAGGAAAAGAACAAGTATGAAGTAACAACATGTATGTAACTTTGAAATGTAATTTTTTTTTATTACTTAAAATTGAAACGTTTCAGTTACGATCTTCTCTACGATTTAACACAACAACCTACTGAATATTTACCGATCGGATTCATCACTAGATATAAAAAAAAGACACAGAAAATTTCTTTTTTACGTGTTTTCCTTCTCTTCGTGATCTTAACTATCTAACAACTGCAATAACAGAAAGGGGATACTTTTTAAATAGTAAGAAAGAAAAAAAAAAGAAATCTTTCGAGCTTACCGTGTAATTTACACTGTTGTCTTCTGTAACGTTCGTTGTTTGATACTCGTACTGTGCCTCGATATAATCTTCTGTGTACTTCACCTTCGGTGATTGGACGCGAATCTTCAAAGCCATTTTAGCTGTTACTAGATATTTACACTACGGTGACGGCAGTTCTTCAATTGGCTTTATAAAATGTACTTTCTTTACAGGAATATCGGACTCAAGGACCGATTGAGTTCTAATCGAATTGTACTGTTTAGGCTCAATATATGCCAAAGGAGATATTTAAATCAACAATTGCTTTTCTATAAGTCACCGTACAGCAGGTGATGTGTATCTATATATATATATATATATATATATATATCGTATTTATATATTTGTATGCGTGTATATATTTATATATTCGCTGTATGTAGGAAATAAGGGGAAAAATTCCTGGATAACGCGAACGTAAATGATAGTTGAAGATGAATATCCAAAACGTTGTGTTCGTAGCAGAAACGTAAATGTCGGGAGGACGCGCAAGCATGCGCTTTAAAAGAAACGTCGTAACAGCTCCCTTCTACCCCTGTTTAACTGGTACCTATTATATTTGATTACCGCTCGGTTTTTATCAGGCTAACTAATCTCGCATAAAATAACGACATGCTTAGTTTGCAATTTCTTGTTCCTCGTCTCTCTTACTATTTCTTCTTTACAATCGCATTCTGTTTTAACCTTATCTCCCGGATGTGTACGAATATTTTGATATTTGAATTGTTGTGTGGCGTGTGAGTGCGCGCGCGCGCTTTCTTCAAGTTCCTTCTCGTTCTCCTTTCGTATCGGATCTTATTTTAGGTTCCGCTAATGAGTTTCCATTATTCGTGTGTTATAAGACATTCGTTATTTCAAATAATTGTCATTATTTTAATATCGCACTTTATACTTTTTACGTTTTATAAATTTATGAATCTCAAAAATCATTTCGAAAGTCTTTGGATATTTTTTGTCTACAAATTGTTTATAATTTTTTTTTTTTGTGAAACCTTTTTTCTTCGAAAGTCTTGGCAATTTATTAAGAAAATGTACGTTTCATGAATTAAAAGTTATTTAATTTTTAATTATTACTCGCATTAATTTTTATTTGCTTACTTGCATTAAATTTTAATCATATTTCTATTACGTACAAGAATTAGAGAATTATTATTAGAGTTATTTTATTTAATATTAAATATATTCACAAAAGGAATGTGTAATATATTCCTATAAAACATGGAAATTAGTTTATTTATTTAACGATCTGAGATAGCGATTTTATATTGCTATGTATAAACATGAAAAAATTTTGTTAAAAATATACAATATAAAACTGTGCAAAATTTTTGGACAGTTTATAATGTTTAAATCCATATACAACATAATATTCTGTCTATTTTCCATATACAACTAAATTCTGTCAATTTTCCAACATTATTCAATTTCAACATTATTTTATACACAATAAGTTTTATACTACATACTTTTATTCGATTATATTTTATAATAACATATTTCTAGATTTAAGACGAAAAATAATATGCAATATGTTAAATATAATTTTACATTTCGTATTCGTAAACTATTAATTAATAACTTACAATATCATATTGATTAAAAATCAATAAAATTATCACTTGTTCTGTATAACGATTTTATTACGTGCATATTTTTAAACTAATAATTTTTAACTAAGTTTTAAATTCATAAAAATTATAAATTATCAAATAAGTTATGATAATTTACTGTCTATCAGAAATATTTAATTAAAAAATATCATTCGTAAGAAATTTTTCCATTGGAATAGATGTTTTACACATAAATGTTTCTTTTAATAAAATAAAAATATTGTTTAATTTAATTATTAATACAACAATCTTCTGCTTCCAATTAAATTGTTTGAAACAATTATAAAACATTTTTGAGATACAACAAATTATAATATTATATTATATTACAAATATAATTATATACGCTGTATTATTTAATACACTGTATATATGCTATACATGAATTATTTATTATACAGGTCTATAAAACAAGGTCTGTAAAAACATACATATTGTATTAATGTATGTTTTGTGGCTTAAATTATGATTGTTAGCCGGTCTGTGAACTGTTCAATTACATCACGTGTAGTTGGAATGCATAGATTGTTTCAATCAATTGGCACTCCGGTGCCTCTGGAACTTTCGTAATGGGAGAATTATGTTGCCAGGCCATTCGTAAGACGACCCTTGACAAACGATTATGAACTATAATCTGTTTACAAAGGCTGATTTTATCCGAGTCATATATACGAATCGTTTTATTTTCATTCCGAGAAACGAGCATCATTACCGACATATGCAGGTCTCTGAAAGTCTCATACAAAAATCGTACTATGAAATAACTTTACTCTGCACGTCACGCATTTTTCCCTACTTTAATATCGTGTGTCCAGAAATATTCCGGATCGATATTCAGGACATAAAACATCGATAACTCTGTTATCGCCGACATGACTACCATGTGTCCATATAATCGAACTTTCGAGATTCTAATATTCTAAGAATATTTGTCACAACGACATGTAAACATATATCATATGTAACAAAAATTTATTAAATTGGATGAATTTTAAACATAAGGACTTATAACTTAATATAAAGACTTTTCCATAAGAAATTATGGAAAAAGGAGAAAACAGAAATATAGTAATAACTTTTGCTATATAATAATTATTCGATTTTTTACAATATTTGCTATTGAATGATATTCACAGATAAAATAAAATCAAACTTATTTTAAAAATATTAAATGGAATTCAGCCAACAGTTTAACCTATTATTCATAAAGGGTGATAGTTGAACTCTGTCCAATACTTAAACTAAATTGGAGTGGAATTGGCCTGTGGGAACGATCATCGTCATACATGTACAAACCAACATAATAGGCATCATCAACAAATATGTACCTTGAAATTCCATATCCGTCTAATGTTTCGCGAATATTCAAAATAATTTAAAATTATTACCGTTTTTGAACAAATTTAGTATTACTGTAACTTTTTTTGTGATTAATCCAGTTTATTAAAATATATATATATTAAAATATTAAAAAATATATATATTTATTAGAATATTATTAGTTATTCTTATTTACTTATTCTTATTTACTTAACTTTACTAGAACTTTATTTACTAGAACTTCTTATTTGCGTATGCCGTAGAATAATAAATGATAAATTTACTATATACGTTAAAAATGAAAAAAAAGATGCGTGCACTTTAGAAATATTGGAACCAAAATTAATTTATTAATTTAAAAAATATTAAGTCTTACGTAATATGTATAAATAATTATATAATTATACGTATAAATAATTAGTAATTATGTAATTACTAATTAAAACAAACTAAATATCTTGAAAATCGTATTTTAATACAGCTTTTGTATTTTCATAAAAATTTAAACAAATAAATGATATACTTGAATATTTATCATTATTTTCTTATTTATCAAACATTCTTCTAAATATATAAATTCAATAAAAATCTTCTTGTACACATTGTTTGTATATGTTATTTCTTTGCAATTACTATACATATTAAATACATACATACATATTAAATAATAGTATTACGTATTTAATAGTTTTTAAAAGTTACGTAAAAATGATGTCAATGACATTTATTATATTTAAATTTAATATTATTTTTCATTAAATTATACAATTTTTTGATTCTGAATGAAAATATGATACAATTCTAACTGAATTATTTTGTATCGTTCATGTACAATTTGAAAGTAAAAGTATATTTTCCAAAATATTATGCTTCGAATATTTACAGCTATAGATGTATGTTTGTGTAAATTTAATAAATTATTCGATAAAAGTTTTTCTAGTATTTTCGCTATAAAAAGTTTGCCAAACGAGTTACTAGTTTTGTAGATTTGATTATTTGACAATGAAAAAACAGTTTTTAGTTTAAATCTTTTTTAATCATTAATATCGTGTTGATAATACTATTAATTATTGTGTGTGTGTGTGTGTGTGTGTGTTTGGCATGTATGTACATAAATTCCTATATAAACATATGTCTATACTCAATGAATTTTCTTTTCAGGAGTATGTAATGTAACAAAAGAAAATACGTATAAAGGATTTTTATTAAAATGTCAAGATATTTGGAAAGAATACAAACAATATTAAAAAATGCAGATAGTAAAAAAATCACAGATAAAAGGGTATGTATACGTATAAAAAACTTTTATTATATGTTATGTATGATATATTTCTTATATTATTGAATTTTGAATTTTATCAATTTTGTGATCAAGAAAAATTACATTAATTAACATTAATTAAATATTAGTGCTTTAAATATTATTTAACGATGTCTTATCGTGAGAAGGGTAGTATTATCTCTATAAATTACAATTACTATTTTAGAAATGCGTTGTAGATTTATTAGAATTATACGACAATGAAGAAGCAATACTAGAAATTTGTAAAAATACTGAGAGAAATGAAAGAAAAGAAAGTATAATAGATTGGTCGTACATAATACATATTGTTCATAGGATATTATTAAACGTAAGTATATGTTCATCATATAAAACATAATCAAAATAAAATCTATTAAGAATAATTTTGCAGAATATTATAACTGTTTTTATTCTTATTCAAGGAAACAGATAGACTTGCTAATAAAGATACTTGTAATAAAACAATAGTAAATGAACGAAATAAAACATGCATACTTATACAAAAAACGTTCCAATATGCAAATTGTTATAAAGTGCCACTATTAAAATGCAAAGATATAATGCCTTTAGTTTTGCAAATTCTAGGAACAAATATATTTGAACATTACCATGATATTTATATAAATATGCTAATTTCTTACATACTTCCATTTAGAATATATCAGGTGAATATGATACCTAAGCATTGGGAAGAACTGTTAAAAATATGTATAAATTTATATAAACGTATGTCTTCTCTCACAAGTAAAAGAGCTGTTTTGAATGCTTTGCAAATGATTATTGAGTATGGTTGTTTGTATTCGAATTTATCTTTAAATGTAGAAGAAATACTATTGTTTTTAGGTAGGTAAACTTTTAAAGTAAACTTTTTAATTAAAATTTAATTACAAATGTCTAATTTATCTAATTTATATTTATAAATTATTAATCAAGAATCATTAATAAAGTATGTTATAATTTTTTCTAATTTTAGAAAGTATTTTACTTGATGTAAAATTAAATGAAGAAATTTTAGCTGAATCTGGTTATAAACTTACAAATATAATATGTCAACAAATTGCAATAGAATATAGAATTACATTGTGTCATTTTAGTGAAAATATTTTACCAAATATAATCAGCTTAAAAGGTTCTACAGAGAAATACAAGCTTCTACTATTTTTTGTAAAAATTCATCATCCTAAAGGAGTACACACAATCTGTAATGGTGCTTATTCTTATGATTGGAATAAGTGGCACATAATTCTTAAAAGTATGTATCTAATGATTTTAAAAGATCTAAAAGCAGACATACTTATAAAGAGTTTTCTTTGGCTTGCAGCTGAAGGTAATATATTTATATCTTTTTTAAAATAAATAATATAAAATAAATTTTAACAATTATTAATTTAAAATATATATCATTGTTCTAGTTTTTAAACAAATAATAGAGAATCCAAATTTGATTATCGAAGAAAAGTTATTCAATGAATATGATTATATACAACCAGTAAAACGCAGACGAATTGCTGCCAAAATAAGTGGACCAGTTGATATCCTTATTGATAATAATCCAGAAGAAGCTTGGCCCATGATACAAATTTTAACAATATTACTTAAACGACATCCTGAATGTTTAAAATCAGAAGATTATCCGACATTCTTAAAAATCTTAGTAAATCTTTTTACGCTATCTCGTAAAGAAGAAAATATCATGAATAATTTATATGAATTAGCTGCTGTTTTATTAGTGAGTGAAAAAATATATTCTATAATAGATATAGAAAATTCAAACATTTACTGGGATCAAATATGGGATATTCTATTAAGGTATGATATTATTATATTTATATCATATATTTATTATATGTTTTACGCTTATTTAGAATGTTGATTTCATGTTTGTCTGTCAGTACTAACTTGTTATTTTAGATCTTTGAACATAAATCAGAATGAAATATCAACTCATAAGCTGACACAGCTTTTTATAATACATAATAAAATAACAAATCCAAATGCACTTCTAAAACTATATTTGACAAATGTTATTAAATGGTCTATTATGAGTGTTCGTACATTAATAGTAGTATGTGAACATTTACCTTTGCCTACTGATATGACAGTGTTTAATACAAATGTATATTCACCAGCAATAGATACAAATTCTGTTAGGTCATGTCTTATAAAATGGATATTAAATATTCCTTGGCATAAAATGGCAACACAAATAAAAATTGATGAACTGTGTTTATTACTTATCAGTATAACATTAAAATCAAAACATCAAAAACAAATAAAATTCAGTGAACTGAATGATATTAACAACTTATGTGATTGCTTAAAAAATGAACAAAATACTGATACATTTTGTGAACATATTGAACAATATTATTTACTATTAACATATAAAAAAAATATATTCTCTGAGGAAAGCAAGGAAAAAAATTCTGAAGAAAAACCAAAAGTAAATGAACATGTATTGTTCATGGAAGATATTGTAACTTATTTAATGAACAGTTTACATATTATTATAGAAAATGAAAGTGGAAATGACGATCTTCATATAGTTATCATAAAAATTACAATAATAGGAAAAGTTATATCAATGATGAAAGAATTAAACATGGTACCTAAAAATATAGAAGAGTTGTCCTTGGTACAAGCACTGAAAAATTATATAAATTTTGCTTATAGTTCATTAGAGAAATTAAATTCAAGAAGCAAGTATGCTTACCTTCTCAACGTAACAAAAGTACTTAATATATTGTATGAAACATCATATGATGCCGATGTAGCAGAAATAATTGTCACATCTACAACATTGGATATGTTGAAAAATATATTTAATTTAATGAATATCGAAGACAATGAAATTAGACGTAAATATTTAGATAGAGAAGTCATTCAAAACCAATGCGACTTTTGCAACAATGGTACAATTAGAATACAAACAACAAAAGCTTTAACATTGTTTTGTTGCATAAATGTAGAACAAAAGAGAAGTGAAATTCAAGTAAAACTTATGAATAATTTGCTTAAAACTGATATGTATGATCTTTCACATACAGTTGATTCTGCAATGGCTATAACAGTTTTAAAATCTTTGTTAAAGTATGATAAAGAAGAGTTATGGCAAAATCACGAAGAACTGCCATTGAAAAATCTGTTGAAATTGTATCGTAAATGTTATAAGGACGAAACAGTTATGCGTTATATATTGAATATTTTTCCATATTTTTTTAATTATGCCATAGTTTACAATTACCAGTTGGATGATTTAATGAATATTATTGTCCAATTTAATAAGTTGCGATCTGAAAGAAGATATGGCTTTCTTGCTCATAAAGAATTTGTTAAATGCCTTTCAGAAATTATTTATATCAGTCCTTCTCATTTTTATTACACTGATACTTTAAATCAAATGCCAATAATTGAAGGAATTTTATCATCTCTTAACAGTCCTTCATTTCTTGTTCAAGTGCAAATAATTAAATGTATACAAAAAATATATTCTTCAAAGAATATTAATTTCGAAAATAAAAAGATATTATTTACAGAAATAGAAAAGTCAATAGATAAATTGATTATTAACAATGAAAACAATGACAAAATAAAAATAGACAAGAAGAAAGTTATAACAGCAAGTGTTTCACTAATGCTTGCTGCCATAATATCTACCAATGGAACATTTCAGTGTCATGCTTTATTAACAATGTTACGCTTTACTATTGATAAAAAAGTAGAGAGTCAAATAATTTCAAGATCAATAGACATTATGTCAAATCAAATGAATTATTTGGACATCATGGACGAAAATTTAAGTTATTTAATGACATACTGGTTTAATTCAAAATATTCATTACACTTATTTCCATGGAATTTAACACGATGTAAATCAGAAGAACAATTTTATAAAACACATAGTAACATAATAGCATTGATTAAATTTCAAAATTTAGAAATTTCTAATGTTGTTTCCTTTTGCAATTCTATTAACTTATCATTTGAAGAAACCATTGAAAATATTTTTCCACAAATTTTATCATGGTTACTATACTGTATTAGTGGGAATAATGAAAATGTATCAGAGGAATTGGCATGTAAAGTGTTTAAAAAATTAATATCAAATGAAAATGAATTTGCTAGAACAAAGAAGTTTTCTAATTTATTTAGAGATAAATTTGAAAAAATATTGATATTTCTTATTGAAAGATTACATGACGAAGATTATCTTGAAGAAATATTAGGAGAAAGAATATCATTTGCAATATCAGATCCTCCTCATTTTAAGAAAGAAATAATAATTACTTGTTTAAAGTACATGGAAGAAAACTTTTTAATACAAAAGAATTCTATACAATATGTTTTGGTGTGTAATTATCCAAGTATATTACAAAAAATATTATTACATTTAATTAATAACGTCTATAAAAGAGAATTCGAGGAACATAAGATAAAAGCTTTTCATCAGTACTTATTTTTTTGTACATTAATTATTAAAGAGTTGAAACAAGAATATTTCAATACACTGTCTATGTATATCATAAAAGATGTTGGTTACAATTTACTTCATATAATTAAATTACATGATAGTATTCTTCGTAAATTAGCATGTAAATATTTTTACGAATTTGTAACACATATTTTACATGTAAGAAGTGAACAAATCAAGGAAATTTTGAATTTTACCGTCATGACTTTAACTCCCATAGCACAAACAGAAAAGATGCCGATAACTTTAGAAATACTAAAGTTCTTAATAATTGATCAAAAAGAAATATTATGTGATGCAATAGAGAAATTGAATTCATTTCCAAACGTACCTATATTTCTAGAAATACGAAAAGTTCATAATGATTTGAAATATAAAGCAAACAAAATTTATAGTTTAGAACAAGAAATACAACATTTTTTATGTACAGTTGCTGATAGGGATATACATTATAGTATAGAAGATATTACTCATTTACAAATACAATTGTCTACAAGAAAAGAAGAATTACGAGAATTATATGATAAACTTGAAACATTTCACGGATTCTCTGAAGATTGTACTTTGAGCATATTGCATCAGTTGATATATAAACTTATAAAATTGACAGCATCTTCTGATATAAATGTTTCAATTGAAGCTGTGAAATGTTTAGGCGAATTAGGACCAACTGATTTGACATCAATGATATACTTTGAGAAAAGTCACGTTAAAGAATCTTCTGACTTAATAGAAATACTATCATATAAAATAATAACAATAATGGTACAATTTTTATTTCAAAGTGATATTGAGTTTCGAAAAATTAGTGCTGATATATTGCATGTTATATTTTCGTCTTCTTGGGGACAAAAGCTGTTAAATACTAAATATATGGAACATCTAAAAACTGTTTTAAACGAATCACAGTCAATATTACCTCTATGTTATATTCAGCCATTTATAAATAACAAACATTCAAAAATGAGTAACATTGGTGTAAACTACACAAAAGTTTATGATATTATAACTCCAGATAATATTATTTGGACGATTCAGTCTGATGGATCATATACTACTTGGATTGTAGAATTAACATGTAGTGTTTTAAAGTGTTTTACAGGATTTTATTCTGAAAATTTGATTCCTATTTGTACATTAAGTACTGAGTTTTGTGAAATAATCTTACCAAGAATTATTTTTTTAATACTTTATATAGATAAACATTTTATGAGTAGTATATGTTTATGTATTAATAAAATTTTTGAATATCATTTTAATTTTACAAACAATTTAGAAACAAGCATTTCTTCACAAAAATTTACATATTGTGATCATCGTATTGTACGTTGTATGTTAAATATTGTTAATTATATTAGAATGCAAGTTTCAAATAATGTTTTAAAATTGAATTATATATATATTGCAAAAGCTGCCAAATATTGTTCAGCATTTTTTACTGCAATATTATATGCAGAAATGTCCTGTGAAACTATCTTAAATGATTACAACAAATTTCAAACTTCAAAAATTGATTATGTCTATGAAATATCACCCGAAGAAGGAAAAGTGATACAGAATATACTTAGAGATTCTTACGCCAAAATAGGTGATTTTGATGCAATTGATGGTACTGGTTCTTCACATTTACAAGATCATTCTAGTCGTATTCGGCATTATGTACACACAAACAAATGGGATAAAGTAATGCTTGCACAAGATGTTGAACTTTCTTCTGGAAATATGACAGTAATTAAAGGTATGTAATACAAAATTTCAATTTTAGCACAACGTTATAAAATTTACATCATTTAACAATTTATTATTTCAAAATATAAACAATGTCTATAATAATAAGGTTTAAATAAAATTAAAATGATATTTTCATTATAACTTCAAATTATATGTAGTGCGTTATATATTTTAGAAATGGCAAATGGATTATACCAATCTGGTCTTCAGTATTTGCTTAGCAATTTTATATCTACTATGTCAAATAATGGTGCAAAAATAGATGAAGATATTCAATATGAATGTGCTTGGCGACTTAGTAATTGGAATATTTGTGAGACAAACCAGTCTTTATACACACAAAGTAACTGCAATTTAAAATTAGAAATAACTGAACATGATTATCATTTTTATCATTATCAAGCATTAAAATATTTTCATGAAGGTAATAAAACAGGTATTCAGGATGCAATTCAAAATGCTCGCACAAGTATTATTAAAGCCCTTAGAAATATTAGTCTAGGTAAGAATTAGAATTGTTAAAGTTCTCAATGTTTAAAACAAAATTTTTCAATATTTAAATTAAAAATTTGATTATTTTAGAAAGTAGCAAAACTATATATGAAAAGTTAATGCACTTACAATTAATTAATGAAATTGAGGAGTTAAACTTTGCTAAGCAAGATGAATATGACAAACTTTTATACAAGTGGCAACAGCAGGATGTTGTAAATTTTAATGAATTTGAATATATTGAACCCATTTTAACTCAAAGAACTGTTATGTTTCAAATAAATAATACTTTAACTAATAATGAAGATATTAAGAGTGCACTTTTTAATACATATTTACAAATATCAAAAATAGCAGCAGATAAAGATAATTTGCATTGTGCTACACGTTCATTAGGTACGTATAACAAAGATTGTTATAATATTATATTAAATATTCAGTTGCAAAATATATGTTTTTTCTTTATACTTTTTATAAAGCCATCTTAACAAAGCAAAAGGATATACCATCGAAAATTCAAGATCAATTACTTTATCAAGAATCTCTATTAGCACGACTCACAAAAGATTTAGATATTGGACGATTCCTTTTACGTAACTTGATGCAAAAGAAATCTTTAGATGCAAGCTTACGAGCGCAGATATTAAGAGTTTATGGAGATTGGATGGCTGAAACAAAATCAGAAAATCCCCAGGTGTGTATCATGTAGTAAATGTAAATTAAATTACAAAATTTTTGATATTTTACTATTTGTTATCTTCCAGATTATAATACAAAATTATTATTTGAAATCTATAGAAATAAACACATTAATTAATACACAAGATACTGAGACTATTAAAGATTTACATGATACACAAGTAGCTTTAGCTCGTTTTGCTGATAATCAATTTCAACAAATTAGTTCATATATAAATTCTCCTCAATTTGAACATCTAAAAGAATGTGTTACTTACTCTGGTAAAGGAATTAATGTACCTTCAATTAACGAGGATAAATATATTAGAAGTGCAATGATCTTAAATCAAAGACAAAATACAAATGATGTTGCAGAGCTGGAACATATACAAAAAGAAAGAGATAACTATTTGATTTTGGCATTAAAGTAAGTTTTATGTTTTTACAGTTTTTTAATATATAAATATTGTTAATTAATATTAATTTAACATTTTTATATTTTACTTATTTTGTGCAGGTATTATTTAATAGTACTACAGCAAAGCGAAAACTATAATTTGCTGATATTTAGAATAATTGCACTTTGGTTAGATAATATATATCAAAAAGAAATTAATGATTTATTACAAGAAAATCTTAACAGAATACCATCTTTCAAGTTTATTCCACTTGTGCCACAATTAGCTGCGCATATGAATGATAATTTCAACGAATTTTCTGAAAAAATATATAAAATTATGCAACGTTGTGCTTTAGAACATCCACATCATACGTTACCAGTATTATTGGCGTTAAAAAATTTACATGGTGATTATGAGTATAATACAGTTAAAAAAAATAGAATACTAGAACCAAGAGTTCTTGGTGCACAAAAATTGTTGCAAGAATTAACAGAATCAAATATAATTTCAATTATACAAGAAATGGAAAAATTATCACATGCTTTAGTTATGTTAGCCAATCTTGCAACTACTTCAAGCAAATGTAAGTAGATACATTATGTTACGTTTACCAAAAACATAGTTTTATATTAATATACTATATAAAACGAACCCCTTATACATTGTACATCAATACATATAAACAGATTAGTCCTAAACTGACAGAATTATTTTTAGCAGGTTGTACGATCAAAATACCAAAAAATCAAAACATTTTAAAAATTAAAAATTTTGAAAACATATTTGTACTAACATTAACAATTGATGTACGGCCGCTTAGAAATTACAACAATGTTATTGGTATTGCTAAATATACAGAATCATATGAAACTGTTGGAGGTATAAATACTCCAAAAAAATTAACTTGTATTGGTACAGATGGCATACATAGATATCAGTTAATAAAGGTATATTATTAAGTATATTATATAATATTAAAAAATATTTATTCATTTTTTATAATATCAAATATTAAACTTTTAATTATTTAAATATATTTTTAGGGAAAAGATGATTTACGACAAGATGCTGTAATGCAACAAGTTTTTAATGTAATGAATACACTGTTAAAATCTTATAAAGAAACTAAACGTAGAAAATTAACGATTAGAACCTACAAGGTAATAATAACTTCATTTAGTCCGAACATAAACAAACGGAGCCAATTGTGACAATTTTTGTATAAACATCTAAAGCTGATATATTGACCCGCTGACAATGAAAGAATTAATAAATTAATATATCATTAAACATTTTTCATCATTAAATTAATTTTTATTAAATGAAATTAATCATTTAAATAAATAATCATTAATATAAATTATTTTGGCCATATTAAACATTTGTCTTATATGTACGATTTTAGGTTGTGCCATTAACACAGAGATCAGGAATACTTGAATGGTGTAATAATACGATGCCTATTATAACTATATTGATAGGTTCAAATACTTTTCCAGGACTTTGTAAGAAATATTATCCAAAGGATTATACAGCAAATAACTGTAAAGAAAAACTAGCAGTAAGTTTAAATAAGACTCAATTTCATGATTTATGTATTGTTCTTATTTTGATTTGTATAATTTACAATAAATATATACTTACAACTTAGAAATTTTATTTCTAGGCAGTGGTAAAATCATCAACTGATATGAAGTTGAAAGTATTTATGGATTGCTGCGCACATATGCATCCAGTGATGCATCATTTTTTTTCTGAAAAATATTTATCACCTGAAACATGGTTTGAACGTAGATTAGCATATACACGCAGGTAGTAATATTCTTATATAATAATTACTTTAATTATATATATATATATTAAATTATATCACTTACAGTATAGCAACAACATCCATGGCAGGATATATTTTAGGATTAGGAGATAGACATTTAAGTAATATCTTAATTGACCAAACAACTGCTGAAGTAATTCATATTGATTTTGGTAAATAAGATAATAATATAAACATTATATTAGTATTTACTATTACATAAATATTAATACTACTAAATATTTAATATTATATTTTTAGTACTGTTATTCATAATATGATTAACAAATACTTTAATACTTTTATGTCAGGTATAGCATTTGAACAGGGAAAGGTATTACCAATTCCTGAAACCATTCCGTTTCGACTTACACGAAATATTGAAGTAGGAATGGGTGTATCTGGTGTAGAAGGAACAATGAGACATTGTTGTGAAAAAACATTAACCGTGTTACGCGATCAAAGACAAATAATCATAACACTGCTTCAAGTTCTTATATATGATCCATTATTTAAATGGACTATAACTCCTGCTAAAGCACATGACATACAGAGTGGAACATCATCAAGATTAGTTGAAAATAATCAGTGTAAATATAATTTATGTTTTTATATATTAATTATATTCATTGTTATTATATTTAATACTATATTAAATATAATATATAATACTTATTTTAGTATTACGAAAATATTTAAAAAATATTTATCATTAGGTGTTAGAGCAATTAATAAAACAGCAGAAAGAGCTCTTTTAAGAATAGAACAGAAACTACAAGGTACTGAAGAAGGATTAGCATCTAGTGTATCTGGTCAAGTTGAAAGACTCATACAAGAAGCTCATGATCCTATTAATCTTTGTCGTTTATATTGTGGATGGCAACCATATCTATAATCTTATATTTTATAATTAAAAAAAAAATTTTTGAAATGTGATATAAAATTAGAAATTAATTATTATTTATTATTAATAATATTATTTATTATTAATTTATTATTAAAATTAATTATTATTTATTATTAATAACTATTTTAAGAGCAAGATAAATTATAAACATCTTTCATATTTTTAATTCATTTTTAATTTTATATAAATTATATACATATATAGAACACATAGTATAACGTACATAAAAGAAAATTAAATTATATCATTATTTTAATAGGTTTAGTCTTTAACTTTAGTCTTCAATAATGCCATAATGTATTATTTGGAATTAATAAAGAACTATTTTATATAAATATTAAAATACAATAAGAAAATTATACATCATATACACAGAAAGAAAGGAATACAAAAATTCTACTATATTTTAATAATTTATTTTTATTATTAATGTACATAAGATAGTCTAAGATTCGTAAAAATTTAACTAAAAAAGTATACAGACGACAAAACTTTATTAATGTCGAAAGTACCTTTTGATGGTACATTAATAAAACAATTATGTACTTCTTCCAAGTTAAATTTAGCATCATATTCTTGTATCCTGAGAACATATACTCAAATTGAAATATACATTTTATCAATTATAAAAATTTAATGTAATTTAAATGTAATACTGTCAATATATTAATTTACATGCAATGGTACTAAAATATTACTTACTTGTTAGCTGATAAATATCGAGTTACAAAAAATTGAGCTAAATCTTCCAGAATAGGTTCAGAATGAAGCGCAACAAATTGTTCTCTGCATATCTATAAAAAATGATTATGTATGTATGAGAAAATGTGAAAAACATTTAAAAATTGAAGTTTAGTTATTACATTTTGTATGTCTATTTACTTTGTTCATAACATCTACAGTACAAGGATGAGTCCAAAAACAATCATGCACTGAGACAAAAGTAACATTATTTCTGTAACAATTTAGCCCAGTAAGCATCATGTGAGTGGAATCCAAAGAATGTATAAAGTTTGGTGCAAATGCATTTCGCTGTTTCATTGTATCAGGTTTCCTATAAATATCAATTGCATTAATATTGATATTAATATTTTTAAAAATTTTATTTTCGAATAATATATAATATGTTTTATTATATAATATTGTATATATATTAAGTAATAAAAAATAAAATTAATTTGATATATGTATTTGTAAAATTATATACTTTTACTAACTCGTTGCTTTTAACACGATTTTTTGGAAACTTTTGTTTTGTATAGGGTTGTACAACAGGAAGACCTAACGGAGTAATCCATTCCACATTTTGACGAAAAGTAGAAGAAATAATTTGAGCACACTGTGTGAACCAATCTTGAATTTCTCTTGCACTTTTAAACATTTTTCTTAAACTGTGAAATGTATTTTCAGTCAAATAAATACTAGCCTGCCAAATATATTCCTTTGGAAAGTTTTCTATATCTATACAAAAAATATAAACACTAAAATACATTTTCGTTTTTTTTTAGTTTGTAGCAGCATTCCTAAATTTTTCCCTCTTTATTTAAACGTCCTATATAAAGAATAAAATGAAATTTTTACCTCTTAACTGTTTTGCTATTTGATGTTTTGCACCATATTTTGTTACACCATATACTGTCGTCATCACAGTTTGCTTTATAACTTTCCTTTTTATAAATCCTTCTAACATTTGTGCAATTATAATATTATTTTTTGCGTCGATTTGTCGTTGCGCTTCAACCTGAAATGAATATATTTTCTATGAAAATATTTATCTAGTAAACTGCAACTGAAAAACTTGTGTAATAGTAAACCTACAACGGACACAACTTCGGAATATACATCTTTTGGAATATCAAATGGATATAGATTAACACTTTCCGCACCAATCTGATCTTTACCAAGTGCTGCATAATGTTGAAGTCCATTACAACTTCCGTCTTGATGAACTGGAAACGTAGATATATACTCTTCTATGTTTGGTGCTTTCAATGCATTTGCTATTTCCATACATGCAGCTAAAGTTTGCCAAGGTTCCTCTGATTGTTTCCACCACATTTTACCCTTTACAATATAAATATTCAGTTCTATTAAAAATTATTTTGAATATTCTGTATATATTTATGTAATACAAACATATACAAGATATTTATCTCGTAAAGGAATAAAGTTATGTAATTGTTATAAAAGGACGTAATTATTATATAAATTACTTTTTTTTTTTTTAATAAATTAAAATAAAAAATAACGAAATAAAATTTGTTATTTGAAATAAAGACTTACTGTCAATGGTTTTGTAGCACTATCGATTATATTATCCATATTTTCATTTGCATATTTAAGACGTTCTTTAACATTATCTCCTTTCTTAAAATTGGTTAAACTAATAACATGTAACTTTAACCAATCCAATCCATTTGGACCTAAAGGTTTTCCTTTCGCAAATAAAAGTAAAGAACGACCCAAATCAGATGACAAATGATTTAAATGTGGAGGTACTGGATAGACTCTTCCTCTAAAATCCAAATTATGTGGCAGCCAAAATATTTTATTCCTATACTTTAAAAAGATAAAGAAATCTTACTATACAAAATGGTATAAATATATAGAATTAAGCATATAATTACAAGACTAAACGAATTTTTAAATTTTCTACTGTTAAATTATCTTAACAACAATTTACTTATTAATAAAAAATTAATATTATCTGAAAAATTAAATACATACATGATTGGCAATGGATAACTTATAAAGAGTGTCGCACCATAGAGAATACATATCGGCTTTCTTTTGAATATATTGAGCTTTCGCTAATGCTGCTCTTTGTTTCTCTTCGACAGTAGCATTGTTACTTATGGGATTTGGTGGAGATAATACCGAAATTGATTGAGGAACTTTTAATTCTGCAGAACCACCATCTTGAAAAATCTAATAGATATATAAGTAGAAATGATTTATAATAGTACTAATTCATATTTATTATCAGTGAGAAACATATTTCAATATCAGAATTACCTTAATTACAATATCAAGTATGGCAGTATTAATTTTCCATGGTATAGAACTAAGCTGATTCAATGAATCAAATATAGGAAATAATTGTTCTGAGTCCGTAATTTTAAGTTGATGGCATAAATTATTCTAAATAAAAATATAAGCATTATACATCCTCTTATATTGAACAAATGTGCTTTTAAATGTATATACTTCAGATTGTTTAGATTGATTAGTTTGATTAGAATTATATATTTAAAACTTATATCATATTATTAAATAATTTGTATGTAAACTTAAAAAATAAATTAAAATTACAAGCTTACAGAATCAACTCCAACTCTCATAAAATCAGTTTTTGTTATAAGATATCCTCCTGAATATATTGAAATCCATGGATTTGGTGGGCCATAAGAAGGGAAAAAAAGTGTATCAAATATTAATGTTTCTAAATGTGTTGTTTTATATAATTTTATTACTAAAGGATGAGGTTTAATCTGTAACATAAAAATAATTTAATAAATTTTCCTCTCAGAGACTACTACATATTAATAAGTTTAATGATTTTTTTCAATAAAACTAGGCTACAAAGATTGAGTACTATAAAATATTTAATGTTTCACACAAACCTCTTCTGATAAACAAATTTCTTTGTTCCTGAACAATGTATAAAATGCAGGAATAGAATATTTTAAATCTTGTCCTTTCAAAATCTCAGGTTGAAGCATGATATCATTCAAGATAATATTATACAAAAATTTGCCAATATTGACAATTACATCCATAGGCCAATTCAAACAGATAAAATTTGAAGGTACACTATACTTTGCTTCTTCACGTTCAAAATATTGCAATATGATACGATGATTCATATTATTTAAATGTGTCATTTTTTCAGGATGTAAGTACCACTCAAGGTATTTCGAATAAATACTAATTATCTTATTTAACACACCAGATTTCTTCTTTCTTTCAATCTATAAATTAAAATTATAAATTTAAACATATATAGCAATTAAAATGATAAAGCATATAAATATTTTGTTAACAAATATATAAATATAATTTATATAAGTAATATCATACCTCATATCTCCTATAAATATGTTTCCCTAATTTAATATTTAATAATTTAACAGGCGCACTAAAGTTTTCTGATCCTTTAGCTAATTGTTTGATTTCGCGCAACATAGCATCTATGTAGAATTTTTTATCCAGAACTTCCAAAAATGGATATAAAACCATTGAAACATTATGATATTGACATTCCTTTTGCTTTAAACACTTTAAATTCCTTTCAAATGCTGCTGACGCTGCATTTTTCCAGTATTTTTCTATTTCTGCAATTTTTTCTTCCTGATATAAGGAAATAATTAATACTATATTAAATTTGTAATCTCTGAATGTAATCTTTAATTATACAAATTAATAATTTGAACTATTAAATAATAAAATATTATATAATCTTACAGAACTAGTAGTTTTTATATTTTTATCGCATAGTTTAATACTTGGTATCTCTACTTCAAATGCTAATTCAGTCTCAAGTTGGATTTTAAAACATTGTTTCAGTTCTTCCATTGTTAGTAGTCCTTCCACTGGATTTTCATAATTATTTTCCGTTAGATTATTTTTTAAAATTTGACATTTATAATTTTTATCTAATGTAGAATGTAATAACTTAAAGTCTGGCATTAATATCTTGATTACTTTTAATATATTCTTTTCTTGATCAGTTGTAAAATATGATTTGTTAAAGATATCATTGAAAGATACATTGTAATCATTCATTTCAATATTTAATTTCTTTAATAATTCTATAAATAAAATACATTATTAGAACATATTTTTTTATACTAAATGGGAAAGCAAATTAAAAATTTATATAACATAAAATATTACCAATTTGTTTATTATTTAAAGTTTCTCTTCCTAAAGCATCAAATATATATGCATATGTTTGGGATGTTGGTGTTAAGGAATCTTTTTTTATCGTATCATACAATTCTAAAACTTTTCCTACTTTTCTTTTAGAAGCATATGCTCCCAAAAGCATATTATAAAGTTTAATACTTTCATCATTCTGCAAATATTTTTGAGAATTTTTCCTATACAATACTAAGATTTTATTTGCTCTATTTAACAATCCACAAAATAAATAAACATCCATATATGACAATAAACTTTCAACATACTTTTGTGCTTCATATTTATTTTTAATTTGATGCAAGTTCTTTTTTTGTAGTTGTGTATCGTATCTAAAAAAATTTTGTTTATACAAAATGTATACACACCATAGATCATAATAATATTAACATTATTATAATATTATAATAATGTTATAAAAAACATATACAAACTCCTGATGTTTCTTCACTTTGGTTTTTTCAGCAGAATGAAGTGAAGAATTTCTTTGAAGAATGTTATTTTTAATTTCATTATTAATATTCAAGTTATTAAAGTCTTCCCTTTTGTCATGAAATTTTTTGCAATCTTTCATTCCTTTTTCATTAACTATATTTACATCGTTTTCCTGTCAATGAATTATAAAATAAGAAATGTATAATTTTGTTAATATTTAAATAATATTTATAATATTTAAATAATAAGATCTTTTAAAAACCCAATTTTTATAACAAAATTTGATATTATAACTACTAAATTAATATATTTGATTTTATTAATATATTTGAAATAAATTATTATTTATGAATAAAATATTTTGTCAAATCATTTCAATTCATTTTTATCGATATTCAAATTTCTATATATTACAATTTTTAAATAGTTAAGCATAATTTGAATCAATAAGAAATAAATTAGTGCAACTAACAATATTTAAATAAATTTCAGTATCACAAAGATTATGACAGTTCTCATTTATATAATTTGAATTCAATTGTTGATCAATAATAAAGTTTTTATTGTCGCATAGCTTGTTTGCGGAAACATCAGAATCATCAACTAATACAGAGAGATTAGATGCTGCTAATTTTTGAACTTTGGTCCTCTTATTACTTGTTGTATTGTTTGTTACTGTAATAGAAAAACGTAATATTGAAAAGGTTTGAACGTAGTTTGAAACATACTTATAAAGATATAAATTTTACCTGCTAATAACTCAGCATATTTTTTTGTTTTTTGCTTGACTTTTTTTTTTATTGGTGAATGATCTAATATATTTACTGTCGTATTATAAGTACGAAGTTGATGATGTTTTATAGCTAGAATGAATTATATTCGTAAAATATAAAATTGATTGTTTATATTTTATATGATAGTTAAATATATTTAGTAGATATGTAAATTAAATATTAAATGGTGTTTAGAAGGAAATATACTATTTCAAATATTCATTAAATTCAAATGAATTTTGTATTTTTAATATAATCTTATGAAAACCTTATGTTTATATAACAATTTTTGCTTATTCTTACCCATAGAATATATTAATAAAGTATTGCTATTAAACCCTAGAACATTATATATAATATATAATTCTTACTTGCATATATTTCTTTAATATATAATGCTATACTATTAAAAACAAATAATTTAATAATAAAGAAAGAATATAAAAAATTGAATTAATATAACAAACAGAATTAATATTCTTACATTAAAGAATATAAATAATCGAACTGAATTGACTTTTGAAATTACTTGTCAATATGATCTTCACTTTGTTCATATTTATGTTGCCTCGCACTGTCAGGGATTAAATCTTACATTTTTTATTATATACATAAATAGTATGAACTTTTTCTGTGTATCAACTTTCTTACAAATCATACTTCACAATGTCACAAAACAGCTTCATTTCAAAAGAATGACTTCTGGAATCTTATCAAAATTTTAAAAAAATAACAGTGAGCACTGAGTTTAAAAAGAAAATTAGTTTTCGCGCGAAACGACATAATAATGAAAATAATAATAATAAATTCTGTTAACTGTTCTGTTAAATCTGGTCTCAAGCAGATCAAAACGAAGATATTGCAAAGTAGTTTAATCTCCGCAGAAATAATCACGCGGGAAAAGCCGCAAGCATTCACATGTACTTCAAATATTTTAATGTTACAACTTATAAATACTGATAAACAAAATATTAGTAACTTATAAATATTTTAGTATTTCGTAAATATCTTACACATTGTCACGCGTAAGTTGACGTGATAATGTGATAATTAATACAAGGCTTTAACCTGTTGGCTATTTGCTGTTAGTGCTGCCTTGTTTTTTAAGTGTGTACCTACGTTGCGTCGCAAAAAATGAAGAGACAACGAGTATACTCGACGTAATACAAAAGCATTGCCACTTCTCCGCGACGAGTATACTCGTCACTCTTGCCACAGCTAACAAGTGACAGAAATTCTACAAAAAAAGAAAAAAAGCCGCATCCTTATTGTAAATTAAATGGTAAAATTTAATCGTATTTAACAGACGTACATTTCGACGTCTTTCCGTGGTGAAAGTTGCAGAACGAGCACAAACGCATGGACCGCTGCACGATTACTTGCTTCGGTATAAAGAGAACACCATGTGGGGATATACGTTCCGCAACCCGTGTCGCTAAATGTTTGTACATCTTATGAACGGAAAATTAATCGCCAATTATATAACAATCGATTATCTCACGATCAACAATTTCAATAATTTCGCATAAGAAAAGTACCATTATACATGATAAAATAACATAACCCACGAAACGGAAAACGGCGTTTCATATTTACTTCGTAGCATGAAAACATGCAGTACATAGATAGTAAAACCGTTCTACGTTCTGTAGCGGGTGTTGGATGTGTTTAGGAATGATGTATGATGATGATGATGATGATGATGATGATGAAGATGAAGATGAAGATGATAATGATGAAGATGATGATAATGAAGTCGAAGTAGGTACAGGCATGTAGGAGTAGGTAAAGCAGAATTCCACCACACGTTCACAAAAAATTATACACGTAATTCTTTTAACAGTTTTATATATTTTTATCTTTGATTTCTTATCACAATTGCATTTACAAATTTCTTACAAATCTCTTTCCTGGGTTTTTTATTTTTACTCTAAAAAAGATGTTGCTGGCTACTTCATTGGAAACGCACCTTGCGACGGAAGATTTTAGCGGATGTACGTGACGTTGTTTCGTATTGCGCGGAGGTAGCGGTCGCTACAGGCACTGAAATGGTAGCGTCACGTAGTGGTAAAACGGTGAAACTAATTTATATTGCTATCCTTGTCGCACATTGTACCCTCTTTGTTTACCGCGTGAATATAGCTGTCCTTGTCTAGCGTCTAATGACGCTAGACAAGGAAAGCAATAGTGTGCGACAAAAACATCTCTCGATCTATTGAAAAAAAAATTCAACTTTTTACACAGACGTTTTTCTAGAACAAAACACACATAGAAAGAAAGCGGCGAGCCTAATTTTAAGGAAGCATATAAAAAAGTTCACAAATTATTCCTCTTAATTAGGTTTTTTTCATAATTGTGTGAACAATCACAAAATAGACATGGTGGCGCCATCTAGTGGTAACTCAGTGGTACTAATTATTTATAAAAATATTTATTTCTGCATTTTTTTGGATCAAATGGGGTATGAAAAGAAAGCTAAGAGTCTAATTAGGGTAATACAATCACCAAAGTTCACAATTCATTTCGCTAAATTAGGTTTTTTCGCAAATGAAAATTTCTCTATTTTACGGGGTAAGAAACACTAGCGCCGCGTTGTAGCAGACCGGTGGAACTAAACGCTCCATAACCATATAAGGAAAATAATTAATCTTAATTTTTCACGCCACAAATTTGCACTCGACGAGCATATATTTCAATGATAATGCTATTAATTAGGTTCGCAAATAAATCTGAATCTAATATTCTTTATAGTTTGCGAGAAATTATGCACTCACTACTGGCACTACCCTGTAGTGATTATGATAATTTAAATTAATATCACAATACTACAAATAAATAATAACTCCGTAATTAATTTTAGTAGTTTATATAAAAATATTATCAATATAACAGCTAATACTATTGAAAATATTATCAATATAACAACTATATAATTACTAATATTAAATATCAAATAACGAAGATAAAATAATGAAAATTAAATAACGAATGAATAATTAAAATGATAATTGCAGTATATATATAAGTTTCTGTAAATATTTCCATGGTGATAATAAAATTGCTAACAATTTTTAAATATTCTACTGTTTATATTAAATAAACATCTAGACGGAACAATTTAATGAACATAGATGTCGTTGATCTAAATTCTTCGAAGTAGAGGTCGCTACACCATGAAGGGTTTGAAATTGGCGATGATAATGCGAGGATAATGTAGGAGGAAGTGATGATGTGGGTAAGGTGAGGAAAGGTTGTGCGTTTCGTCTCAGAGTCGCTGCCTAGACTCATCAGTGGGGCTGATGGCAGCGACTCCTTACCCC